AACGCAACGTAAGAGAGAAACAGGAAGAACATTTTGAAAGGAAACTCATGCAAAATCCACATTTTGTCTATTTTTGTTCTTCCATTTGGGTTCTATGGCTTCTAGAATCAGCCAAGCACTTAAACAAATTACCCATCTGGTTCTTGGCAATAAATTAATGGTTGTTGGTGTCTTGAAGATGAGCCATTTCAAAAACCTCTGAAATGTAACGTCGGTGTGTGGCCAGGTGTGTATTTAAAGTGACAGGAGGCCCTAAACAGCTCAGAATAGGCAGAACTGAACAGACTGAACATGTTTGGTATTCACCATGGACTAACCTAAGTTAACATTAATATTCATTATTTTACAGAATTTTGTAATTTTTCACATTTTTGACTAACGTTTTGTTTTTGGCTTCTGCCATTATCTTTCTATATTATTGTTTATTAAATAGAGATGTAGAGGCCTTCACCAATCAGTAATTTCTCTATTAAAACCATTTTCTCTTACAGATGCATTCAGGTCTAACAGAGCACACATTATTAAGGCCAGATACACCTTTAAATAAACACCCTAAGAGTTGGAGGGGGTTGAAGTCACCCTCCAAGCGAACAGTGAGCCACGCTTCAGCTTGTCTTAAAGACATTTTATTTAAGATTTAAACATTAAATTTATGAGCATCTCTGAAAAGCTTTTTTTGTTTTTTTGGGGACCACATTGTGAAATCAGAAATCACGTTTTCTGTCAGGAGAGAGTTTATCTGTTGGAGATGTTCTTGATGAATGAACTCGTCTTATTTCCTGTTTCTGCAGACAGATTGAGCCGTTATCGGGCGCTCTATTATTAACCCATTTGCACACAGACTCACACAATGCACACCCCGTTGCACAGCAATTAGCATATAGAGGGCAGTATGGGGGTTTTACCCAAGGACACTTTGACGTCTGGCAGGTTGAAGATCAATTAGCTGAAACTCAGCCCCTCCACCTCTGATCCACAGCCAACAAAACATAAAAAACACCCACATACTGACACCCCCCCACCGTTTTATTCATCAGGATTTAAATGTGTTAATCTGTTCTCATATTTTCACAAAAATTCAACTATCCTTAATCAGAGAAAACTGTGAACCAACTGTGTTTTAAAGAGATACACGCAGTCTGAAGTTCAAATAAATAGTTTATCTGCCACTTCGCGGCGGCCATATTTGATCCTAAAGCGCCCACCCAGGGTTCTTGGTGTTTTCCAAGAACCCTGGGTGGGTGACAGAGATAATGAGCAGAATAAACAGTCGGCTGCATGTTGGGTGACGTTTGCTCAAAGTAGGAAGATCCTCAGTGGGATTTTATGCTGGGGGTTTGCATGTTCCCGTCATGCATGCATGGTTCAGGTTTTCCTACTGAAAGCCTGTAAATCGCCCCAGGTGTGACTGTGTGCAGGAGATAAGCCCATCAACGCTGCACACGACTGACAGCAAGACAAACATTCATGGATGGATGTTTATGAAGAAATTACTGAAACAACAGAACCCAATAAAGGTGCGTTCTTTAGATAAACGTCTGGGTTCAAAGGTCAGAAACCTTTTCAGCCTTTGCAACAAAATTTAAATTTTCTAGAAGTAGAAAACCTTCTTATCCCTAGTTTTATAAACATACACTATATAAAACATTTCTATGGCAAAACCAAAATAAATAGTATTTATTTTTTTAGATTTCAGGATAAACAAAAGGTTTATTTGTATATCACATTTCAGCAGCTTGGCAGTTCAAAGTGTTTCACATCATAAAACTATAAAAAACCCAAATGTCACCAAAACATCAGTGACCAGTTTGAGAACCAACATATTATATCAGGTGTCATGAGCAAAAACATCGATTCACATCAAATATGTTGATCAATGTTGCATTTATCGAGGTTCAAAATATAAACAGCTGCGATTTAAAGGAGCTCTGTGTTTCAGCTGTTTCTCAGTTTTCTGGAAGTTTGTTACAGATTAATGGAGCTCAGAAGCTGAATGCTGCTTCTCTGCTCGTTGAGCCTCATTTTCAACACAACAGCATCAAAAACCAGCAGCAGGACTTTGATAGAAAGAGTTCTGTAAAAAGAATCACACACACTGACAAACGTCTTCTTTTCTCATGAGTCCTGGTAATATTATGTATCTATCCTGCTAATATTATTCTCGTAATAAATAAAACAGAAAACCTTAGTCTGGCTCTAATACGTCATGTCATCCCACCACTAAATGATCTAATCACGGTGACGTTCTGAGGAAGACTCCAGAATATCTTCTTGCTGATTGCAGCTTGTGACGAAGAGTTTTCACAAGCCAGAAGCGACAGGCGGCCACGCCCGCTAACGGCAGCGCTCGCCTTTCTGATCAGAGCTCTCCACCGCTGCCGGGAAATCTCTTGATTTGTTTGGACCGCTGCCAGAGGAAATGCTAACTTCACAGGCTGGAAGAAACCTCAGTTCTACTGCTACACTGGTTTATCTTTCAGGATTTAACGAGTTAATTTCTGCAATAACGGACCATGTTCAGAGCTCAGCTTATTCTATAAATCCAGCTAGTTCACTAATCAATCAATCGAGTTTATATTTATAGCACATTTCAGCAGTTCAAAGTGCGTTAAATCTTAAAAACTGTCTAAACAGCATCATGCAGCCTGAGCGACATCAGCAAAATCATCAATAAACATCCAATATGTTTATTCTTGTATTTTTTAAATTAATAATCAAAATAAACTCTGAACAGGTGAGTTTTTAGACTAGATTTAAAGGAGCTCAGTAATTCGGCTGTTTATTCCAGATATGTGGTGCATAGAAGCTGAATGCAGCGTCTGTGTTTGTCTTTTAACGCAACAGCATCAAATTAACAGCAGCAGGACTTTGAAACGACTAAACGAAACGATTAAACTTTCCACAGACCGATGAACCTTCCTATCAGGTGTTTCCAAGTTTGCTCCAGATATGTGGTACGTAGAAGCTGAAACTTCAGATTCATGAAGTTAAAGTGGAATAAACTTCCATAAAACTGCAAAACGGCCAAAACCATGAGTTCATTTGAATCAAGGCTAAAAACTCACCTGTTTAAATCAATCATTTTGATTAATAATAGCCGGAACATATTGATGAGTTTGATGATGTCACTTGATAAATTGTAATGTTTGTTCTCAAACTGGTGACTGCATAATGTTTTCATTGTTTTCTATTCTTGTCTTTTTAAGATGTAAAGCACTTTGAACAGCCATGTTGCTGAAATGCAAATGAACCAAAATAAAACTTACAAATCGTTTCTGATTCAGTCAGTTTTGGTTGTTCGTCATCAGGACTCACCAGGAAATAACCAACCACTTACGCCTGCTTGCGAGCGTGTGTGTGTGTGTGTGTGTGTGTGTGTGTGTGTGTGTGTGTGTGTGTGTGTGTGTGTGTGTGTGTGTGTGTGTGTGTGTGTGTGTGTGTGTGAGAGGCTCATGAATAATGAAATCAGTTGAATTTAGACCACATGGACAGTCAAACGGGGGGAAGGGAGGGATACCTCTTTATTTTTTGTCTCGTATGTCTGATAATTACCCTCATCTTTCTTCCTTCTCACCTTCCCCTCGCCTCTCCGTCCACCTTTACTGATTTTTATTCCTGCAGAAGTGAATCTATCAGTGAGTTAATTTCTTGCTGGGTTGCACCTGCACCCCGTTCTGCCCCCTGGTCCCTGATGAGATTGCCCCCACTGCCTCCCTTCTTGCCCTCTTCCTCCTCTGGGAGTAGCGTCTGATTGGACCCATCTGCTCCGCCGACTAAAGCCTCTCAGATCCACTGGAACGGGTCGGAAACACTCGATGAAGAAAAAGCTGGAGCTGTTTAAGCATCACAGTGATCTGCTGCTTAGTTAGCCCAGTTAGCTCTAAGCTAACATCAAGGTTTCTCCACAGTTAGCAGCTGCTACAACCTCCTACTGCAACCCTTCAGAAAACATGAAGTATGTCCTCTAACGACTGGGCCGGGCATCAATTACAGTCGTCCTGAAGATGGATGTGTGTTGGAGAGACTGATGTGTGCTGGGCACAGGTTGCATAATAATTAGCCCCCAGGGGGTCCACAGGCCAGCTGCCTCCGCCTCCAACACCATGTGTGTCTCAGAAGTCCTGAGCCAAGAGCACTTACAGACTGATACGATACGACACGTCCAATAACGACCTCTGACCTTTCATCTTCATATTTCAGGACCTCCAGGTGTAAAACTGAAGCAGAAACACTCTGAACCTGAAAGCTGCGGTTCACTTCCTGTGACATCACATCTCAATAAATCTGGGGAAGGCGACCAATTTTTCACGAAATGTCCTGATCTAAAGCAAGATGGCCTCCGTAAAAATGACAAAACTCCTTTTTCTAAATGTTAATACAAACTGGTACTTCTTGTATAAACAGTTTTTTATCTCATAACTTTGAATCTCTTAATGACTTTTATTCTCAGACGTTTGCCAATTATTCTTACAGTTATGAATTTCAAACTCATAATTAGATTCATGTTTAGTTGTTGATACAACTTCAATTTTTCTGGAATTTACAGGAAACTCAGGAAGCAACTTGTGGGGTTCCTCAGAGCTTCCTACTCGGACCACTTTCAGTCCAGGTTTCATTTTCTCCCTCTGATTATTAAACATCTGTCTGATGAAAAACTGCATCATATTTCTGCTGCTCTGATCTGGACGTTATCTTGATGACTAAACTGCTTTATCTTTTAACACAAAATCCCTCCAGTCCTTTTCAGCCGTCATGTTTCCATCCATGATTTGAAGAGAAAAGTCTCTTTAAATATTCAGATTTCTTGTTCTGCGTTAATTTTTCATGAGCTATGATTGTTAATTTGAATGTCTTGTTTGTCCTGTTAGATAAAATTAATGATGTTTCCTTTTTATCTGTGTTTCCTGTCCCATGTGTCCCGGCCTCTTCCCCTCTCATCCTTCTTTGTTCTCTCGGTCAACCCTCTTCCTCCTCTTCCTCCTCCTCTTCCTCCTCCTCAGTTGGCTGCAGACGGAGGGATTGTGGAAAGCGGGAAGCAGCTTCAGTCACCAAAGCAAACCAGCACAGACTGAATTAAGCGCGTCTCCCTGGAGAGTGTGTGCCTAACCTGGGAGGGTGTGTGTTGTCCCGTGTTGATGAGTGTGTGGGTGTTTTCTGTCACCTTTGATGGGACATTAAGAGATGTGCGCGCCTCAGCGTCTGTGGATGGGCTGTAGGGGGCGTTGTCCCTCTGTCCTCCCCCTCCTTCTCCTCCTCCCTCTGTACTTCCTGTTTGCTCAGGGAGCCATCATCATCCCGGGGCATTGTGAGTACCGCACCGCCGCAAACATCTCTGGAAACAGAAAACTGTTTCCTCCAAACAGTGTGTTTCCTGACCTTCACAGTTGGTCCTTCTTTACCCCCAAATCCAAACATTTCTCTCATGTCATGCCACACCCGCCCCGCCCAGCCAGCAAGGCATGCTGGGCTTTTTATGCAATAGACCAACACAACGTGGAGTAGAAATGTGAGGTGGAAAGGAAAGGATACATACATTTAAACATTAGAAATTCAGACGTTGTGTACTTATATTCAGCTCAACATAGGTTTCATTTTACTTTGACTAGGCCAATCGGTTTGTTTGGGAATGAAAACAAACCAACCAAACCCTTTGAGCAACCTGTTCCCCTCCTGGCCTGTGGGGGCGCTGCACCAAGAACCAGTGAAGGAAACGACACAAAACCTCTGAAGACACTGAGAGCAACTTCCTGCTTTCAATGGGAAACAAGACGGAGGCGTCAGATTTAGCGGTTGGAGGATTTCTCTTTAGTCTTTGACTGAAGACCAGGAGCCATTTCTGCTGCTAGCGCTAGGCTAGCATGTTAGCTTTGGTTGCATTTACCCAGAATGCCCTGCTCTGTGGTTTTGCAGCAGTTTTTGATCTGCTTGCTCAAAGCTCCTCAAAGAATTTGGTTGGTTTGAAAATTTGACGAATGTTGCAACTTTGGTCCCAAATCAAACCGAGTCCACTGAACTCTGAGAGCTGAAAACATCCCAAAGCATTTCTGTCTGTTTAGGATTTAATCAGCCACAGGAAGTTAGCCAAATTTTACAAACTGGGGACATCCAGTCACCATTAGTTGCTCTGGATTTTATTTAGTAGCGATGGAGTGAGTCTTATTTTCAGATTCTGCGCTTGTGAAAACTTTTCCTTCCACTTCACATCATAAAGTTCAGCTGCAACGAGTCAAACTGCAGAAAAAGTTAAAGTTGCAGTGAAAACTTTTATTGCTCCCATTTTAGCACCACTTGTATTTTTCTGAGTTTATCGGTTTGTAGGTGATAAACAGAAAACTTCAGCTGTTGATCTGATTGGACACATTAATGGGCTGAAGCTCAGATTCCAGTATCAACTGCTCTCAGTCTGCTCTTTGTTTTTATGGCTGAAAAGGTCGAAGGTTAACCCTGCAGGTCAGAATCTGAACCGTATTAAACATGTCTGTTTCCTCTCTTTCTTCTTCTACGCCTCCGTGTGGACAAACAGATAATTTACCGCCCAGTAAGTGGTTTTTATTGTTGTTTTTACCGCAAGCAGGAACAACAATATCTGTTATTTCGAGATGTCATAAATATAAAGCATTACATTATAACTTTCATTTAGGCAGATTATATCATTTTCATAATTTTTGGTTGGTGTCTGCAAATGAATTTCCATTGAATGAATGAAAATCTGGAAGTTTGACTGTCACAGTTGAGTTTAATTCAAAGTAAGTTGAGTGAGAAAACGTTGGCGTCTGCTTCCTGGCTGCAGCAATCGGCTCTCACTGCAGGTTCTGTGTGGAAACGTCTGAAGCACAATGTTCCATTCATAAAGTCTTCTCATGCAAAAATGATGAGACACAGATTAGTTTTCCAGCTGAAGCCAAGGCCAAGAGAAACAGATTTAATCCCACATTAAAGAACTTTAATCTGGAAATGTTCCTGAGTTCATGGGAATGTCGGGTTTCACCTGGATTTACCTGGATTAATGCTGCACTCAGGATGACTGACATTTAAGATAAATTAATCATGTTTGTTCATGTTAAAGGTTTCATAAAACACAAACTGTTTCTTTAAACTGTTTCCAGTTTAGCACACTGTAAAACATTTCAGCCGGTTTAGTTTTTATTAACTTCTTTAAGTCACATAAATCTGGAAGCAGATTAATTACTTGCAGCAGTCAGTTGTGTTAACTTTTCATTAATTTTGTTTTATCTCCAGGATTTGGTTAAACAAGAATTTTTAATGTTCAAATGTGAATAAGTCAATTTTCTGAATTAAATTTCAAAGACTTAAATATCTTCTAGTCTCCCTGCACTGTTAGTTAATTAATTTTTTCAGCTATTTTAATTTTTATTTACTTATTTTTTGTCTGTTTAGGCAAACAGACAAAACAATTTTCTGATTTTTTTCTGATTTTTAAAATATTGTTCACGGTTTATTTTGTACTCTGTGGCTGATATTGTATGTTATTGTCATGTCTACTTTGCAAAAAACGTCAATAAATATAAAATAAGAAAATAAAAATGGGTCTTAAGAAGAACCTTAAAATTGTCTGAACCTTTTCTCAGACCCAGTATAAGAAGTCAGAGTCTGGATCCTGGAGTATTTAGTGACTGTTGATTATTTTAAAACCAGTTCAGTGGGATGCTGGGAACCAGCAGCGGTGCTATTTGTTCCTCTGTGATTTGTGCTTTCCTTGTTCTGTCAGTGCAAGAGCCTCCCAGTCTGATGGAGGTTCCCACATCGCTGACGGCGTTTTCCCGAGAAGACGTGATTCTGACCTGCAACGCCACCGGCAACCCGCCGCCGCTGTGAGTGCGCCGCCTCCCCGACAAAACGCTGACGTCCTGTTTGCTGTCCACTTCCTCCCTCTGACCTTCAGGTCGCCGCAGCAACCGTTTCCCAGCCTGTTTGCCGTGTTACTTTTGCCTTTCTCCCTCCTCTGCCTGCAGGATCCGCTGGGTGAAGGACGGGGTCCAGTTCGGCACAGAGAAGGTCGGTTATGGAAAGATTAACGCCTCAGAAAACGAAGAAACGATGGAGCTGGAGTCTTACGCCGGCGTCTACCAGTGCTTCGCCTCCAACCACCTGGGCACCGCCATGACACAGACCGTAGAGGTCAAAGTGGAGCGTGAGTCTCACAGGAGGGATCAGGAAAACCGCTCTGGTTCCGGTCGGTCTGGACCCACCGCCTGACCCGACTACGCTGTTGCCCTGGCAACCTAGGACAGAATAATCGCTCAGGCATGAGGTTGCAGTTTTGCTGGTGGGAGGTCCAAGTTTAACCCTCTGTGGTGCAATAAGCAATAAATCAATTAACCGCATGATCAATTAAAGCAAGATCAATAATTTCCATCTGCATGATTTATTGTTTTTCTCTTGGATGATGAAATTCTTCAGTCTGGTGTTTTTGTCTCAATTAAACCTTTTTATGAAGGATAATTTGCGTTACAGACACTTTATAATTCATTTTATTTGTTGTTTATTTATGGTAAAATGTTTTCCAGTATTAAAGGTTCATTAGGTTTTAAATTGATCCGGATGATTACGTCATCATCATTACATGTGAGAGATTTTTCTGGTGTTTTGTGTTTCAGCTCATCCGTTTGTACCAAAAGAAAACAAACTGGATAAGACTGCGTACGAGTCAGAGAGCCTGATCCTGACCTGTGACCCTCCGAAGAGGTCGACGCCTCCTCAAATCTACTGGATGGGAACCAGTCAGTATTTCCTTCTGTTCTCGCCTTTTGATAAACCGGGTAAAATCGGTGTGGTTTGCTTGAAGGAAAGGTATTTATTTCATTTATAATAAAGTAAAAACCACTTCAACAATTCACTAAACACAACTACAAATGAATAAACGTGACGTTAGCAAAGGGAAGTGGCTGGTTTCACTGGAATCCAGAGGCGATGCTGATTGGACGATTCCACTTTTGAAGTTATTCTGGTTTTGTCTTATTTGTTTCTCTGGTGATGCAAACGTACCTCCGTCTATCCAGGAATACTTTGAGACAGGCTATAAATCTCAGCCTTTTCACAGTTTGGGCAGCAGGTGGCGCTGTGACTGACTGACTGAATAGTTTATGGTTCTGGATTTAGAGGCTTGTTCTCTGGTTTCCCACAGAGATGCGCCACATTCCCCAGAATGAGAGAGTGATGATCGGCCTGGACGGAAACTTGTACTTCGCCAACCTCATCAAGAGCGACAGCAGGAGCGACTACTTCTGCTACGCCCAGTACACTGCAGCCAGGACCATCATCCCTGTGACTGTGGCTCGGCTCACCGTCCAGTCAAGTAAGAGCTCACACACACACCCACACACACACACACACACACACAGACTCACACCCACACACACACACACAGACTCACACACGCACACACACACACACACACACACACAGACTCACACACACACACACACAGACTCACACACACACACACACACAGACTCACACACACACACACACACACACACACAGACTCACACCCACACACACACACACACACAGACTCACACCCACACACACACACACAGACTCACACACACACGCACACACACACGCACAGACTCACACACATGGGATATGTTCACTCGCCTCCAGCAGCTATGGCAACATTCACACTGCAGCCTATTAACCTCCGTCTCAGTTTGATTAAGTGAACTTTGAATGCATGCGTGAACGCCAAGCGGACCGGACAGTTTGTTCCACAAGCAGGAAGTGGACTACAGCACAGGGCATCCTGGGTAAATGCAAGCAAAACAATACAAACCTGCTAGCGCTAGCAGCAGAAATGGCTCCTGGTCTTCAGCCAAAGACTAAAGAGAAATCACTAAACTCTGACGCCTCCATCTTGTTTCATCTGGTGAAACAGGAAGTTGCTCTCAGTGTCTTCAGAGGTTTTTCTGTCGTTTCCTTCAGTGGTTCTTGGTGCAGCGCCCCCTCTGGCCAGGAGGGGAACAGGCTGGTTTGACTCAGAACCACAGCAGCTGCAGGTGGAGCAGATGTTCTGGTTCCAGGAGAACCGGGTCGACCGGACCATCACCTTATGTATTCTTGTTTTTCTTTCCCAGGTAACGAAGTTGTTCGTGGAAGAAGACCAGATCTACTCCACCCCCATGGCTCCCACACCGCAGTGCAGGCCCTCAGGGGTCAAAGTGTCACCCTCGAATGTATCCCCAAAGGCCTGTAAGAATCCCAGAATGCTTTGCTGAAGTGTGTGTGTGCAGTATTCATAAAGTTTGACTGAAAGTTTAGCATCTGTATCAGAATGCCTGAATCACATAACTCTGTCATTAGCAAGACTGGCAAACCTGGAGGAGGAATTCAGTCTTTTGATGCAAGAGTGTTGAACTTTGGGTAAAGAAACTTTCTTTATCTCACTGCCTCCGATTCTTATGTCACACTGCAGGGTAAAGCGATGGCCGTTTCCTGCAGCTTGTAGATTTCTCTCTGGTTCAGCACAGCTAGCTCGTTAGCGGAGCTCAGTAGAGCTGGACGCATATTGGTGGCGAAGTTTCACCATTTGATGTGAAGGACAAGAGACACTGTAAGGCGGCAGGACTGAAGCCGATTTATAAACGACCAGCAGGAGTTTGAAGTTTCTCCTCTTAGTGAAGGACTGCAGAACCGGGCGCTGCAGAACCGCATGGTGCAGAACTGGGCGGTGTCTCTATCTCCCTGGTTCTAGTCAGAACTCCAGCTGCAGCGTTCTGGACCAGCAGGGTTCTGGACCAGCAGGGTTCTGGGCCAGCAGGGTTCTGGACCAGCAGAGTTCTGGACCAGCAGCGTTCTGGACCAGCAGGGTTCTGGACCAGCAGCATTCTGGACCAGCAGGGTTCTGGACCAGCAGCATTCTGGACCAGCAGGGTTCTGGACCAGCAGGGTTCTGGGCCAGCAGGGTTCTGGACCAGCAGGGTTCTGGGCCAGCAGGGTTCTGGACCAGCAGGGTTCTGAACCAGCAGCATTCTGGGCCAGCAGGGTTCTGGGCCAGCAGGGTTCTGGACCAGCAGGGTTCTGGGCCAGCAGGGTTCTGGGCCAGCAGGGTTCTGGGCCAGCAGGGTTCTGGGCCAGCAGGGTTCTGGGCCAGCAGGGTTCTGGACCAGCAGGGTTCTGGGCCAGCAGGGTTCTGGGCCAGCAGGGTTCTGGGCCAGCAGCATTCTGGACCAGCAGGGTTCTGGACCAGCAGGGTTCTGGGCCGTCAGTTTGTCAGTCAGACCTGCTGCAGAAATCAAAGCCTGGACGAGTTTCTCTCACCTGTTCCTCAGGTGAGAGAAGGCTGTCTTTGGATCCGGCTTTATGTAGCTCTGAAGGTTCAGGTTAGAGGTCAGAGGTCAGTCTGATCTCTAGTTTACAGCTGTAATAGCTGAAGCTGTGCATTGACTCTTTCGGCCCAAAGATGATAATTTCAGTTTTGTTTCTGTTTCCGTTGAAAGTTTTGGTGGATCTATTTATCTGTTCAGTGATTGGACGGTTTAGTCACCTGGTGAATTTGTGATGTTGTGCATCATCCCCATGCACCTGCGTCTCTGCAGACCGACTCCCTGGGTGGAGTGGCAGAAGACGGACGGCGACCTGAAGACCACGAGTGCCTCGCTGGACAGCTTCGACCGCTGGCTTCACTTTGACAGCATCACTGAGGACGATGACGGCGAGTACCGCTGCAGGGCGCACAACATCCACGGGAATGCGACACACTCCTTCACCGTCACTGTGAAAGGTGACAACCACACGAAAACCTTTCAGCAACACAAAGAAAGCAGGTTCAACACCGAGTCACACAGTTCAACGCTCTCTGGCTCTGCATGCCTCAGTCAGAAGGTCAAAGGTCAAAAAAGATGCCAGGTCGATCAGAAAACGAAACAAATATAGTTTGAATAGAAGAGTTAAAGGAGAAACCGATCCGATATTAATATTTGTATCGGTCCTGATATTGAAAAACATTCTGAATGGCGTATCAGTGACAACGGCCCGATCAATAAGGGTCGATCAATAAGGGTCGATCAATAAGGGTCGATCTATTAATCTAGTTCTATGCTTGGTTCTCTGAGCGAGTCACTCGAGTCATTATTAAGTTTGTTCTTCTTCTTTCTTATGTTAAAACATAGGAGATATTTATATATATGGGCCTAGTTTTGTTTTTTGTGTGAAACATAAACATGCTTTGGAGCGCTTCTTTCTCGACGCCATCTTGGATATTCCCTAAAGCAAAACACGGAGCGTTTATGTTACGTCATCACGCAAATACATCACGCTGCAGGAGCCCATAAGTAAATAAACGACTGGGAAACGGTTCTTGATCCTACCTGTTCATTTATTTTAGAACTATTAAATGAAATTTCACAGATTTTGAGTGTTTAATGACGGTAAAGTCTGTGTGTCTGTCCAGCGGCTCCCTACTGGATGAAGGAGTTTCCAGACCTGAAGTACGCGCCGGGGGAAACCGTGAGGCTGGACTGCCTGGTCAAGGGGAACCCGGAACCCGCCATCACCTGGAGAATCAACGGCGAGCCGCTCACAGGTGGGACACAATTCAGACCTTCCTTTTATTTCTTTAAACTGAATATTTATCATGAAACAACTAAAGAACAAATTTATCTGATCAGAATATTGTCTTTTGTAGAGAAGAAATACTTACAAAGTCATACAGAAACATTTCCTTTCACTCAGTTTCTCTTTAATTTTGATATCCTGTAATTTAAAGGTTGAGACGATCTGGCACCGCTCAGTCTGACTTCTGTCCCGAAGAGCAAAATAAGATCAGCCTCACCGAGACAGAAACGTTTTAGATAAACGTCCAGAGAAAGACGCTTATCTCCACTAGAGAAAAGTATGAAACTGGAAACACGAAAGGAGAAAATCAAAAAAGATAAATGAAAGGACAAAAAAAAAAAAGTAGAAAGTTTGGGTAAATAGAGGAAAGTAACAAAGGACTAAAATTTAGAAAAAGTGAAGACATTTTGATCTAAGAAGATCAATTAAAGATGGGGTGAAAATAAACAATGTGTGACATTAGCAAGGAATCCAAGAAAAATTATGAAATAACAGAAATGAAGAAAAGAAAGAAGCTTCAAAAATACAGAAAACTGTTTTAAACGAAGACCAGAATAAAAAATAACATTATAAACATTTTATTGTCCATAAAGGGAAATAGTCTGAGAGCAGAAGCAACTGAAAAACACAATGAGATGGAGACAGAAACGTAGATCAGAGGAATCCAGTTCAGACCGAATTAACGAATGAAAGCAGGAGCATCTAAAAACCAACAAATAAGTAAATAAATTAACGTACAAGATAAAAACAACCTGAAATACATGAAAGGTTTCTCTGCCACAGTTAACTCAGACCAGTAATGGAGGACAGAACAAAGGATTGCTTTTAGCAACTAATGGCTCAAAATGGTGGCAATAATTCAGTGGGAAAAAATAGGAATAAATAAGAGAAAGAAATTATTATGCATTTACAATTATGTTGCCTTGAAATGGTCTCAAAACAACAATATCATTGCTTATCGCGATAACGTCTGGGACAGTTTCTGTGCTTCACAGAACCCTGATTACAGATAATAATCGCGGCGCAGCAGCATGAGTCGCCTCCTCATTGTGCCTGTTTTTCTTTTTCTCTCTCCTGCGCCGCCATCTTTCTTTTGGGCGTAAATCCCTGGGCAGCGGTGGACCCGGATCCTCGCCGCATCGTGACCGGCAGCGCGCTGATCCTGAGGGACGTGGTCGTTTCTGACACGGCCATCTATCAGTGTGAAGCCACCAACGTTCACGGCTCCATCCTGCAGAACATCAACCTGTTTGTCGTCGGTGGGGAAGCGTCACACTGTGCTGTGTATGAAATCACCGTCATGCTCCTGAATGTGTGGATGAGTCTGGTTCTGTCCTGCAGAGCTGCCGCCTCAGATCCTGTCTTCTGATGGGATTGTGTACAAAGTGTTTGAAGGTGAACAAGTCAACATGGACTGTGAGTCGTTTGGTGCTCCCCGACCTCAGATTACATGGTGAGAAACACAGAATTTAATCTAGAACAAAAAAAACTCGAATCAAGGTGAGAATTTAAAGTTCTATACACCAAAGTGATTCCACACACTGATAATACTAAAGAAACAAATAAAATGAAACAACTTTGATGACTTTTGCAGCATAAACCCATATGAAAAGAAAAATACCTCTATAAATTTTGTCAGATTAGTTTCTGAGATTCATATTTGTGTGTATTCGTTGATGACCCCCAGATGTAGTATAAATATATACTACTTAAGTCAAAATATATACTACTTTAGCGTAGAGGGAAATTCAAAGTGATAAAAAACAGAAATAATGATTAAAAAAACATTACAATGTGAGAAAAGTTGTAATCCAGACAAGAATTCATCTACTTTCTACAGTTATAACTTTATTAAGTCAGGCTAATGCTAAATGCTACAGTTTGTTATAACTTTAGTCAGGCTAATGCTAGAGCGCTACAGTCATAACTTTAGTCATGCTAATGCTAAATGCTACAGTTAGTTATAACTTTAGTCAGGCTAATGCTAGAGCGCTACAGTCATAACTTTAGTCATGCTAATGCTAAATGCTACAGTTATATAAAGCCAGTTATAACTTTAGTCAGGCTAATGCTAAATGCTACAGTTATAACTTGAGACTGGCTAATGCTATAGCAGCGTTCTTTATCATAATGAACAGTCTGATTCTCTGTGTTTAGGCTGCGTGAGGACGCCGTTTCTCTGCTGTTGGATAATCGTGTTTCCTTATTCACCAATGGGACGGTTGAACTGGTCAACGTCACCCATGAGGACAGCGGCGCCTACACCTGCTCTGTTGATAACGCCGACATCTCCATCACCGCTAACCTGGAAGTCTTCAGTGAGGGAGTTTTCAGCTTTCTTCTCCTTTTAACTGCTGTTTATGTCATATTTATTTACTTTTATGCTCTTATGAATGTAAAACGATCCTCCTGTGATTAAAGGTGATTTGATGGATGTCCAAAATAAAACATGGTTCCTCTCTCTTCCAGATCGAACTGTGATTCTTAAAGGTCCGCAGGACGTTCACGTCCACCGGGGACAAACTGCTTACCTGGACTGTCACTTCTACAAAGACCCTCGGCTGCGTGCCGACGTCCTGTGGAAAAAAGACGAACAGCACCTGAACTTCTCAAAGCCTCACAAGTAAACGATCACAAACCTGAACAAAGGCAAAACTGCATGGAAACAAACTGGTTCTGCTGACCATCCAGAATCTGGATCATTCCACCTCCATTTCATCCAGTCATATTTATCAGGCTTTGGTTGTTTGGAAGGCTGATCAATATGACTGAAAACGTATCAGTGCTTCGTATCAGTCAATATTGATCATTTTTGATATCGACTGAAATGCTGACAGACTGGTGGAATATTTTTCCTCCTGAACTGTGTCGTGTTGACGGTTAGTAGCAAATCGCTGCGTTGCTTTTTCTTTCACGGATGCACTTAATGTTTATCTCTAAGTTGATAATTTGACAGCTAAAACCGATGCTAGTCATTGTTAGCTCGGGGAAGGATCTTCTGTTGCAACATGTCTATATATTTAATAGTCTGTCAGACGTATTATCTGTTGTTATTGATCATGTCTGTTGCAACATATATTGTTATTGATTTATTGTCCAGTTGTTTGATATTTGCATCACGTTTTCTCTCTAGATCCAGGTACAGCGTTCACAGGAACCACACGTTACAAGTGAAAAAAGTCCAGCAAGACGACACAGGAAGGTTTTCCTGTGAGATCAGAACTGACCCGGTGGGCCAGGTGACGGCCACCGGCTCCATCACTGTGTTAGGTATGGAAGTGGCTTTACTTTAGTTTATTGGTTTAACCAGTGTTGGTTGAATATCCAGGATGTTGTTGTCTAGTTGTCTCCTTAGCAGCTCAGCAGTGAACTCGGCTAAAAGCTGAAATAAACGCTAACAGCTAAGAGTTAAGATCAGATTCCTGGTGAAGATGAGATGCATCTAACCGCAGCCACTTTCTGGGCCGCAGCTCCACCGGACCCCCCCAGCTCTGTGTCGCTGTCCCCCATTGAGGACCACAGCGCCACCCTCAGCTGGACCCCAGGATCTTCACACAACAGCCCCATAACAGGTAGAGAGGCTCAAAAACTCAGACGCTTCTGTTCGGTTTGGATTTCTAAAAAAAAGTCACCTGAGCTTCATTATTATCAAACTGGAAACTCAAAACATAGTTCGGCTTTTTCTTTGTCTTCATTTCTGCGTTGTGCCTCGAGTTAAAATGCAACAGCGCCTCCTGTGGTCACAGAATGTGGTGCAACACGGGCGTAATTTACTTATGGTTAATATTGTCAGATTAATGGTGCGTTGAGGCGTTATCGCTTACGGCCCGAGTTTCTGCCTATAGAGTTCATCGTTGAGGCCGAGGAGAAGCCGCTGACGGACAGCGGCGCCGTGGCGTGGAGGAAATGGACGACGGTTCCTGGAGACTTCAGCCACTTCCAGTTCAGCCTGCAGCCTTTCTGCCGCTACCGCTTCAGGGTTGCCGCCGTGAACGAACTGGGCCAAAGCAAAGCCAGCGAGCCCACCGAGCCGCGCAGCACTCCGCCTGCAGGTGTTTCTACTGCGCTGCACTGTTCACTTCTACCTGAGCAGCTTTACTCTGGAGCTTCAACACTCAGGAAAATTTCTGGATTTTCTTCCCACTGGATGGAAAATCAAACACGTTTAGCCAAAAATTGCAGTTTTTCTTTAGGTTTCATAAATTATTATCATTTTGGTCATTGAAACACCAAAATTTCCACTGAACTGTATATTTTGGTCCATCTGATGATGCAATTTGTAGATATAGAATTATTGATAGTTTGATCAGTTGAGTAGATTTTTTATATTATTTCTAGTGTTACAGTTGGTTCTTCTGGAAACGAGCTGAAATAAAAATCCTCATTTTTTTCTCTGCTCCACTTTCCCACAGCGCCACGTTCGAACCCCACAAATGTTCGCACCAACTCCACAGAGCCGGGCGTTCTGCTCATCACCTGGGACGTGAGTGGCTCAGCGCTTCGCTTCCAAACAGGAAGCGCTTCCAAACAGGAAACGCCTCCAAACTTTAACCCAATCTGTTGCTTTCCCTCCGCAGGAGATGGAAAAGCGTCTCCACAACGGCCAGGACTTCCAGTACCGGGTGTACTGGCGGAGGCCAACGATAAAGACGCAGAATGGAACTGGGCCTTCGTCAAGTCTCCGCCGTTCACGGTGAACGAGACGGGAACCTTCACGCCGTTTGAGATCAAAGTCCAGGCTGTCAACGCCATCGAGTCGGGACCGACTCCCGAGGCAAAGACTGGACACTCCGGGGAGGACAGTACGTCTCCTCATTGTTTATTCATCACAGTCAGGAAGTCCAACTTTCTCACTCCAGACTGACTCTGACAGTTATGATGATGCTTTTGGGACGGGTAAAATTCTCATTTCTGACTTCAGTTTGAAATTATTCTTTAAATTTTGTAGAAAAATAAATATTCTGATGTATTTTTAACTTTTACATATAAATCTATAACTGTGTGACAGTTTAGTTTATTAATGCAGCATCAGTTAAAAACAAACAGGTTCCAGCTGTGAGTTTGCTACTGCCCCCTAGTGGTGGCAGAGAGTCATTACAAACACAAACTGAAAATATTACGCAAAGGCTGTTGAATCCTTTGTAAATGTGATTTTTAATTTACAAAAGAAAAAAGTTTCCAGGTTGTCATAATGGGGTATTTATGAGAAAAAATATTATTTTAATACGGATTAGAATCAGGCTATAAAATAGCAAAATGTGTAAATACTGTATGTCATAAAATTCCTGAATAAATACAGTGAAATTTGTGGTTTTAAACAGAAAAAAGTCCAATTTAAAGCAATATGAGCATTTTTGTACCTCATTGTGACTCTTCAAACTCAGTTATTTATGCTGATATTAAACTATTTAAGAGATGAAAGGACCAGGTTCAACTAGTGCAAGATTAAATCATTTATTTATTATGTTTTCTTTGGCTCCCTCTCAGGATTATCAATGTCCATCACTTCAAATCGAAACCTTTCCCTCACATCAGACTGTCAAAATAAAAGCCTGTGTCTCCTTGCAGAGCCGGAGGAGCCGCCCAGCGGCGTTGCCTTCACCGTGGTGAACAGCACCGTCAGAGTGACGTGGAACGAAGCGCAGAACGTCCGCGGCCACCTGCTGGGCTACAGGGTACGTTTCCTTATGACGTCCTGGAATATCCTGGGAAACGTTTCCCACCAGAGGGAGAGCTGCTTCCTTGCAAAAACACAGAAACCTACCAAATATTTTGCAAAATGCAACAAGAAACAAACTAATTTATTAGTAATTTTCTTATTCAAAGTAAAAAAAATCCTTAGTTTTAAAAGTCTTGCTATTGATAATTTGATGCTGATGAGTCAGAACATTAAAAATCACAATGAAGTTTTATTGTACAACTTTTACCAAAGTATAAGATGCTCAACAAACTCATTTGATTTCATTTTTTATTTGTACATAATATAAAAACATTTTATGTTGCAGTTTTCATAAAATTATGCCTTTATTTTTGTAATACTACAAATTTATTCTCCTAGTATCACAAGAAAAAATGTTGTAGTTAAAAGTGAAGTTTAGCTTGGCTCTAATACTTTGTCATAGAGTTGCTCTGACATCAAAGTCCAATTAAATTGAAGCTTAAACATGTTTGTCAAACAAAATGGCTGCCTGCGGCGCGCTGACATCACTCTGATTGATGGAGACCCAAGGAGTGTTGGTGGAAATTAAATGTAAGTTGTTCTGCAGTGGAAACCAGAGGAAAACATTTGGTGAGATTCTGCAGAGTGGGAGAGAACTGATGGACATGTGAACCAGTAAACCCAGTTGGTTTAGATTGTAGAATCCAGGGTTGGACTCCAGTAAGGCAGCATCATCTTTCTTCTTCTTCAGCTGTACATCAGGAGGCTGGGTTCCTCCAGTGACGGGACAGGAGGTCCCTGGGCAAACACCACCACACGGCGGAGAGCACCGACTGGAGCAACACAAACTGGCGAACAGGAACCACTGGGTGGTGGAGGTCCACGGTCCCAAGACGGCCGCCGAGGTCACTGGTCTGCGTCTGTTCTCCCAGTACGAACTGGAGCTCACCGCCTTCAACAGCAAAGGGGAGAGCCCTCGCTCCTCACCGACGCGTTTCAACACGCCAGAGGGAGGTGAGGCGACGTTTAGATCCATTTGGTCTGCAGCTCTGAGACAAACCAGGCAGTTCTAAAGGGGAACTCGATGGGAAATTCTCCTTTTGCACTTTTTATTCCTCCATTTGGGTTCCTGCTGTTTCTAGAAACAAACGGTTCAACAGCACTTAGAGAAACACTCAGCCATTTTTTGGCAGAAAGTTCATGTTTTTGGTTTCAAAAAGATTCAGACTGTAACGTGACGAGTCAGCAGGCACCTGAGGTTACCTAGCAACCACAGGAAAGCCCGGCCCGTTGCCTAGCAACCCCGGTGTAGGTCCAGTTCTCGCTCCACTGCCAGATCACCAAAAATTACAACAAAATTACTTGGTAAGGTTTTGTGTTTTTTTAGTGTGGCTGACTTTCCATCCAGAAACCACTTGGTACATCCTTGTTGGTTGAGCAGGAGGCTCCACTTCTGCTTTTCCAAGACGTACCGTTGTATGATTTCCCATCCGTTTTCAGTCATTTTCTCAATAGTGTAAACGTTGTGTTGGGTGGCCAGCAGCAGCCTGTTTGGATTTAAAACAGATTGAAATAAGCAGATTAAAATCTCATCTAGTGAAAAATGTAATGAATCAGGAATCTTAACAGGTCATCTTTAAGTTATGGAAACAACACAGAGGAGTTTGGGCTCCTCGCTCGGTTTTCCTGGCTAACCAGCGATTTTTCTGCCGTCCTTCTTTTGTCTTCACAGCTCCTGGTCCTCCTGCATCTCTGAGGTTTGAAAGCCCAACGGAAACGTCACTGATTCTCCACTGGACTCCTCCGCATGAAGTTAACGGAGAACTTCAGGGCTACGAGGTGCAATATCAGCAAGGTAACATCTGGGTTTGCAAACAGGGACTTTATTCAGGATGAGTTTGTCTGACGTTGGGCCTGGTTTGCGTCATGTCAGAGGGAGGCAGCCAGATGGAGATCCAGATGATCAATGTTTTCAACGTAAACCAGGTGGAACTGAAGAACCTGGACCCCAGCAGCTATTACCTGTTTAAGGTCATCGCACGCACGGCGGCAGGCAGGACAGGGTCCGCCCATCACCCGGAGGGGCGCCACGCTGCTGGAAGGAGGTAGACACACTGAACCCCCATCTTTTTTCTCTTGACAGGATGAATGTTAAATTTTGACTCTGTAACTTCACAAAAGTTAAACGGTTCTATTGCACTTTAGTAGAATCGCATATGTAAACGTCTCTCTGCTTCCTGTAGCTCCTCCCACAAACATCACCGTGGTTTCCAGTGTCACGTCGTTCAATCTGAGCTGGGTGCCTGAAGACCGCCACCGGAACCACGGCTTCCACATCCACTACCTGCGGAAGAGCGGTGAGCAGCAGGACACGTCCAAATCCACCTCCAGTCCGTTTCTAAAACGGTGGAAACTAGACGTAATGGGACAGGCAGGGAGAAGGACGCACTCCTCCAAATTGCACCCAGTTTCAGTCCTGCTGGTTGCTAGGAGACCAGCATCCTGCTCCCAGCAAGCTCAACAAGTATTTACTGACATGCTGGTGTTTAAATAACATTTGAAAACCAGCAGGTTTTCTGCTCTGACATGCTGGTGTTTAAATAACATTTAAAAACCAGCAGGTTTTCTGCTCTGACATGCTGGTTTTTTCAATGTTTATTAAACATGAACATTTTATTTCTACAATATATTTTTATTCTATTCTGCAGACTTCAGATTACTTTAGACAAAAATACATCAGTAACTGCAGTTTCAGTAACCATATAACCGCAAATTGGAATTACGAAAATAATTTTTTAATGGAAAGACGCCAATTTTGGGGAAATTTTTTTTAAATTTTGATTAAAAGTTTTTTGCGCTCGTCTGAGTTAGTTTGTTTGGTCATATAAAAATTGGTTTTATTTTGCGAAACTGCAATGGAAACACTTCTTTCATGTCACAAGAGTCACATGATCAAAAACCGGATGTTACTCCTGGAGGAAACGACAAAGAAGACGACAGACAGGAAGTAGTTTTTTAAAGACTTATCGCGTAAACAAACTGATTCACAAGGGATTTTAATTACGTTTCTTATTTAATGGAAACATTACTATTGCGAAATTATGTACACATATGCAGAATATTGACATTAGTGACAGAAACGCAGCAGCAAACTTGTGTTGCTTCTCTTTGTGTGCAGCCGGCGGTCAGTGGGAGGAGTCAGAGCTGATCAACTCCACGCAAGGTTTCTATTCGCTGACGGGCCTCCAGCCAGGAACCGAGTACAGCCTGAGGATCCTGCACGACAACAACACGCACTGGCAGGAAATGCTGCGGACCGTCGGACCAGGTGCGTCGCACAAACTGCCTGGACTGAATGTTGTTTACGTTCATGAAGACGTTATGAAGGTGAAACGTTTCTGCCTCAGTGCCGTCGGAAATGCCGGGCCGGTTTGCCACCCAGGGCTGGCTGATTGGACTCGTCAGCGCCATCGTGCTCCTCATCCTCATCCTCCTCATCCTCTGCCTCATCAAGCGCAGCAGGGGGGGGAAATATGCAGGTACGCCCAAACCGATGATCCGACGGAAAACACGACGGAAACACAAGGTGCTGATGTAGAAGAACGTTTTTCTCCTCACAGTGAAGGACAAAGAGAAAAAGGAGATCGACTTCGACCTTCAGAACAAGGATGAAACCTTCGGCGAGTACAGGTGAGTCACCGCGATCGGAACCAATCAGAACCAATCAGAACCAATCAGAACCAACAATCACTGCCGATCGGAACCAAACAGAACCAACAATCACTGCCGATCGGAACCAATCAGAACTAACAGTCACCGCGATCGGAACCAATCAGAACCAATCAGAACCAACAATCACTGCGATCGGAACCAATCAGAACCAATCAGAACCAACAATCACTGCCGATCGGAACCAATCAGAACCAATCAGAACCAACAATCACTGCGATCGGAACCAATCAGAACCAACAGTCACTGCCGATCGGAACCAATCAGAACCAACAGTCACTGCCGATCGGAACCAATCAGAACCAACGGTCACCGCGATCGGAACCAATCAGAACCAACAGTCACTGCCGATCGGAACCAATCAGAACCAATCAGAACCAACAGTCACTGCCGATCGGAACCAATCAGAACCAATCAGAACCAACAATCACTGCCGATCGGAACCAATCAGAACCAACAGTCACTGCCGATCGGAACCAATCAGAACCAACAGTCACTGCCGATCGGAACCAATCAGAACCAATCAGAACCAACAGTCACTGCCGATCGGAACCAATCAGAACCAACAGTCACTGCCGATCGGAACCAATCAGAACCAATTCAGAACCAACAGTCACTGCCGATCGGAACCAATCAGAACCATCAGAACCAACAGTCACCGCCGATCGGACTAATCAGAACCACAGTCTCTCCAGAAATGTAGATTCTTTGAACGTCCCGGTTTGAGCTCTGAACTGGGCCGGAACAAATCTTTTTGCTAATTAATCGTGCCATATTATTATAAATATGTAACATTTAATAAACTCTAAATTTATCGAGCGATTAATTCAGAGCTTATTTACATCAAACTAGTAAGTAAGTCAACAAGTTTGATGTCTTATTTCACCATCAGTCAACAGCAGGAAGAGATGAATCGATTATTTGTGTAACAGCTATAAAAATGATATAGAAATCATTTTCTACATGTAAAAGCATTGAGCTTATTTATTCAGTCTTATTTTAAATGTATTTGTTTTATCCTGCTAGCTTGGTGCTCTTGGAGGCGCTAAGCACTGCAGATTGATTTGCATATGCCTTGGGCCGGCTCTGGGAGCAAAGAGACTGAATGTTGCGTTTTGTTTTCGCTCATGTCTGTCTTTCTCCTCTCCTCCTGCTTTTCCTGCAGATCTCTGGAGAGGTGAGGGAGTCGGCCTTCCTGTTGTCATGTGCTTCTTCGTTCTCACTGGCATAGAAATAAAACCTTTCTGTTCTTAAATCTGATAAATATCTGATGGTTAAAGTTGATGCTTGCTTATCATGTCCGCCTCATTTTCAACATGTTTCACTGCTTTCTGGGAATCGGATGGTTTTCTCTCCCAAACCAGTTTATAAAACCAGTAAAAAAACAGATAAAATAGTGCTGAGTCATGCTCTCACCTTTCCTGCAACCTCACCTGGATGCTTCCCGCTCGCATCAAACTCCTTCCTGAAGTCGTTTTTGTTTTTGTTGCAATTGTCTGGTTTCACTTTTAAAGGCTGAGAAATTTTTCACTGATGGAGGAAATTAAACTTGTTTTCACTCTGAAGTGCAAAGGATTTAGCAGCCACACAAATTTCTGTGGATCTGGTTTTTCATGTTTCTATGAGGAAATGAGAAGAAATTTAAAAACGTCTCAGACGAGTCTGTTATAGGAGAAAAATATTTCAGCCATATTTTCACCTCATCATTAAAATATCACAGTTTAAAACTAAACATTAGATCCAGATTAAGCTAATTATTTAGCTTTGTAACTATGGAAATATTAGATTAAGAGTCTAATTAGCTATATATTGCTAATGAATATTTGCTTCATTAGTAAGCTAAATATTTGGTTTTAAATTAGTTAGAAAGCTAGTTAGTGAGCAAACTTAATAACTAGCTTCAAGCTAAATATTTAGCTCAAAAGTAGTTAGCAAGCTAAGTATTTAGTTCTAATATCTCCAACCTCAGTGACTGAGGTTTGAAAAACCCAACATTTGTGTTGCTGCAGAATCATTTGTCTCAGACTGGAAACAACTTTCTGAGCCGCTGCAGCCTTTTGAGCCGACGTCTTATTTCTGTTTTTTGTTCAAGCTTTTATGGCTTTTTGTTTAAATTCATCTCTTTTTGTTCTCCATCCCTTTGTTTTCCTCTGATTACAGCAGATTATTATAATCCGTTTAAAATATATTCACACTCTCTGACCTTTCTAACATTTTGATGCATCAAAGCCACAAACTTATTGTGTTTTCAACATAAAGTGGAGCCAAAATATTTTACTAGTGAAAATCTGAAAGTGTGACACGCAGTTGGATACAAAGGTAAAGGTATCTTTATTTATATCGCACATCTTCAGCAACAAACCCTCTTCACTCCAAAACCCTCAATAAAATCCAGTGCAGTGAACTGCTCGAGAGCTCAGCCACCTTGTGACCTCTAAAGTCATAAGGTTTAGAGGTCATAAGGTCTGGTGGTCTTTAGCCAAAGACCATGAGACATTTCTGCTGCTAGCATTAGGCTAGCATGTTAGCTTTGGTTGTTTTTACCCAAAATGCCCTGCGTTGTGGTCCACTTCCTGCTATTGGAGCGGTCTCTGGTCTGCTTGGTGTTCTCATGTGCATTCAAACCGAACCAGAGTTCATTTCAACCGAACCAGATGGAGGTTTGTAGCCGGATCAGAGTTAGCTTGCGCGTTCACAGCACCCCAAACAAACTAGACTTTCTGAAATGGACCGGAGTTGATTAAAGCGACTAAACGCGACTTGCAAAGAGAACTGCAGCTCTAACCTCAATAAAAGATGGTCCTAGAAAGTATTAAGGGCTAAATACATGTGCACACCACACTTTTCAGATTTACATTTGTAAAAACACAGAAACATATGAAAATAATTCATTAATTTCCGTTGCTTTAGCTGCTTCCATTACTTTCTGTCCCACAGAACTGCAAATAAAGCAAAACTAAAAGTTGTGGTCGTGACAAAATGTGAAAAAGTTGAAATCTGGTTCTGACGCCGCCGTCACAACCGCTGTTCCGCTCTGCTTCCCCGCAGCGACGGCGACGAGAAACGCTCGGACAGCCAGCGGCCCTGTGCGACGACAGCAAGCTGGGGAGCGACGACTCGCTGGCCGAGTACGGCGACAGCGTGGACATCCAGTTCAACGAGGACGGCTCCTTCATCGGCCAGTACAGCGGCCGCTCCGCCGCGCCGCACGGCAGCTCCGGCCCGGCCTCCCCGATCAACCCGCCGCCGCCGCCCTTCGCTCCCTCCATGTCCGGCATCCTGAACCGGCCCAGCTAGATCCAGAACCAGAACCGCCCACACGTGCATGCCTGCAGCAGAGACGGACCGAGTCCACTTCCTGATTCCGACATCCACAGGAAGTTTTACTCCATGTTTACAGCTTTTGATGCAAAACTGCTAACTGCAAGAAAATGAACAAATTTGGCTCCTTTATAGAAACAAATATATATTCATGAAATGAAATCCACTGCAGTAAGTTACTCTTTACTGTTCAACTCTGCAAAAACACAAAGTAATACCAGGAGTTTATAGTCCAGTTTGTAGTGCAGGCAGATTAAAACACTAAATTAAGACCAAAGTCATTTTAAATCATCTTATCAGCAAGTTTAGAAACTTATTTTAAGTAATTAATTCCTTAATATTGATGAAAAAGTTCTAGTTCCAAGTAAATTGAACTAATATTTCATATTATGGAATTACTTAAAGCTTCAAATCAAGTTATTTGTATTTAATCTATTTGCACTGCAGCTGGACTATTAACTATTATTTTGTGTTTTTGCAGTGAATCTTCACTGCCGTATTTCTAACCATTGCTGTAAAGCTTGGAGTTAGCAGCTTTGTACTGTTGAGCTCAGAATCATATTATTATCGCTCTGTCAGAATATAACAGCTTCAAATTTCTCCTTAAAAAGCAAAAACTGGCGCAGCTGGACAAATATGATGCATTTAGCTGAATTTCCCATCAATATTTCTGCCTCATTCCGTTTCTTCATCCATTTTTACTCAAACGTCGTAACTTTTTTTATAGAAACATTTAAATTCTTCATGGGCGAACCGGGAATGATGCAGACTTTGGTTCTGAGAGGATAAATCGGTACTAACCTGCTTCTCTGTGCAGCTTCAGCGCGCGACTAAACCCTGTAATCAGAATAAAGTATAAATCCCATCATATAATGTTTCATTTCACACATTTTCAGCGTGCCTCAGTTTTTAAAGGGAAAAGTTCAGCCGCATTGTAATAAAGGTAGTTAGTCCCTTTGGCCACCAGATGGCGCCAGTTTTAACTGACTGCAGTGATTTTTAGTTGCAAAAAGCTCCCAGCTTCCTGTGGAGAGGCGGGAACATTGTTATGCAGGCAAAAAGAGAAAATCACGTTTTCCTTCTCTGAATGTAAATAAAACCTTAAGATTGTCTCTTTTGTTACTTTATACAGCTTGTTTTATAAAATAACCAATTGTTTTTATTATCTATTGACGTGTTTGATTTGAGCGTTGTAACGTCCAGACCTCCCACCCACTGTCTGCTGCTGACCTTTCCCCTCGTGTCACTTCGTAGCTCCAGATCCTGTAGAGAAGACAATTAGGAAATTCAACCCTCTTCCTGTTTCCTGTAGAGTTTAGAGACGCAGCAGAAATACAGATTATTAAACGTGACGTTCAAACGGTGCCGGGCGCAGAAAAATGGAGTCAATGTCTGCCAAAAACACTCAGGATTTTCAGATCAAAAAAGTCTACAAAAAATTCAACATTTGAGAAAAAACAAGGACTTTTTTTTTTACTTTGAGAAGTCAAAAATGAATGTCAAATTTTGAAATTAATCTTAGAAATTTTTGAGAAAAACTGAAATTTCTGAGATTGAAAAGTCAAAAACCTGATAGAAAAAACACATTTTTAGATTAGTCTTGGAAAAATTCTAGAAAAAAAACCAAGTAAATTTCTAAGTTTCAAAAGTTAAAAATTTTTGCCATTTGAAACTCAGAATAAAAATTTGTAGAAAATGTCTGAGATTAATCTAAATTTTTTCCTAAAAGTTTTTGACTTTTGGAGTTCACAAATTTTCTTGTTTTTTCTGAAATTTCTGAGTTTCATAAGTTGTAAATTTTAGTTTGTTTTCATAGAAACTTTCTGGGATTTTTGGACGGAAATTTGCTCCTTTCTTCTCGTTTCTCCGACGTCGTTGGACCCGGAGCAGAGACTTTAACGACTTCCCTGAGGTTTGCAGATGTTCTGTGATGAAGCTGCTCAGATGTTCCGGTTCTCCTGGTTCCATCCAGAACCAGCCGGAACAGGGAGCCCTCAGCGGGGCTCGGACCAGACCGGACCGGACCGGACCGGACCGGACCGGACCGGACTGGACGGAGAGGAGAACTGGCTGCAATACTGAGATGTGCTACTAACTCGCTTGTTGCATTGTGCTGTATGTAAGCTGGCGAACTAACCTCAGACTGTCAACGAATAATAAACATGGCAACGCATTTACTGAACATCGGCTCTGGGTTCTGTTTGACAGGCTGCAGCGAACCACAGCGCCGCCCTACAGACGGAAAACAGGACGACATTTATGGCAAAACGCTCTAGAAAAAATTATTGAAGATTTTCAACTTTAGAGCTCAGAAATTTCCTTTCTGTTTGTTTCTGAGACTGATCTAAAAGTTTTTGATTATTTTACTGTAAATTTATGACTTTTCACATTCAGAAACTTTCACGTTTTTGCAGAACTTTTCTTTTTTTTTTTTTGCAAATTTTTGATTAGAAGAACTGAGACATTTCTGAGATTTTCCTAGAATATTTCTGCAGTTAATCCAAAAATTTCTGGGTTATTTCTCCTGCACATTTATTTATGCTTTATATTAAGAAAACAGAAAATTTCTGAGATAAATCTAAAAAAAATGTATTTTTTCCCCACAATTGTTTGTATATGAAGAAATCTTTCCGGGATTTTAGAGCTTTCAGGACTAATCTTGAAAAGTTCAGTTTAAAAAAAAAAGTATGTTTTTGTTTTTTGAGCTTAGAAGTTTTTCAATATTTTCTGAGATCAATCTCAAAATGTGTAATTTAAAAAAAAAATCTTAATATTTTGGATTTTTGGAAATGGAATTTCCAAGCTCTTTCTTACTAATTTTCTTACCTTTCAAATTCAGAAATCTTTGATTTTTCTAGAAATTTCTAATATTAATCTCAAAATTTCAGATTTGTTTCTCAAAATTTTTAATAAAAAAGTCAATGTTTTTTTTCTAGAAAATTTCTGACATTTATCACTTTCTTCTTTATTTTTTTGCTAAATTTTGACTTGAAGCTCAGACATTTCCCGGTTTCTAGAAAATATCTGATTGATCTAAAATATCAGATTATTTCCCTTTCATATTCGGAAATCTGATTTTGATAGAAATTTAAGATTTTTCACCGCAAATTTGGACTTTTCTTGTCTTTTCTTTTCTTCTCTTGTTTTGCTGAAGTTCAGACGTTTCTAAGTGTTTTCCAGAAACTGCAGGCAGGAAGTTGTTATTTCTTGCAGCGGGTCGTGACGTAACCATGACGCGGTTCCTGTGGAGGAGGAGAACCTGGAGGCTTCAGACCTGCAGCAGCAGGATGAGGACGCGCCGTGGAGGCTCCGTGGAGTGGGCGGGCCCACGGCCAGCTTTCACGCTCGGTGCTCACATGGTGTCAGAACTGACGGCGCAGGACGGAACCGAGACCCGGGAAGATGCTCCGCTTCCAGCGTCCGCACGGTAAACCGCACCGACCCGCTGCATCATGCATGCATGCATGCATTCATTCATTCATTCATTCATTCATTCATTCATTCATTCTTTCTTTCATTCATTCATTCATTCTTTCTTTCTTTCTTTCTTCATTGAGAGGTGAAATCCTCCGCGCGCGACCTTGTGTCTGATCAAAGATCCTCTATTGAGCTGAAGATGCTCGGCTCTTTGTTTGTTATTTTGGAGTCTCGAGCTCGTGCGTGGCAGGCAGGCGCGTGCGCGTGGAGAAGGAAGAGTCATTGTATAAACCAGGCGCCCCGCTGTGCCTCCACCTCCCCCCCCCCCCCCCCCACACACACACACACATGGAGGAACAACAAGCTGCTTTGTTAAATCTTCATCATGTCCAGTTAAAATATTTAGTTCCAAACTAAATATTTAGTTAAGCAGCTAATCATTTAGTTTACAACCAAAATATTTAGAGCACAAACTGAATATTTAGCTAATATGCAAATTCACTTTGAATAATATTTAAGCTTCGGAAAATATTAGCAAACTAAATACTTAGCTCCAAACTAAATAGCTCTGAACTCTATATTTAGTTAACTATTAACTAATCAAAGTACATTTTTATTTTGAAGCAAATAATTACTTTGAAGCTGTATGTAGCTCAGAGCTATTTAACTTGAACATAAACTAAATGTTTACCTGGATGACCAACATTGTGAAAAATTAATTCCCTTTTTTTTCTTTTATTAAATAACCCAAATTATTGCTGGTCATTTTTAACTTCATGTCACCTCATAGTTTTCTTGGTTCCTTTTCCTTTTTGGCATTTCAGGAGTTCCGTACGCAGAAGCTGGTTGGGAAGATTTTGTCTGAGCTTCATCAAAACAAGATTAGTTGTGCCTCCAAAGTGGACACATTGATTTAAAAAGTTTCTTTATCGCAGCGATCAGCCTGGTGTCTGACAGCAGCAGTTATTGAACACTTGGTTCCTCCATCCAAGCATTGATGCTTCATGTCTGAATGATTTTCTCTCTCAGAGGGTTTGAAGGATTATTATTATTATTATTCAAAAAATATTATATTTTTCGAACCGTTTTGGCTGAATTCATGCACTGAGAGTGTTATTCTTCCAGCAAATGGCCTTTTTTCTGTCAATGTTTAATCAATAACTGGATTAATTGGTGGTTATTTCAATAATCAATTAATCAGGATTGATCGATTCAGCTTCCTGCTGTCAGCCATCAGGATCCCACAGAACATCCACTTCCTGTATTCCAGGTCAAAGTGTAGCGTTGTGCTGACTGGACGTTATTCTGAGACAAACAGACGAACCGACCAATCACAGCGAAGCAAACAGGTAGCTCCGCCCACATTGTGAGAAAGTTCAAACTGCATGTTTAACTGGGAAGATCCCTGCTGTTACACACACACCGACTCTGAGACGACGTCAAGACGCACACACACACACACACACACACACACACACACAGCGGAGTCATGTCCCAGAACCAGGCGACGCTCACCAGAACCCCCCTGGAAAAACCTGGGTTCCCTGGATGGGAAGCAGACTGAGCAAACGCAGAGGCTGTGAGTAGACAGAACCACCGGTTCTGGTTCTGACCCGCTGTGGGTTTCTGTGCCTCTCTTTTGAGGAGTGTGAGACTTTAAGCCGACTGAGTTTGGATGTTTCTCATTTTGGAAACATGGAGAAGTCCTGAAGGCCATTCACCCCAGGGGTCACGGGGTCATTGTGTTCTGATCCGATTTTAAAGCTGCAGTTGGAAGTTTGTAGCAAAACAAAAAGTTTTTACACGTTTATTCAGGCGGTCGCCATGTGACAATAGTTGAACATGACAGATAATCCGTGAAAAGATAAATTTACAGCTGAAACGCTTCAGAAACAACCAATCAGAGCCGGGAGGCGGGGCTTAGCGCTGCCAGTCACCTCACATACTTGCTGCTAAATGTGCTAATGGCGGAAAACAACTCACCGTTACAAGAAAACCGATTATCCCTCATCAGAAGTGGCTATGCTAATTAGCCTTAGCATTCAGAATAGACAATGCTAGCGAGCCTAGCATTCACAGCAGGCCATGCTAGCTAGCGTAGCATTCAAAGCAGGCCATGCTAGCTAGCGAAGCATTCACAGCAGGCCATGCTAGTTAGCGTAGCATTCACAGCAGGCCATGCTAGCTAGCGAAGCATTCACAGCAGGCCATGCTAGTTAGCGTAGCATTCACAGCAGGCCATGCTAGCTAGCCTAGCAGTCACAGCAATCAATGCTAGCTAGCATAGCATTCACAGCAGGCCATGCTAGCTAGCGTAGCATTCACAGCAATCAATACTAGCTAGCCTAGCATTCACAGCAAGCAATGCTAGCTAGCCTAGCATTCACAGCAAGCAATGCTAGCTAGCCTAGCATTCACAGCAAGCAATGCTAGCTAGCCTAGCATTCACAGCAAGCAATGCTAGCTCGCCTAGCAGTCACAGCAAGCAATGCTAACTGATTTAGTTGATAAAATTAGTTGATTGTTTCAGCCATACTGTGTGATGGATTCTTGATCAAACGTTCGTCTTTTCTTATGATTAGTATCCATGGCAACAGACCATCTCTTCCATCATGTGAAATTGTTAGCAGCTGGATGACCTTCGACCCCTGAACTCTCAGTTTGATTTCCGTTTGGGATCAATAAAGTTTCTTCTTCTTGTGTTTCAGCTTCGGTTCCCCAGTTCACCAATTCTCCCACCGTGATCGTGATGGTCGGCCTGCCGGCTCGCGGCAAAACCTACATCTCCAAGAAGCTCACCAGGTACCTGAACTGGATCGGCGTGTCGACCAAAGGTATCGTCGTCCTCCTGCCGGGTCCAACTGGGTTTTACTGCCTTCAGCTGCAGCGTTTCTGACCCCTGGTGTCCGTCATCGGGTCGGACTACCGCTGCTAGAACCAGAACATTTTCAAGGTTTTGGAAATTTTCTGAATTTCAAAAGTTGAAAATGTTCAACCTTAAGGGTTTCCAAATGTTTTCAGGAAACTTTCTGAATTCATCTGCAAATGTTTGAGTCTTTTATTGTAAAGTTTTGAAACTTTAAAGTTGGAAATTTTATCCTTTGTCCTAAATTGTTGTTTTTTTCTGTTTTTAATCTGAAAATTTAAGATTTTTCTAGAAAATTTCTGAAATGAACCTTGAAAAGTTTAGAGTTTTTCATGCAAATCTTCAACTTATGAAACTTAAAAATTTTTTGATATTAGTCAAATTTTTTTACGTTTTTTTCTGGTGAATTTTTAATGTTTTTCTTTAGTGAATAATTTAGAAGCATAAATGATTTTTGAATTGCATTTCTTTGTTTTCAATTCAAGTGCAATAAAATGATTAAAGATTCTGAGATGATTTTTTATTATTTCTTGTTTTTCAGTGTTTAATGTGGGGCAGTACAGAAGAGAAGCAACCCGCTCCTACAACAGCTACGAGTTTTTTAAACCTGACAACGCAGAAGCCATGAAGATACGAAGGTAGAAACAGATTAAAGAAAATATTACGATTTCATCAAATCCTCAGATTCAGCTGGAAATCCCACATTTAAGTTTCATCTATATTTAATTTGCTTTTGTTGTTTCTTAATGTTTTTGATGTAGTTTTTAATGTTTTTATTTTGTTTTTAATGTTTTTATTTTGCCTTTTTGGTTTTTAAATATTTTTTTGATGTTTTTATTTTATTTCTGGTGTTTTTCGTGCTGTTTTTGATGTTTTGTGTTTTCTTGCAGCGCCTGTGTGAAAACGGCCCTGCAGGATGTGAGTGACTACCTGACCACTTACCAAGGTCAGGTCGCGGTGAGTTCAGGTCAAAGGTTATCCAAAGAGCGATGTTCAGAGACAGGATGCAAATCTGGAGAAGTTCACCTGAAGCTGATCCGACCGTAACAACAGAACCATCAGACGTTCTTTGGTTAATGATCAATGTTTTGTTGTGATCTTTGAAACATCTGCAGGAGTTAAAGTCGTAGTTATTCTCGGTCCTGATTTTGTCCTGCCAGGTTTTCGATGCCACCAACACGACGCCGGAGCGCAGAGAGGTCATCCTCAGCTTCGGCAAGGAGAACGGCTACAAAGTTGGTTTTTAATGTTTCCTGCTGTGAAACGTAGAAATGAGTCAAACACGGAGCTTCAGCTTCCATCTTCTCCCTGGTTCAGGTTTTCTTTGTGGAGTCGATTTGCGACGATCCTGAAATCATTGCTGAGAATATTAAAGTAAGTTACTGTGATAAACATCTGCTGGTGATGATGACTGAAAAAACAATAGAAATGTCATTCATTTCATTGAACTGCAGACAATAACTGCATTCAATCATATTTTTGAATTTGCTGATATTCATTGATGCTCTTGTTGAACAGTGAAAAATAAAAGCAGATTTGGTTTTATTTCATATTAATAATTTAATTCATCAAGGTGATAAAAGTCAGAATTATACATTTTAAAATATGCTCCCATTTATTAGTCATAATAAAGACTAATAAAGCTTCATTTTGTTTAAATATCCAAATTAAAACCAAAGCAAAAATGAAAACGAAAATAAAAACCACAGACAACCAAATAAATTAGATTATGAAGTTTGTAAGCAAGAGTATTAATCTTCAGAGGGGAACTTATCGATCGATTAATTTATCATGTGATGAACTGATTATTTACGGTTGACCTCAGACTCTGAAGGCGTTTTTTTTCTGTGGTAAACAGCAAGTGAAGCTTTCGAGTCCTGATTACATCGATTGTGACAAAGAAGAAGCTGTTGCAGATTTTCTGAAGAGGATCGAGTGTTACAAGATGACCTACGTTCCCCTGGACGACAGCAAGGACCGGTAACCGATACGATATCATCGCTAGCTTCACATATCGATACAATATCACAGCCAGCTACACATACCGATACGATACCACCGCCAGCTAAACATACCGATATGATACCACCGCTAGCTACACATACCGATACGATACCACCGCTAGCTACACATACCGATACGATACCACCGCTAGCTACACATACCGATACGATACCACCGCTAGCTACACATACCGATACGATACCACCGCCAGCTAAACATACCGATACGATACCACCGCTAGCTACACATACCGATACGATATCACCGCTAGCTACACATACCGATACGATACCACCGCTAGCTACACATACCGATACGATATCACCGCTAGCTACACATACCGATACGATACCACCGCTAGCTACACATACCGATACGATACCACCGCTAGCTACACATACCGATACGATACCACCGCTAGCTACACATACCGATACGATACCACCGCCAGCTAAACATACCGATATGATACCACCGCTAGCTACACATACCGATACGATACCACCGCTAGCTACACATACCGATACGATACCACCGCTAGCTAAACATACCGATACGATACCACCGCTAGCTACACATACCGATACGATACCACCGCTAGCTACACATACCGATACGATATCACCACTAGCTAAACATACATCATTAGGCTAAATGTTCAGCTTAAAGCTAAATATAAAGTTGTACGACTATATATTTAGTTAGTAAACTGATATTTAGATCTGTTGTTTATATTATATTTAGTTTGGAGCTAAAGATTTAGTTGTTAATTATGTAGCTTGCCAATTAAATATTTAGTTTAAACATTTAAGATTAATGAATAATGTTGTAAAATTATTAGTTTAAAAATTATCCCCCATTTTTTTTCTTCTCTGATGCTAAATAATCCAAATTCTAGACGTTAAAGTTTTACTGTATCTTTGCTCCATATTAAAGGCTAAACGACGTAACGAGCTTCATGCGGTTTCTCTCCGCAGGAGTTTATCGTACATTAAGATCTTCAACGTGGGCAGCCGGTACCTGGTGAACCGGGTCCAGGACCACATCCAGAGCCGGATCGTCTACTACCTCATGAACATCCACGTCACGCCCAGATCCATCTACCTGTCCCGGCACGGCGAGAGCGAGCTCAACCTGGTGGGGCGCATCGGGGAGACTCCGGCCTGTCCCACCGGGGGCAAAGGTCAGCCAGCGCCGCATCGGCTACTCAGCATTTCACCAAACAAAACAGAACCAGAGTCCAAGTTTAAGATGATCAGCTGAGGTCAAAGGTGAATCCTATCATGCAGAGTGCTGGATGCTGATGTTTATGTTTGCAGCCGCAGCTGCAGCACTCCCAGTTTCACTGCAGAGCAAAGTCCAGCGATAACAAAATCACTCAGATGGCAAAACAACTCAAATATCTATCAATAATCAATAAAAAACACATCCAGGCGGAGCACCGATAAAAGCTCTTTAAATTATTCTATAGATTAGAATCAGCCTTTATGCAGGATGTAAAGGCTCAAACAAATCAAAAATATTTACCTAACAAGATATTTAGTTGATAAACAACTAAATACGGCGCTTCAAACTAAATGTTTAGTTTACTAACACAGTTTTTACTTGTTAAATAGATATTTAACTAAATACTTGGCTAATTTAGCAACTAAATATTTAGTTTACCAGCTACATTTTCATTTTGTAAATAAATATTTAGTTGCTATGCTAATATTTAGTTGCTAAGCTAAGTATTAGGAACTAAATATTTAGTTTACAATGTAAATATTTAACTTACCAATTAATTATGTACCTCCATGCTAAGTACTTAGTATCCCAACTAAATTTGTAGTTGGTAAATAAAACAATAGTAACTAAATGCATATTTAGCTGGGAAGAGAAATATTTAGTTGCTGATGTTTAGTTCTGTGTTTGTCAGTTCGCCGCGGCGCTGGGCGCCTACATGCGCAGCCAGAACCTCAGCGACCTGAAGGTTTGGACCAGCCACATGAAGAGGACCATCCAGACCGCGGAGGCGCTGCGGGTCCAGTACGAGCAGTGGAAGGCCCTGAACGAGATCGACGCTGTGAGACACACCGACCCGCATTCACACGCAAGACTCCCGCCCTCACGTCACATTCATGTTTTCATCCTCCGCTCAGGGAGTCTGTGAGGAAATGACTTATGAGGAGATTCAGGAGCATTACCCAGAGGAGTTCGCTCTGAGGGATCAGGACAAATATCGGTACCGGTACCCCAAAGGAGAGGTGAGTCTGCAGGAAGCCCAGAGCGAGTCTCAGGTTGTTCCCGAACCCGGAGTGAAAACGTTTGGTTAACGGCAGCAGGAAGGAAGTAACTGGTGCTGGAAGAGCTAAAACAGATCTGCAGCATTTAGGATAATCAGGGTTAAAAAATAATTCAGACGCTTCAACAATCAGTTTGAAAAACTCTTCATTTGTAACCGAATTAGTTTCTGCAAGTACTGAAGGATCTTCTGGGTATAAAGAGAAAAAAACGGAAGAAAAAACTTTAAAACAGACAAAATGGGAGAAAAATAGAAACATTTGAAAAAGCAAAAAGGTAGAAGAATAAAAAATATTAGTTTCACATCTACTCTACAGATTTCTAGATTAGTCTCCATTCATAGACTTTAATATCGGAGGTTTGCTCCAATAAATTCTGATTTAATAAGGAAACCGATCCAGTGATGTGTCCAGTTGACTCATTGTATTCTGATCCTGTACGGAATGACAGTAATGTCAAAAATAAAGAAAAAAAAGACTAAGTATGAACTTACTTTTGCGAACTGGAGTTGCAGGTTTGAGAACGTTTATCATTGGTGTGTTTATAAATCCAACCTGGATCAGGTGACTGTTTAACCTTTGCCCTCCAGTCGTACGAGGACCTGGTCCAGCGTCTGGAGCCCGTCATCATGGAGCTGGAGAGGCAGGAGAACGTCCTGGTCATCTGTCACCAGGCAGTCATGAGATGTCTGATGGCCTACTTCCTGGACAAAAGTGCAAGTGAGAAAAAAAAACATCTTTATTTTACCCAAAATATTCCAGTAGCTGCGTTTCCATTAGCCATAGAACTGCACAAAGTAAAATTATGAAAATAAATTAGCGTAAAGTTGCAGTACGTAACTTTTATCAAGTAAATGTTCTGGACATTTGTGTTAAATCTGTCAGCATGTTGTGACAGTTTATGACACAGATAATCTGCTATTGTGTCTGAAGACACAAAAACAACCAATCAGAGCCAGAGGCGGGGCTTAGCGCTGTCAATCAAACTGATGTACACGCTGAAACATGTGCTAATGGTGAAGAAACAACTTTCCATGACAGAAAAATTTATTATTTGCCGTAATTGGTGGCTATGTTAACTAGCTTAGCGTTTACAACATGCTATGCTAAAGCTAAGACCCGCCTCCTGGCTCTGACTAGTTGCTTCTAGTTGGCAGTGGGAGATAATCTGTGAGCAGCTCACAGATTATTATACCAAACAACATGGTGATTTTCAACAAATGTATAAAAAACACATTTTAATCAGATAGAAACACTGAAACATTTTTTAATAAACAGTTTTAGGGATGGGATGAGGTGTTTTTTTTAACCGTACCAAAAACAAATTTACATCACAAAAGTTACGTGATCAACAACCAGATGTTGCTACTGATGGAAATGAAGAAGAAAAGTTGACAGGAAGTGGCGAAGGGATGACGGTTGGTCCATCAGGGCTCTCACAGCATCACAGTCCATAAAACGTTCTGTCCTTCCAACCAGTTGAATCCAAACCTCTCCTGGAAAATGGTCGACTACATTTTCCCCAAAATGCCACAAACGTAGCCACGCCCAAGTAGGCGGGGCTTGTTGCTCTATGGAAAGCCATCCAGCTCAAATTTAACATGCAAACATGAATATTTAACACAACACAGCCAACGTGTCATATATATTTGAGCAGGATGGCTTCCCATATCGCTCCAATGCCTGAATATAACTGAAGTAACTGTTTACATTTTATCACTGCCAAGATTATTGGTGCAGCTGGTGTGTTTCTGACGCAGTGACTCCTGTTCTGTGGCAGGTGAGCTGCCGTACCTGAAGTGTCCTCTGCACACCGTCCTGAAGCTCACGCCGGTCGCCTACGGTGCGTCTCTGCTGCCGCTGTTCCCCATCAGTTGGCCGTTTTATCAGCCTCAGCTGCTCTGGGTCTGGATCTGATGTTTGCTGAGATGTATTTCACCACTTCTGTTTGGTTTCCCTCAGGGTGTAAAGTTGAGTCGGTCTTTCTCAACATTGAAGCTGTGAACACACACAGAGACCGGCCCGAGGTAACTGCAGCGTGTCGGTACGGCGGCTCAGCCAGCGATAACAGAAACTGGAAGATTTTCAGACCTGCCTGTCTGATAAAAACACAAATGTTACGTTTGTCCCACATGAAACTTTTCCATTCCTGCCTCAGCTTCACTCAGAGCTTTACTTTCATTGATACAGCAAGTAGAAAATTAATTTAAATGTTTTAAAAAAGAAAATGTTTGTGTCCAGTTGTTTTTTCTAATCTCTTTTCTTATATATGCAGATTTTAGAAGAGTAAAAAATATCAAATATTTCTAAAGTAGAATGACAAAATAAGCAATTTTGGTTGTAAAGAATAAAATTGCAAAACAATCACAAAATCCTGGATTGGAAAACAGATTTTTGTATCTTTTGATGTAAATAGTTTGATAAACATCTCGAGTTTGTTTTTCTCAGAATGTGGATGTGGACAGAGACCCGGAGGAGGCGCTGGAGACGGTTCCTGAACACATCTAGAGGACGCCTCAGCGTCCGTCCGTCCAGAGATGTTTCTGTAATCCTTGTTTTAGAACTGAGAGCTCGCTGATAACGAAAGGTTTCTTCCATCTTAGTTCCACTGTCAGTGCACTTTATCTGGAAGGTCCAGGCTGAAACGACTGTTCACCAGTCACTGATCTGTTTCACGCTGCATCTCTTCATCCTGTGATTTCTTCTCTTGTAATTTCATGTGTTCAGCAATAACAGCGGCGGCCGCCATGTTTTAGGTTTGGAAAGTGACGTTCATTCCCTCATTCATTTACATCAGCTGGATGTAAATGTTAAATTCAGCTGCCATCTCATTTCCAGGAACTTTGTGACCGACAGCCATGTTGGTAGGCAGTTGCTCTGACAACTGTTCCAGCTCATACAACTATTACTTGATTACAGCTTTTGAGAACTTAGCCATCTCTGCTAACCAATCTTTACTGTAGTACTTACTGCCGAACTAGCTAAATTAGCCTAGCTAACATAGCGTATTTGCTAATATTGTTTTTACTAGGGTGTCAGCGCATCCTATGTCTTCAGTTCATAAAAGATGTGCAATAAATAATCACAGGCAGAGCTATTTAGCTAAATATGTTTGAGTCACGCACACATCATTTAGGCTAGCACTAGCTAGCTGCTAACAGACCATCACTAGCCACCTGCAAACAGACCCTTCTTAGCCACCTGCTAACAGACCCTCGTTTGCCACCTGCTAACAGACCCTTGCTAGCTACCTGCTAACAGACCCTTGCTAGCTACCTGCTAACAGACCCTCATTTGTCACCTGCTAACAGACCCTTGCTAGCTACCTGCTAACAGACCCTTGCTAGCTACCTGCAAACAGACCCTTCCTAGCCACCTGCTAACAGACCCTTGCTAGCTACCTGCTAACAGACCCTTGATAGCCACCTGCTAACAGACCCTTGCTAACCATCTGCTAACAGACCCTCGCTAGCCACCTGCTAACAGACCCTTGCTAGCTACCTGCTAACAGACCCTTGCTAGCTACCTGCTAACAGACCCTTGATAGCCACCTGCTAACAGACCCTCATTTGCCACCTGCTAACAGACCCTCGCTAGCCACCTGCTAACAGACCCTCATTTGCCACCTGCTAACAGACCCTTGCTAGCCACCTGCTAACAGACCCTCGCTAGCCACCTGCTAACAGACCCTTGCTAGCTACCGGCTAACAGACCCTCGCTAGCCACCTGCTAATAGACCCTCGCTAGCCACCTGCTAACAGACCCTTGATAGCCACCTGCTAACAGACCCTTGCTAGCTACCGGCTAACAGACCCTCGCTAGCCACCTGCTAATAGACCCTCGCTAGCCACCTGCTAACAGACCCTCGCTAGCTATCGGCTAACAGACCCTCGCTAGCCACCTGCTAACAGACCCTTGATAGCCACCTGCTAACAGACCCTTGCTAGCTACCGGCTAACAGACCCTCGCTAGCCACCTGCTAATAGACCCTCGCTAGCCACCTGCTAACAGACCCTCGCTAGCTACCGGCTAACAGACCCTCGCTAGCCACCTGCTAACAGACCCTTCCTAGCCTCATATCTTTTTGCATTTATCTTGAAGAAGCTGGAAAGTGCAGAATTTCCAGAAGGAAAAATTCCACATTCCTAAACCTTCATGTGTGCCTCTGTGTTGACATTCAGTTACACATAAAATATCCAGATGATAAACAATTTGTTACAACTTTCGCTCAGTTTTAGCTCAAAATAAGACGTTTGTTTTCAAGGATACCACGGCTCTGGAAGCCCAGAAGGGACAAATCATTCGGTTTGTTTACACTGTGCCTTTAAAAACTATTAATTTCCTGATTCATAGCATTATGAGCTGGAAGAAGGATGTTTATGAAGATGCTCAAAGGCATGAAAAATGCAAACAATGCTCGGTATTGTCATCATGTTCAGTACAGCCGTGCGCCGCTAGATGGCGCCGCAGCCTCATGTTTTCACACTGAGGGGATTTTAGCTGTTAAATGATCTAAATCCAGAGGAAATTTGAACCTCTGCCTGTTTTAACACCGTCCAACATTCCTCCTGTTTACCAAACCCCAGGCCCTTCTGCCACCACCGTGCTTCAGTGATACATGGTACCACCTTTCATTGTTTATATCCTGTGGGAATTAACTGCATCTGTAATGATTTATGATTTTACTTTTTCAAGCTCTTGCATCCTTTACTAATCTTGTAAAATGGAGGATGAGGTCGACGTTAGAAAAAAAACTATCTGCATTTTGACTCTTTATCTCATAATTGTTGCTTTGAAAGCCAGAATTATGAGAACGATGGCAGCGTTTCTCTTATGTGGCCGTTTCTAAAGTTACACTGTAAAAAAAATGAACAGCAATAATTTCTTGTTTAGCTTCTGCACGTTTTCCGTCATATTTTTCCTACAGCACTAAATGTTCCAAACTACATTTAATTCTCCAGCTCCAAATTCTATATATTTTGCTAAATATTTATTTGTGAAACTAAATTTTTAGCAAGCTACGTATTTAACTTGCTCACCAAACACTCAGTGTTTAAGTTGGTAACTAAGCATTTAAATACTTATGTGTCTGCTTTGCTTGCTAAATATTGACTCAGACTAAACAAAATGTTTAGCTTCTTAACTAAATATTTAATTTCACAGCTAAATATTTAGTTTGGCATTCTAATATTTATGCAGCAAGAAAATGAAGATATGAAAAATAAACATCCACAGGAAAGAAACTATAGCTGTAAATGTTTCACAGTAACTTTACAAACTGCATCCAATTTCCATAAACTTTTTCCTGATTAACTGGAAATCTGTTTTGTTGCACATGTGCACTTTTGAAAACTGTTTTCGACGCTTGCAAAGCTGCAGCAGCATCAACGCACACTGGGAGTAAATCTGCATGGTTTGCAGATTAACCAGACATCCTGGATTTGTGATCCAGTTCATCCAGTCGTTCCTCCTCTGCACTCGACCTCATTGTGTGAATTATTTAAGATTGCTGCTCATGATTCTGAGCTTCAGTCTCTGTAAATCTTTTTAATCCAGGTCTTTAAAGATGAAACATTGTGAACCATTGAGTGTATTTGTGGTGTAATGTGTGTGTTGTGACCATGTCTGATTAAAATCCGGTGCCTGAATAAAACATCATCGCTGAACCGTTTATTTTTCTGAACGTCGTTCCTGCAGGTTCCCTGGGCAACAGTGTTAGATTATTGTTGCTTTATTAGAATATGCTAATTTATTTAAAGCGCTACATTTACTGAAAGGGTTCAGACAAAACTGATTCTCATTAAAATGTAACTAAATTTACACAGAAATGTAAATATTTGCCCCGAAACGTAAAGACAATCTTCAGGACCATTTCGTCAGTTTGGGTTTGGGTTTTAGTTGCAGGTCAACCACATACCTGCAGATAAATGGTTCTGGTGTTGCTGGGAACCAGTAAACATGGCCGACCGGGAGAGAAGCCCAGTTTGTCCTTCCTAAACGTCTCAGACTCGCACGCCGTTTCCTTCAACTTTTTAATGACACGTTGCAAATCCAGAACTGACCAATAAAATCAAACGAAACGTTGCGTGTTATTAAAAACCAGGAGAAAGCAAATCTGGAGCCGAGAGGTCCGTTTTAAACAGTGGAAGAAGCCTAGTCAAAGTAAGCAGCTATCTGTGGCTGCTGCTGCTGCTGGCCTGGCTGGCGCTGGTTCCGGCGGTGGAGTGAGCTTCCCGGTACTGCTGAGTCCAGCTCTGTGGCTCCTGCTCATGAAGCTGAGACAAACCAGAATAACCAGTTGCAGAATAATCTGGATTAAATCCTGTCAGAGTCAAACAGCATGAATTCCTCACCTGACCACGAACTCCAGGATCTGGGCTTTGGACACCTCCATGTCGGACCGCTGCCCCCAGCGAAACTCGAACTCCACCGGTTCTGTGTGCGGGATCCGAGCGTACTCCAAGTACCTGCAGGAAACCACTGTGACGTCATGACGGATTTATTTTTGTTATTATTAGTCAATACTGTTCAGTTTATTTGAGGTGCAGAATTAAAAAATGCATCGATTGGGTAATAAATCCCCAGCTAAAGAAATCATTTTCAAAAAATGTATTAAATATTTTTCGATATTTTAGAATAAGTGCCGTAATTTACAGACAACCTGCTTGTGTGAACAAAAAGGAAATCAATTATTATTATTTCAGAAACATAGCTCCAGTTATTCTGTTGGTTCCAGTGAACTGGTAACTCTGGACCATTGTGATGTTTGCAGTGGGAATGCTGGCGGACGCTGGGCTGCAGGAGCCGCCTGCTCTCACGCTGCTGTTAATCTGTGGTGTGGCATAAACCAGAGTCTATGGTCTGACAGAAACTGGCTCTGAACACACCAAGCTGGACTCGAACCGGCAACCTCTGGGTTGGAGGCTCTAGGAACTGAAGGCTGAGCCAACAGTGGGTCTGTTCGGGTTAGGAACCCGAAAGCTGCAGCAGCAGCTGAGGCCTTACCTCTGACGCACAAATTCATCGGTGACGAGTTTCCTCACGTCACCAAACTCCTCGTGTCTCTGCCTGCAAGATTAACGTCAGAAAAATATCAAAGCAACAGAAAACATTTTGGAAAAAACTTAACTTCATGTTTTTCACCAGCAGGGGGCAGTGCTGACCAATCAGCGAGCTGCGCCAACGCTGAGGCGCTAATCATAAATATTAGCTCTGCTAACAGTAAAGCGCTAATACAAGCATTTAAGGGAACTTATTATGCAAAGTTTACATTTTGCTTGTTTTTGTATTTTATCTGCGTTTCCACTGTGCATAAAAAACAAATTAAAAATAAAACCTCCAGATGTTTTAGTAATAAGTTCAGTATTTTGGTGTCTGGAAAACAAACCATTTCAAAAACCTCTGATTCTTAAGTCACAATAGATGTGCAACGCGCTGTTGCCTAGCAACCCAAGCTATTGTACTTATGGTTATCTTCATATTTTCTGCCCATTTTATCTTGTTCCCGTTTCTTTTAATAGATAGTTTTGGGGAAAAAGAGAGGAAACAGAACTCATCCACTTCAAAATAAGAGCATGAATATAAACTACAAACTTTATTCAGCAGAAACTAAATTAGCATTTTAAAATTTCTCCTGAAAAACCAACAGAGGAGAAACTAAGTTCACCTTTCAAAGTTAGAAAATCCTCACCAAACATTCCCTCCACTATGCGAGCGTTAGCGAACGTGAGTCCACCATTGGTCACAATAATCAGAAACCAAAGAAGAAGAAAGCTAGAGGCCTGAAGGGCTTGTTTGAACGTTAGCTTAGCAACAAGCAAGTGAAGCTGCTGAAGGTAAAAACTCTTCCTCACCCGGGATCAACGCGCAGCTTCTTCAGGGTGTTCCATATCAGGTCTGAAAAACAAACATTTCAGGCTCATTTGGTCAATAATAATAATAATAATAATAATAATAACAATAATAGTAATAATAACAATAAGGTGAATTAGGGTTGGGTGACACTGAATCATTAATCCATCATGACAAAATGAAACACTGCTGCAAACTTCATGCCAAACATCACAATAATCTGCGATTATATCAGTCAACTTCCTGTTTTCTTCTTTTTCTCTCTTTCTCATCTGCTTCCATCGCAGATGAAAATTTAAATATGTGGCTGTGGGGGATACATTTTAGTCAAAGAGCTTGGATATCCTGAGATGTCAAAACATTTTTCATTTGCAAAAAATATAAATTGAAATTTTCCATTAAATGAAACTGAGATTTTCTCCTGCAGTATAAAGTCGGACATTATCAAATTTCAGCAGTAAATTTAAGAGATGAGTGTCTGGATTTTTTATTATTTATTTCATTCAAGAAAAAACATCAAGCAGCTCCACAAAATAAATTATTCTGATTGCAAAAATCAAGAAACCATTAAGGAACTGATTATTGGTACTTATGCAGTTTTCAAATGATTTAATCCAACTAAAAACAGTTAAAGTGCAACTGTGTGGTACAGACGCACTGCAGTTTCTCCTCCTAAGCACTAGGGGTCACTGCAGAAGAGCTTTAGATTGAAGCCAAACTTAATAGCGAAACGTTGCATCATGAGACTCACTCTCTCTGACGACGCCTCCTTTCATAAAAATGACGCTCAGGATCACAAACAGCAGGCCCGTTTTCGGGTTGCTCGGACGCCTGCAAGCAGAAAACGTTACTTTTTAAAGCAAACGTTGAAAGCTTGAACTCCAGGAACCATGTGCTGAAACTCACTCCACTGGCGACGGTCTGGCTGTGGAGGCATCCAGATTATTCACCAGGACATACATGTGATTCTTGGAGTCGATTTCAACCAGTTTTAAGCCAAACACCTGGTAGAAAAATCAAATTTTAATGACAGATTTACGTTTAATCTTATAACTGTATGAGAGCAGATTTAACCAACCTGTTCAAATATCCGCATTGCCCTCTTTATGATCTCGGGGTAGACGGCCCTGTAATCCTTAATGACGTGTTTAACGAGGTCTGGGAACAGAAACGAGTCGTGATTTAACATCACACCACTGAAACTTTCTCCAACCCTAAAACATAGCCACGAACTATTTGGGATTTTTTTTACAGTGATAAATGTTTGTTTCCTTTCCCGTCTTAAGACAGAATAAATAAAAGCCTTAGAGGGAACATGAGATTCTCTCCAGAGGTTTGATTGTTTTGTTCTTCTGTTCGATAAAAATAAATCCTCATTCTGATTCTCTACAGAGAAAACCAGCTTATGAGCACATTGATCTCATAAGCTGATCAGATCAATTAAACACATCAAAGCAAATATTCCAGTCAGAATATTAACAGGCGTTTCATCAAAAGGCGGAAAATATTTACAATCTGCTGAATATTCCTTCACAACATTTATGAACCGTTCCTGACTTTCCTTCCCTCTAACTGTAGATCAAGCAGGTTGCGGGTTCCAGTCCCTTGTTGCCATGATGATACTCTACCTGCTCTGCGCACAGGAATCTTCTTCTGGTCCTTTACCAGGATGTACTGCACCACCTCAGCAGTCTGAATGAGAGGTAAAGTATATTGCATCAACATTGCCTTAATTAAACCATAATTCCTGGTGATCAGCTGATAATTCCACGTGTACTTTTAGAAATTTCTTAGTATTTTTAATGTATGAAACCATTTATTTTCACAAACCAAACATGTGTGGCTGGCATTGCGTTACCTTCTGATCAACCTGTGCAGGTGTGAGTTTCTCCAGCCCCCTCTGGACCTGTGATGTGCTCGGCTGAGTGAACGTCGCATCTTCGTCCTCCTCTTGCGTCATGAAGCTGTTGGACTGCCGCTAAATAAAAACACAAAGTGTTACAGTTTCATCCCAGCGTAAACAGTCTTCAGCGTCAGTCCACATGAGAACATGAGTTATGTTTGCATTGGGTTTTTGAGCCGTTTCTGCACATCCCTGGCCTTATATACTCAAAAAAAAAAAAACAATAATAGGTAAATCTAATTCTTTTTTCTTTCTAAATCACATATTATAAAAGCAATCTTAAACCAAGATTTTATTTTCCTGGCGTTATTGTTAGCATCTGCATGCAATATTTCTTACAAACTACAAGCCTTTTCAAAAAAATAAACATTTAAGGTTATAAAAAGCTTCTAAAAATGCTCCTAATTATTTCTATGCATGTTAATTTCAATAATTCAGATGTTTTAGTGTCAAATTTTTACAATTTTAGTCTAATGAAATGATGATAAAAAAATTATTTTTAAAATATACTTATTTGAGATTTTATATCTGTATGTTCGATGTGTATCTCGACCAACTTGAATTCATTGTAATGCAAATATGCTTACTACTCAAATCCAGATCAGATTATATAAGTTTTGAACGGCCTGCAACTTTTATGCATTTTCTGTTGGTTTTATCAACAATCTAAAACCCAAAATGTGACATGATAAATTACATAATTAAAGTCCTGAAAACGTTATTTACTATTCGGAAAATAAAATGTTTATTTATTATTCCGTGATATAAAACATGATGTTTAGAAACATATGAAGAGCTGAAAATGTAGCCGATTAATGTTCATGTTTTTATGCTTTCTGGGATCCTTGGGCTCTGTGTAACAGAATAAGGCCAGGCGTGTGCCCTGGGAAACATGGCAGCGCAACCAGCCTGCTTAAACAACCCTGCGTGGTTTTAACACTTACTTTACTCTGAGAGGCGCTTTGTACGTTAGAAAGCCGTTTTCTTTGCGTCATGGCAGCGCAGCGCCTGTAAGAGTCATTTAAAGTCATAAGAATGAGCTTTACTTGAAACACAAACATAAACAACACAGACGGAAGTGATGCACGTTAGCTGGACAGAATGTTAGCTTATTAAACCACGTAAGAACAATAAACAAGTAACGTTCTTACCGACAGAATAATGTCTAAATCCCAGTACAGTAATAGCAGTTTATAAACAGAGGTTTAAATATTTCACTCACTCACTAAATTAACCGTTTCTATGAACACCAACCGGTTGTTTCAACCAACTGTAGAATTCCCGCGATTACTTCCGCTGATGACGCAAAATCTCTGCGACTTCAAGGATTGCGATATGCCAAGATCATCGCCATATTGGAAGGGGTTGCGCTATCATGAAAATAAAATAATAACATTAAAATGACTTGAGGATTTTCAACTTTTGCGAAATTAAAAGATTGGCACTTACGTTTTTAAATTAATTACATAATTTAAGTAATTACCGATATATTTTCTCATTAGAAAAGTGCTGCTCAAGAGTATCTTCAGCTTGTCTATCAGATGCAGGTGAAGTTCTGTATGTTCTGGTGTGAGGGTCCTTAGAAAATATTTTATCATTTAGCTTAATAAAATTGTTTTTTACTCAAATGTATTAAGGCTGGGAATTAATAAAAACATTAAACAATCCGACCTGACGACTGATTTTAGAATAAAGACTGTAGTAATCAGGTTGTCCAGCAGAAGGCGATATCGCCGCAAGAAATGCAGATACTGCAGACAAACTAAAAGAGAAGAAGAAAAAGAGGAGGAAGGAGAAGAAGGAAGAAAGGTTAACATTAGAGACAGTTTTAAAGTAAGTATAACATTAAAAAGGACATGTTAGCTTTCCTATAAACTACTTAAAAGTGAGGAAATGACGTGTCTACTGTCTGACTGGCTGAAACGTGCAATTATCTTAATAAAACAGTCATGTGTGGTTATTTAGGGCTGCAAAGTGAGCCTGATATTTGATTAAATAGAATGAAACTTAACCGGAATGCTAGTTGACGTGTTAGCTGGACTGTCTCAGTTTATGTTGGTCAGATTCATTAACGTGTTGAGGAGCTACAGGATGTTTCAGCGGACTGAGACCTTTATAAACTCTTTAATTAGAACGACAAAAATCAACATAAAGGCTGCACCGCCTTATAATCACTATATTTTAACCAGTCAAGGTTCTGCATTCCGGTTAAAAAGAGAGAAGAAATATTTTTATTCACATTTGGAAGAGAAAAAACCATCTTGCTGGATGTGACGTCACTTTTAGTTTCTTTGATCTCACAAAGTTCAGGCTTTAGCCTCCTGATTGGATCCGGGTTTTATGCAGTTTGGAAAAATCTGGAGTTCAGACTTTAATCCTTAAACATCATCATCATTTCATCCATCCATTAACTCATCTGTTTATTCATCCATCCATTTGTCATTCATTCATCCATCCATCCATCCCAGTGGAGTTCTCTGGGCCGACTGAACAAATCTGGTGGGTTTTTTTCCTCCTCCATCTTTTTATTTTTTGGAACTCCAAGATGTAGCTTTCTGTTAGCTTTCTGTTAGCTTCATGTTAACACTAGCTTGATTCTAGCTTTATGGCTAATCTTTTGCCAAACCAGCTCTGATGTGCTTCACATCATTTTTTGTTGGAACGTATAATCATGTTTCAAACCTCAAGTTGAAGAGTCTGAAGGTCGTTCATTCTGGACCGGAACCACCTTTGACCTTTGTTTCATTCCACCTTATTTGGATGAATGTTTCCTCTCTCCTTGTTTGTCAAGGTGACTGTGGTTGTATGTAGAACCTGTGGAGAGCCAAGATGCCCCTGGAGGTCCGATGGCCGTTCCCACCATGCCCTGCGCTGGCGTGGCGGGTCTCCAGCTCCTTCATCATGGGCATGGTCGGAACGTATTCCTTCATCTGGACCAGTAAGTGTTTAATCTGACTGCAAACAAACAAACATCCAGCCATGCCAGCAGAGCAAGCAGCCACTTTCTGGTCTCCACCCAGAGTACATGAACTACCTGACCGTCCACAACCAGGAGGTTCTGCTGGACCTGATTGACCACCGGCCGTCGGACACGCCCCTCATCACTTTGTCCAATCACCAATCCTGCATGGACGACCCGCACATCTGGGGTAAGACCCGGGAAACGCTGGCGGTTCGGCTCTTCGGGTCGTAACCAGGAAGTAACGCTGTTGGTTTGGAGCAGGTGTGCTGAAGCTGCGGCAGCTGTGGAGCTACAGGAAGATGCGATGGTGAGTTTTATTCTCCTGGCAACGCACCGATCCGATATTAATACCTGGACAATAAATCAACAACGATATATATCAGGATAGACGAGATCGTTATCAATAGATAGAATATTCACCTAACTCCAGTGTCAGACTGCACTGCATTCTGGGAGATGTAGGCAGAGTCAAGGTTCATTGTAGTTTATTTTTTACATGTCAACATACTGTTTCTGTCAGTTTCAGTATTATTTATTTTGACATCGGCTGCTCTGCTTCTAACTGAGCCGACTGAACAAATCAAGTTGTTGTTCCTGGAGTTGGACCAGCTTGTGCAGCTGCAGGTGGATTTCAGTGAGCTGTACTGGTACCGAGTTATCCAAGAACATGTCAGTCAGTTCAGCTGTTTCTCTGTATCCATCGGCATCAGTTGATGATAAACCTCAGATATCTGAAGTGTAGGAAGTGGATCGGCGAATCCCTAGTTGCTCCCCCAGTCCAGATTTTCCTGTGAGTAACCATGGAAACCTCTGCCTTCGGACCGGACAGGACGCCGACAGCGTCTGACATCTGCTTCACCAGCGAGCTGCACTCCCGGTTCTTCAGCCGAGGAAAGTGCGTCCCTGTCTGCAGAGGTGAGTCCGAGCAAAGCACCAGTTCCGCTTTCTGCACACGTAAAAGACGCAGTGACAGTTTGTCTCCTGCAGGGGACGGTGTTTACCAGAGGGGCATGGACTTTGCCCTGGAGAAACTCAACAAAGGAGAATGGGTCCACATTTTCCCCGAAGGTTCGGCAGTAATTCATGCTGTAGCTGCTGGATGTTCTGTGGACCAAAATAAAACTTCCTCTGTGTTTTATTCCTGCTTTAACAGGGAAAATCAACATGACGGAAGAATTTATCCGCCTGAAATGGGGTGAGTGGAACAGCCTCTGTGCCAAATACGCCTGTTATTAGTGATCAAGTAATCTATCAATTATTCAGATCGTTAAAATTTTTCCTTTTTAAAAAAAAAAAAATTATACTTCAACTGTCTGAGGCTCCTCTGGCGCCCCCTGGCGGCCCCACTCTGAAAACACACTAGTACAGCTGATAATGTGAAGCAAAGCCATTTTTCTGTCCGTCTCCTACTGCTGGCTCTCTTCAGTCTGACCCAGAGTCTCAGCAGGTTCAGAACCAGGTATCGGACCAGGTTCTGCCCCGGTCAGGAAGTGGAGAACCTCTAAAGTACCTCCTACATTGAGTGAATCATTGGTTCTGTTGTGTGTTTCAGGTGTAGGTCGGCTGATAGCAGAGTGCTCCTTGAATCCCATCATCCTGCCGCTGTGGCATGTAGGTGAGTAAAGCGACAGCACGAATGCGCTGCATGTTTCCATTTACATCAAGAAGGTTCTGGAGGACAGGAAGTCGGTTCTGGAGGACAGGAAGTCGGTTCTTTGACACGCTGCTGCGGCTGAGACGCTAACTGAATGAAACCTGTGTCTTCTGGATGTTTGTCTCTGCTCCCGTCTTGTTTCCGTTCAGTGAGTGTTTTCTCTTTCTCTCCTCAGGTTTGACCGACGTCCTGCCGAACGAGTCGCCCTACATTCCTCGGATCGGGAAAGTAAGACCTTTGACCTTGATGTGTTTTGGTTGTGCTTCTGCTTCTGTTGGTATTAAATGTTGTCTTTTCTTGCAGAGGATCACGGTCCTGGTGGGAAAACCTTTCAGCGTCAAAGAGCTGGTTGATTCCCTCCGGGCTGAAAACAAGAACCAGGTGAAAACGACAAAATGTTCCTGCTTTTCAGCAAATTTAAGAAAAATGTTTGAACAGCAATGCACTGAAAATCTGGCTTAATATTCACATCCAAAATTAATATTAATGTAATTAGATCTCATAACAGTATAACACTTATTATGCACATTTCCTTACACATTGAAAACTAAAAAAATTACCAAACTGGCAGCATTAACTTATTTAATTCACTAAATACCAATTTAATAATTATTCATTTACTTCCCGTTTAGTCGAACCAATCACAGTCCTTTTTATTTAACCTCAGTAACATTAAGGCAGAAATTTACATGCAGATTTAACACATATTTTGCTTTTACTTTTTATTTTAATTATACATTGATTTGTATGCTAAAGTTTTGCTCTCTCTCACTCTCTTGCAGCCTGATTGAGCTGCAGACATTTTAAACACCGTCTGTTTTTTGTTGCGTAAATTTATCTTATAACCATAGGCGTTGTTAAGAATTAAAAATAGGAATAACTTGATTTAGCTCGTTAATTAATTCTTTGTCCCGAATTCTTGTGTCTGTGTAAGTGTGCAATCATACGACGTCAGACTTCAGATATTCAGAGTTTTATCCAGAGAAATTCAATCCAAGAAGAACTTTACAATAAGCATCTCACCTAGATTTTCAAAAGTCCAAGACATGACAAAACAGAGACAAAGAACTGAGTAAAAAGCAAAAACAGAAGATGCATCCTCCGGGAAACTCTCACTCAGCACAAAGAGATCCGAACTTCTGCTCTGAAACAAATCCTTTTATGAGATTGTGTTTTCTCCTCATTTGAATATATGCATTAGGAGGTCTTAAATCATTCAAGGAACTTTTGTATTTAAACAACGGTAAATGAAAATGCAAAAGAAACAAAGAACAAAATAAATTCGCCATTCATCTAAGGAGAAAATAAGGATGAAATTTTTAGTCAGATTGAACACATTAAAAACCTTTCAGACAAGAGATATAAATAAAGAATATCACTTATTAAGGTAAACACTATACAGTGTTGTTAAGGTTCCATCTACATATTTTCTCATGTTAAATTTCACTGTAACTTTATTGTCATGCTAAAGAAATCTTCCTGTTTGTTTGGATTTCCTCCGTTGGTTTTAACCAAACTCTTGTTGTAGATGGAAATGAGAAGACGTTGACCGATTTCATCCAGAAGGAGTTCAGGAACCTGAAAGCTCAGGCTGAAGGTCTTCACAGACAGATAGAAACCAGATCCTGAGGCTCGATTTCCCTCCAAACGGCGAGCAGGACAGATTGACGGAGCAGCGGATGTAGAGTTAGCCTGGCCAGATGCTAAAACACGGTTTGGACTCTGGTTTGGGTCACTAACCTTCCTTCTGCTCCGGACGACATGCTGGATTTTCAGTTAAATTATGAAGAAATCGTCGGCGATCGTTTTCTGTACCTTTGAGGAAGCAGAATCTCCAGCTGTGAAATAAAAAAGCATGTTTTAAAGTGAATTAGCAAACAGCTGCAGGTTGATAGCTGATCGTTTTGAATGTATGTCGACCCAGAAATAGTTTCTGCTGTGGATTTTGAATCATTTCTGCTCCTGATTTTGTTCAAATCCAACCTGTGCCTCTGTTCACCTCACTTGATTTTACATTTCTGTTATTCCTCATTTTTAATTCTCATATTTAATTTAAAATCATTTCTGCTTTGATTTAGCTACGTCAGACTAGCAGTTACAAAGGCGTTAATTTAAAACACATTTCCGATCTTTCTTCATCGTTTGCTTCGTGTTTTGATGTTGATTGTGATGATGCAATTTGACGTAAAGCTGCTCTTTAAGTGACCAGGAAGTGTTGTGCAGTCAAAGCGCCAATGGGTTTACAAACTGATGTCCGTCCTGATTCGTTAGCGTGCCAAAGCATCAGCAGCTAAATGCCTAGTCCTGTTTATATCTTTCCATTTCCAACAAGTTTTCTTTTTCTAACTGTTTAGCATCTAAATCTAGCAGTTTTTACACGTCTCAACTCACGTTACATCATCTGTTTTTAAGATTTTATCACAGCAGCTTCCATTTAGATTTTGACCCCATTGAAATGTTTTTTCCTCCAACTACTTGCATGTTGATTTAATCCTCACATGTACAATTTATACATGAAAATATTGAGATTTTTCACTTCTTTCATTCTGTTTTATGCCAAATAATACGTCACACTGCAAACCCGTAATTTTACTCCTCTTTTATGTTCAACCCTTAATTTTTCCATCAAAGCTACAAACTGACGTCTTTAGCCTTTTATCAGGTGACTTTACACGCTGGTTTACCTCAACGTTGTGCCACAGGTCGGTCGGGAATTGTCTGGTTGATTCCTGGTCTCTGTCTGAGGTCAGAGGTGCTTGAATCTGGTTTCTGATTCCTGCTCAGTTTTTTTTTGTCTCTTTGCTGCACCACCGATCACGATCACAGTTGTGGCTGCATTGCTTTTACAGCCTGACAGTTCAACATAAACACTTAAGTTGTAATTTTCTTGATGGAATTTTTTTATGGCCATTATGTGAAGGTTTTGGAAAAGTATTGGTTTGGAAAATGCTGGATTTTCTGAAGATCTACTAACTTTTGGAAATTAGCCCCAGGTTTGATGCTTATTTTGTACAAATAGAGTATTTTATCCCCAGATTACTGACTTTTCTAAGGGAAACAGAACATTAATTTCCTATTATTTTAAGCGAATCACCTTAAGCTTGTTACTCTTTCCTCTTGTATGATTCAATAAAGCATCTGACTTTTAAAGCTGTGATTTGTCTTTGTTTTGTACCCTGGTTTCAATTCTAGCCCCTGGATAATCATATATTTCTGAAAGATATTTTAGAAAACAAAACTTAAGCCTAATTCTGTTCAGGTGTTTTGATGTCGGAGTTTATGAAACTGAATAAAAACACAGAAAATATTTCAAATATCTGTACACTCTCTGAACGAAGCTTAATATAATATAGTTTAGCTGCACATAATAACTTGTCTTAGTTACTTATGTGTCGCTCTTTTTGTAAAGTTAGTCGTAAACAAGATAACCAGAGAATTTCACCAAAATGTTGTGATTATGTGACAAGTTGTTTTGCCATAGCCTCCGGTCTTCAGCGCGCTCCTGCAGAGCAGTCACGTGATCTCCTCTACGTCACGGTCGGCACCTGCTGTCATATCGGAGGAAAGATGGCGTCGTCAGGGACAGCGAGCCTCTTCCTCCAGCGGATCCCCGGGGTCATGGCCGTGCTTCTGGCCGGGTTCAGTGTCCTCATCGCGGTGCAGGGCGATGAGCAGGTCCCGGTCATCATGTGGACGAGTGAAGGGTGAGTGGGCCCAGGGTTCGGGCGGTACCGGGGCTCCGCTAACCGTCAGCAGAGTGTTGATGTCGGAGGAGGAGAGATGTTAGCTGTGATGCTCACATTTGGTCTCAATTTAACATATCGCGCATCAGAGGTCGTGTTGCGTTTCGATTATACGTTTAGTTTCACCTCGGCCTACGGAAGAGGATGAGGGACACAAAGAACAAAAACTAATTAAAATATTTTTCCTTTGGCTGTAATCACCTTCAGTTTTTAATTAAATAAATACGCTTGGATTATATAAAATTATATTAGATGTTGTCACAATATTAAGCTTCAATTGTGATTGGAACGAGTTACTATTCAAATTCAAATACACTTTGTAGGAATCAAGCAAAATTACAAACCAAACACCAAATAAAATAATTAAAAAAACATTTACATAACTAGTACATTAAAAATATAATTAAAAATAATAAAACAAGACAATAGTTATGAATTACAGCTGTTCTGAAGATATTTACATTCATTTGTTCAGCTTCTGGAAAATATTCCAGCTAAATTATGAGCCTGCAAGTCATGCTTTTTCCAAATAATCACATTTTATAAGTCTTAGTTACTTTCTGCTTGATGTCTCCTGGTTTTTTTGAAGGGTCTCCGTCCCTCAGCAGGCTCCGCCCCCTGCAGGTCACATCGTTGGGCACCAGCAGCTGGCCTCCTACCTGCAGAAGGCTCTGAATGTCGGGCCCCGAAATGTGGTGCTGTTCCTTCAGGATAAGGTACAAAACACAGACGCTTCACAGTTCCCACCTCTATGAGGACGCAAACAAATTAACTACGTGTGGAAGTGAGCAGATACAGACGAAAATATGAGTCTTGATTTATTCTCAATGTCTTTCAATCCAAACCAAGAAATAGATTGAAGTGCAACCGCTGGTGTCTTCTTACATCACCTTCTCCCCTTCACAATAAAAGTATACATTCTAGTGTGAAATATATCCACTGTATGCCACCAACGCTTAATTTACCAAAAAGAACCAACAATAAAATTATAAAAGCTGTAAGAAAATAGAGCCTTTCTCCATTAGATTCGTATGGAAATTATTCTTTTAATTTAACCTATTAGTTAAAGTTTAACTCAGAAATTTAAAGAGCAAAAGCAAATGAGGCGGATTAGCCAAGCTAGCTAGCAACTGATGATGTCATCCAAGACATGTTATTGTGGAATATTGCCTGTGCTGCCCAGATACTGAGCTGTTAGCATCTGATGCTAACAGTCTGTGCTCAGAGGAGTCTTCAGATTAGTTGCAAGACGGACTGCTATTGGAGATCCTGTCTGCCAACAGCATCAACGACTCTTTAAAGATGCCTGGAGGATATGATTTATGACAAGTTTTAATTTTCCTTTGGGACAAAAAGAGTATTTTTCAAATGCAGTGAATGTAAATTACATTTTCAGTTGTTGTCTAAATGTTGTCCTGGTGGTTCTTTCCTGTTGTCTGGGTCCAAAGCTCCAATCAAAACATTTTTTCTTTTGCTTTCTTGTCTCCTTAATCTCTGTTTTCTGTTGTTCTCTAGATGAGTATTGAAGATTTTACCATGTATGGAGGAGCTTTTGGAAACAAGCAAGATGGTGTTTTTCCTAATCTTGAGGTAAAATATTACAGTCAGACACTCAGGATGGGAGAATATAAGAAATATCCCTCAGTTTTTATGTCATGGTTCAATAAATAAAGTACATAACTTATGCTTAATATAGTCTTTCTCCAAGTGAATGATCATTAAACATTTTTGTTCTCAATGAATTGACCTGGATAGCCTGGGCTACAGGGAGAAATTTGGACTATTGTTGAATAGAAGTTGACATTTCATCCCATGTCTTCATTTGTTCCTCTGATCTTTCCCAGGGAGCGCTTCAGACCTCTTCTTCTTCTCTGGTTCTTCCTGCTGTGTCTTGGCCCGCCTCCAACGCTGTGATTGGTCAGCTGCAGGACCAATTGGAAACGTCCCCTCTGTACATGGACCCGGAGACGCTAAGCCAGCTGAGGCTGAACGCCTCGTCTCCGGCTCTGCTGGTGTTCAGGCTGCCGTACGGCACCGGGTGAGCTTGTTTATCTCGCAAACAATTAATCCACGTACCATTAATGGATTATCAGATTAAAATTAGTTCCATTCGATTAACTAATGGCGGCGCAGCGTCAGTTTATCTGACCTGCTATGAAGGGAGGATGACAGAAAAACTGAGAACACGATGCAGAAAAATGTAACATTTCATGGTTGAGTTTATTTTTCTAAGTATAATAATGTCAGAATAACAATTTTTCTGTTTATTCAGTATAGCTGACAAAGTAATGTTCAAATATAATGATAGAAAATGTAAAATTTAGCCCTTGGTGTTATAAGTCGCTCATCCCTCTTGATACAAGAGAAAACTGTTGTTTTTAATAAAATGGCTGCTTGTCAACTGATTGATAAAACAAATTAACTTTAGATAATTAATGGATAATTTCCCTTCCTCCCACTGTTTTCTCACCGGATTGTGTTGCAGGTCAGATCTGCTGTCAGCTAAAGAGATTCTCAGTGGAAACGGTGAGACCTTGTGATCAGTTTTTCATTCATCAAAGCATCAGATCGATCAGTTTTTGACACATTTATCCGTGTTCAGATGAGGTCATGGGTCAGGTGATGAGCATCATGAAGTCCCAGTCCGTCCCCTTCACGGCCGTTTACACCGGCCTGCAGCCCTCCAGGGTGAGTCACCGTGGTGACGCTGAACGCTGATGTTCGTGAGGTTCGGTCCGACCCGATCCTCCCGTTTTGTCCGTGTCGGCAGAAGGAAGCGGCGTCCATGTCTCTGGAGGCGGGGCTTGGTGGAGGACGCTCCCTGCTGCAGTCCCAAGGCAGATACAGGGACCGCTGGAGGGACCGGGACCGCCAGCAGCGCGTCAAGGAGCAGCCCGGAGTCTACCCTCCTGTGGAGTTCAAGGTGCCTTTTCTGTCTTTCTCTGGCTTAAGGAACAGTACAGAATTTTTACATTCTGTGCGGCGGTTCTAATCGTCCAGAATTATTCACATTGTGTCACGTTTCAGCTACAAAACTTGATGTTTTATGTGTTAAACAAAACAGACTTTATTCCCGGGATTTAGATCTATCTGCCAGGGGGGTCCAAAGTGTGGCCCGGGGGCCATTTGTGGCCCTTGAAATGGAATTGTTCAGCCCCTGAAAACAAGTCAAAAATGTTACAAATTTGGCCAACAAAACAGAAAACAATTTAATAAATTTGGAAATCATACTTTTTATGGCTTGGTTCTTTAATAATATAAATATTTTTATGAAATTCAACTTTTTTTTTTGTTTAGCAGAAAAAAATTAAACGTAAAACAATTTTTCTATTTTTAGTTTAGCAGGCCAGTAGTTTAAATTTTCTGATTTTGGCCCCCAGGATAAAAAGTTTGGGCACCCCTGGGTTCTTTAACTAGCAACCCAGAGCATGCAGCCACCACCGTGTTTCTATGCTTTCTGAAGGCACAAATCCACTACAAACTTCTTATTAAGCTATTCTTATCTCACTTTAATTAAGCAGAGATTATTTATTTTAATAACTTGAGAGTTTGAACCAGGTGAAGCTAAAACTGCTGCATGAAGACAACAGTTTTATAGACAAAGATTTTTTTATCTTAAATGCAAAGTTTTTTTTGCTGAGTTTTGGTTTATTTTCAGCTCAAAGTAACAATTCCCTTTTTAGTCATTTTACTCCATTTAACTAACTATTGATTGATTACTAAATTACTTGACAGCTATTTCAATAATTGATTAATTTGATTATTCGCTTCAGTTTTCTGCTGTTTTCTGCAGGAAGACGACAAAACATGCATGATGCTGTGGGCCAAAGGCCTGACGGTGAGTATTCTGCGGAACAACCGCTGGGAAGAGCACGACCTGACGCCAGCCACCTTCGGAGAGGGAGTGAGCCCCAAGCTGCACGGCTCTGACTGCGACAAAAGCAAATCCAGGTGGAAAAGGCTGAATTTTGGGTTTAGCAGCTGAAGCAGAGGCGTTAGAGCAGCTTTCAGCCGCTCGCTGCTTCATTCCTGCTTGGTTTCTTCCCAGGTTGGTTCTGAACTATGAAAACGTCCTCGGCCACCGCAGCTTCAAGCTCATGTAAGTGTTTCGCAGCCCTGTGATGTTATTTTACGTCTACTGATTATGATGACAATTTAAAAATACTTCTGCAATAAATCAGCGTTATAGCGTCCCCTGGTGGACTCGTCACAGCAAGACAAAACTTCATGTTATGATGAATCGTTGTTGCCTGACTGCGATCGAAATCGTTTCTTTCTGTTTATTTTGACGTGTTTTGCGGTTGGCTCCAGCTTCGTCATGAGCCAGCGCCATTACACGGTGTCGGCGCGCCGCTGGTTCACTCTGGACGCCGTGGAGCTGGAGTACGACGGCACCAAAGCCACGTTCAACGGCAGCAGGAACATCTACGCCCCGGCCGAGTACTCCTACCGCTGCAAGGCCGTCAGCAGCTTCCGCTGGCCGCTGCTCGTCCCGCGCTCCGCCAAAGACCCGGCCAACCAGTGGAGGGTCTCCTTCGACGACTTCCAGGTGAGATTCCCAAACGTTTCGTATGTCTTTACATATTTGTTGAAACTGTCATCATGTGACAGTTTGGTATAAGATGGATAAATTCAGCTCCTTCCTTCTCCCTTCCTGGAAACAACCAATCAGAGTCAGGAGGTGGGACTTAGCGCTGTCAATCACCTTTCCTCCTTCTGTTGCTCTCCAGCGAGGGTAGCTTGTTGTGAATGCTAATGCTAGTTAGCATGACCACTGATGACAGCAGATAAATGGTTTTCCTGTAACACTGAGTTGTTTCTCCACCATTAGAACATTTAGCAGCGCATACATGAGTGATTGACAGCACTAAGATCCTTCTCCTGGCTCTGATTGGTCATTTTGAGCGGCTCAGAGAGATCAATCTTTTTACTGCTTGTAGTTTAAAAAATAGATGTTTTATTTTAATATTTTCCCAGATCCAGGGCTTCAGCTTGAGCGGCAGTGAGTTCTCGTACGCCAGCGACTGTGCGGGGTTCTTCTCGGCGGGGATCTGGATGGGCCTGCTGACCAGCCTGCTCATGGTTCTGGTTCTGACCTACGGCCTGCACATGATCATGCAGCTGCTCACCATGGACCGCTTCGACGACCCCAAGGGACCCGGTATCTCCGTGCCCCAGACGGAGTGATGCAGCCTCCCGCCACCACCAGTCCTCCCATTCCATCACTTAATGTGAATTCCAGCACCGATAGGTCAAAGTTTAGGTGGTTGAAACGTCCAGAGAAAAATCACTGATTATTTATTAAATGGAATAAAAGATGTTATTTATTATTGTTGCTGCTGTGATTGTTGTGAAGTTCCAGTGTACATTTTGTTTGTTATAGATTTGTGAGATTATTACTGGAAGCATTAAACTTGGATTATGGATTATGTTCATGACATTCCATTGTTTGCCGTGACTCCAATAAAACATCCTCAAGGTGTCACTCCTGGTTGGCGGCCATCTTTAAACTCAAAGCTCCTTCCTGTTCAGAGTGGAAGAATTTAAAAACTGAATTTATAGTTTAGGAAAGTTTTGGAAGAGTTTTTATTCAGAAAATGTAAATGCAAGTCAGATTTATTAATGAAATTGAAATACAAACACAAAAGGTTGAGAAAGCATTAAGATACAGAAGAGTTGATAATTTCCCTTTGGCACCAGTAAAGTATTTTAATTTGGAGACATTAAGCTGCTAATCAATGCTATAGATATTCCTGATTTTTATGAATTTCATCCAGAACACAGGAGACCTGATGACGGTTTCACCCAGTCAGGCAAGCTGCAAAAAGAAAATAAAAACATCAATATAACTTTTAGAAACTTTTTCTCCCATTAGAAGAAAATTGTGAAGCTGAAAGAACTTGAGGGCCACATTAAAAGATTTAATACATTTCCTTTAATAAAAAGTTTATTTGAAAATAATTTAAATTACATTTTAAATCTGTTCAAAGAAAAAAGCTGCAACAAGCTGCCTGCATAAACGTTCTGACCACAAAACTACAGATTTGTAAAAGCAGATTTTCTCAGAATTAATGTTTTTTGGTAGAAACGTTTCAGTATTCCACATTTTGAGCGGACAATGTCTTCACACTGGCCCACAAGCTAATGTTAGCATGTTGTTTCAGCTCTAAGTTTAGCTTTTATACTAACGTTTTGATTGGATAGAGCTAAAGTTAGCCAATAAGCTAATGATTGATGACCATAATGGTAATGTTAGTACTTAAGCTAATATTAGCATTGTAGCTCATGCTCTTCTATTGCTGTAGGTCACATACTGATAATAGCGAGAATCCTATAAATAGCACGCATGCTAACTCTAGCTTAGCTAATCTTGTTTGCAATGTAGTTTGCAAACAAGATGGAGTATGTTGCTGTAAATAATCCCAAAAGAAGCTCTTTATCCTGGAGGTCAACATGATGCCCAATATTAGAATTTTAGCTAACATTAGCATTTAAGCTAACTTTGATATAAAACCTCAACCTAACATGCTAACAAGGAGTAAATCATTGTTAGTCAACAACATGGTAGTGATAGCATACATGCCATTCATAAGCTTTTAGCCAACTCTAGTTGAACTAATTGTAGCTTATGCACAAACTTTAGAGGCTAAACTCACCGTAACAAATATAATCCACCTCCAGGTATTTGTAGGTTCGGACGCAGGGATCTCCAAACACAGAGTTTGCTGCTGTGATAGAACAGCTCTGCTTCCCGTTGCAGCTGTGGATTCAAGTCAAGTCAGTTTCTAATAAAATTAGACTTTTATATTTGTAGACCTCCTAGATCACACATTTAGATCCAGTTTTATAAACATTTGCAAAAGGCTGAACTTCTGTACCTCTGGCCAACTCTGTCTGAGTTCCCAGAGGAGCATCGAACGTTGGCTATCTGGTCTTCTGGTCTCTACGTCCGTATGTAGCAGTAGTCACATATATAAGCTCACCTTTGCCTGACAAAGAGAAGAGGAAACGCTGGAGAGACATTTTCCTGGTGTAATGCTCCAGAACCCACCAGTAAAACCAGTGATCTTACCACACTTCAGCTGAGCCACTGATCTCTCACATGCCACAGTGGAACCACTCTCAGGTTTTCCTTCAGGGTCTGTCAGAAGAGGATCAGATCACATTAATGGCCCATCAGGACATTGGTGTTTGAAGATAAAAAACGAATATAATTAATAATTTTTCCTAAATTTGTAAACTAAACAGATGAAAAACTGCAGGTGAATTTTTGTTTAAAATAAGGTCTTTCTTCATTCAGTAAAGTTACACACAGAGGCCAAAGGAAATTTTACTCTAATTTTCATCTAACAACTAATTTGAATCGAATAAACCTAATAAATTGATTAATTGTTTTCATTCCTAACTTTAACTAATCCAAGTGTTTCCACCTTTACTCACTTTCACATGTGTAATCCACCTCCAGGTATTTGTAGGTTCTGACGCAGGGATCTCCAAACACAGAGTTTGCTGCTGTGATAGAACAGCTCTGCTTCCCGTTGCAGCTGAAGATGGATGCTCAAGAACTAAGATTAGAGATTTAATCCAGAATCAATTTGACACCAACAGAAACATTCATACTTCTCAGCAACTTTATTTGAGCTGCTGCCTTTTCCTTGACAATCAAAGATGGGAACTAACTTCCGAAAGTGCTTGTGTAGATGCAATGGTTTTGGTAAGATATTGAATGGATTGATGCCGAAGCTCCGGGAACATCGAACATTGACTATCTGGTTGGCGGGTCGTCCAGCGGCGCACGTCTTCTGGTCTCTACGTCCGTATGCAGCACTGGTCACAGATATAACCTCATCTTTGTCTAGCAAAGAGGAATGAAATGTTGAAGGTTTTAACCTCCAAACAATTAATCAAGGCAGTTCAAAGTGCTTTACATCATGAAACACAAAAATAAAAAGTTACAATGCAGTTGTTAAGTAGCCAGTTTGTTACGTACAGTCATATGAAAAAGTTTGGGCACCCCCATTAATCTTTATTATTTTTATTTCTAAATATTTGGGTGTTTGCAACAGCGATCTCTGTTTGATATATCTAATAACTGATGTACACAGTTATATTTCAGTACTGAAATGAGGTTTATTGTACTATTAGAAAATGGGCAATATGCATAAAAACAAAATTTGACAGGTGCAAATATTTGGGTACCCTTTTCATTTAATTGATTTGAATACTCCTAACTACTTTTCACCGACTCACTGAAACACAAAATTGGTTTGGCAACCTCATTAAGCTTTGAACCTCATAGCCAGGTGTATCCAATCATGAGAAAAGGTATTTAAGGAGGCCGATTGCAAGTTGTTCTCCAGTCTGGATCTCCTATGAAGAGTGGCATCATGGGCACATCAAAACAACTCTCAAATGATCTGAAAACAAAGATTGTTCAACACAGTTGTTTAGGGGAAGGATACAAAAAGTTTTCTCAGAGATTTAAACTGTCAGTTTCCACTGTGAGGAACATAGTAAGGAAATGGAAGACCACAGGGACAGTACATGTTAAACCCAGAAGTGGCAGGCCAAGAAAAATATCAGAGAGGCAGAGAAGAATGGTGAGAACTGTGAAGGACAACCCACAGATCACCTCCAAAGACCTGCAGCATCATCTTGCTGCAGATGATGTCACTGTGCATCGTTCAACAATTCAGCGCACTTTGCACAAGGAGAAGTTGTATGGGAGAGTGATGCGACGGAAGCCTTTTCTGCAAGCACGCCACAAACAGAGTCGCTTGAGGTCTGCAAAAGCACATTTGGACAAGCCAGCTTCATTTTGGAATAAGGTCCTGTGGACTGATGAAACAAAGATTGAGTTGTTTGGTCATAAAAAAGGCGTTATGCATGGCGGCAAAAAAACACAGCGTTCCAAGAAAAACACTTGCTACCCACTGTGAATTTTGGTGGAGGTTCCATCATGCTTTGGGGCTGTGTGGCCAATGCTGGTACTGGGAATACTGTTAAAGTTGAGGGTCGCATGGATTCCACTCAATATCAACAGAGATGAATAATTTAGATTAATAGGGGTGCCCAAACTTTTTCATATGACTGCACTGGCTGCTTAACAAACTTTATGAAACTTAAAGTTTGCCAAGTAGTCAGGAACAAACTTTACATTTTTTCCAGTGCCATCATCAAAATCATCATTGCATGTCAAATATAATCGTCAATTTTTAATTTACTATTTTTAAGAAGCAACTCTAAGCAGAATCTCAATGTTTCGTTTTTTTTCTCACATGCCAGTTTTCCAGTTTTCTGAAAGTTTTTCTTTTTTTACAGATTTGTGGTGCATAGAAGCTGAATGTTGTTTCTCTATGTTTGGTTCCGGATGTAGAGCAGAACCAGAATCAGAACCTAAGAGGTCTGGAAGGTTGATTCAACAGCAGCAGATCTTTGATCCATTCAGTGATTTATAAACGACCAGCAGTAGTTTAGTCTGTTCTCTCAGTGAAGGACTGTAGAACTAGGTGATGTAGAACTAGGTGATGCAGAACTAGATGATGTAGAACTAGATGATGTAGAACTAGGTGATGTAGACTAGATGATGTAGAACTAGGTGATGTAGAACTAGGTGATGTAGAACTAGATGATGTAGAACTAGGTGAAGTAGAACTAGGTGAAGTGCTCTATTGTCCCGGTTTTTGTCAGAACGCCAGCAGCGTTCTGGGTCAGCTGGGCCATCAGTCCTTTAATTCTGAAAATGTTCTTCAGGTGATCAGAGGCTGATTTTGTAACCATCTTTATGTGGCTCTGAAGGCTCAGAGTTCATCCTGATCTCTGGTCTCCAGCTCTAAGAACTGAAGTCGCGTGTTGATTCTGGATCGTCCCACAGATAATAAGTCCAGTTAGAAGCAGAACCAACAACTCGGAGATCTTACCACACTTCAGCTGAGCCACTGATCCTTCACACGCCACAACGCGAAGCTTCTGGGCGCTAGCTGCAAATAAAACGCCGTCAACCACAAGGAATCAAAACCAACGAGCAACGTTTCCACGCTTCGGAGCGTTATTTTACCTGAAGTTATCAGCACACACGATGCCGCCAGAACTAGAAGAGAAAAAACTTTTTATCAAAGCTGTGAGATTTTTCATGAGCTGAAAGTTCAGCAGGTTTCAATGGAAATTATTAAAATAATTCATAATATTCACTCTCCTGTAAGGCTGACAGTTACAAATTCATATACATATGATCCCAATAGTACGAATTATTTGTAGTGTTTGTATGTTTTAGTTTGTATTGTAGCAATGTGGTGTTCCACAGGGTTGTGAGCTTGAACCACTGCACACGACCACAACTAAATAATTTCTATCTGGCAAATGAATTAACATTTTGAAGTATATATTAAATTTTATTATAAGTACATACATCTTCCCTAAAATAAGCTGGTATGCTGATGATATCCTGCTATAATCATCTTTATAATCATGACTTTCTAATCTTATGAAAGTCAAGGATTAGATATGAATTCTTTATTATATCAAATTAAATTATTTTATATTATATATGCACATATTTTCCTAAATAAACTGTATGCTGATGGCATCCTGCATGAACTGCAGTAACAGTTAAAAATAAACAACTTTTCATTAAATATCTCAAACTCCTAACTTTCACTCGTGTGCGTTTCTCTCCTGCAGCCCCTTGAACTGAAATGGTTAACGCAGACTCACCGAGCGTGGAGAGGAGCATGATGGAGAGCCGGATGGATGCTGGAAGAAGCTGGTCGCTCTTATTTAAGCCGTTCTTTCTGTCCCAAAAGAGGGAATCCATCCCATAATCCTCTGTCACTTTCTCCACCAAAACAAACTGCTCTGTAAATTTGAGTCTGTGTTTATCTTGGCGTCGTTTTATGTACCATTCTCACAGTCAAAAGCCTTCTGTCATCGCCTGACACACACGCAGGGTGCATAAGATCAGAAAGGGCTTGCCGTACATCAGATGGATGGAAGTGGAAATCATCCAGGAAGGCACAGAAAACCTCTAAATGGTTTTAAAATGTTTGGTTTTCACAAAAAGTACGAAGTTACTAAAAATTACATTTGCATTAATAATTGCACAATTTGACATTTTGAAAATAAATTTAATAAATTAATGGAAACAGCAGTTTTTTTCAATAAAAGGTTCTAGGACTAGGATGAGTTGGGTTTTTATTTGCATCAAAATTGGTTTAATTCTCAAAAATGCAAAGTCACAGGATGAAGGTTTGTGCCCCTGTGAGAATAAAACATAGATGCGCCCCTGGAAGATGTTTCATTTATTCCTAAGGAAAACAATATGGAGCCCAAGGACTGTAAACTTTGGGATTCTGGTCCATGTTGTAAAAAGTTTGGAAACCATAAAGCAAAGTTCAGTTAAAATGTTTGAGTCACTAGAAAATGTAAAAGTTTAAATTCTGTTGTAATGTAAATAAATTGTGCATTAATAAACGCTCCATATCTATTCAGTTTGACTCAAGAGCACTTAAATTTACTGAAACATGAGTTTTATTAATCTAATAAGGTTCTGTAATTTAATTGAACCCAAATCATGATTTATTCATCTATTTAATTAAAACTAAATTCATGGCTTAACACAGGAGGTGTTTTGTACTGTAGTTTATAAATGAAACCATGATTTTAAAACTGCATTTTTAAATATTCAGGTGTATTTCAGTGAGTGCAGAAAGCATTCAGAACAATTTAAATCTTTCTCTCTTTGTTTCATTGCAGCCAATTTCTAAAATCAAAACAGTTCATATTATTTCTCTGATGTACACCGACTGTCTTATCTTGACAGAATAAAAACGCAAAATTGTAGAAATTCTCGTAAATTTATTAAAAAGGAAAAACTGAAATATGACTTGATATAATATCGCATGCTTTCCGCAGCCACGTTTATTGGATCATCTGAAACAGTGTGGAAAAAAAGGCACTTTGTCGTTTATCTAAGGTTTGTCTTTGTGTGTCTTTAGTTGGACGCGAGTCAATAAGTTTGTAAAGATCAGCAGCCGTTCCGGTTTCGCCTGATGTTTGCTGCGTTTTGCAGCAAACATCATACCTGGCTGCACACGAAAACAAACCAACATTAAAAAATAAAAATCCACGACGTGCATGTACAATGTGTGTAGTTTAATTTCTCCAGCTGCTTTTAAACAGCAAAACCAACAGATGAAATAAAACATGAGTGGATATTTTATGGAAATAAACAATTCTGTTAATCTGAGTTTAAATCATGAATATTTACAACTACAGCTACCGACTAAACCAGCTTTCCTTACCCAACAAAGATTTAATTTGTTATGTCTGATTTCAGAGTGAACGGTTAAACTTTCAAAGATTTATTTTTTATGTTTCAAGATGAGTTTGTTGTTATTTTAAGTTAAATGTCTTCTCTACACTTCAAAAACACAATTCTACCCAGTAATTCTGGTTAGTTTTTATTGTAAATATGTTAGTACACTTGAAGTAAGACAAAACCTACTTACAAGTTAACTTTAGATGAGTTTGTTTTAAGTAAATAATTCCTTAATATTGGTGAGAAAAATGAGTTTAACTGGAAGATTTTATTTTCCTTAAAACAAAACATTTTTCCATGTTATAAATGAAATAACCTGCCAGTTAAACTCGTTCTTTTTTAGCGATATTAAGGAATTATTTGGTTTAATAGCTCCTGTTTCTTGCTGAAAAGTTACTTGTAAGTTAGTTTTTTCTTTTTCAAGTATACCAAGATATTTTCAAAACTGCTTTTTCTGTTTTTGCAGTGCACTTTCTGCCAGCCAACGGATGTAGAAACATGTTCACACAGAAACAGCCAACAAAATATGATTAAATTCAGTTCAAATAAAAACAGACAGGAGAAAAAATGGTTACAGACATTTTTCTTTTAAATGACAGATAAAGCTTGCTAAAAACGTTATTCAGTGTTATGGCTTGGATTTGACTGGACCGTTAGAGAAACTCGACTGTCTTCTAGCAGAAACCAGGAATAAAGAAGAAGCCGCCCGGTGGTTCTGAACGCCCTGAGCTGCTACCTTTGGGTTGTTGCTGCGTTACTGGCTGCAACGCCGCCGCTGCAGCGTTTTGCCGCCGCCGCAGCGGAAGGAGGAAATATTTTCCAGCAGCGCCGGCTCGTCTTCTGCGCTTCCTGTGGCGAGTCTCCGGGGGGCGTCGTCACGCCGTGGTGACGCATCGGTTCCTGAAAAGCTCGTCAACGACGGAGGAGTCGGCCAGCGTGGAAACGTCGCCCAGATCCTTTTCATTGCAGGCAATTTTACGAAGCACCCGCCGCATGATCTTTCCTGCAAACACAATGAAGTTCGTTTACAAGCAGATCACACTGCAAAAAACACAAAGTCTTACCAACTAAATAATTGTTTGATATTAATTATTTCACCCGAAATGTGGGAAAAATTTATTGTTCTCAGTAAATTTATCTGCCAACTGAATCATTAACTTAAACGAAGCTCCTATATCTGGCTGAAAAGAGAGTTGTAAGTTAGTTTTGTTTTATTTCAACATATTTCCAATGAAAAATAAACAGAAATATTTTTATGTTTTTTGTGCGGGAAGTGTTTACCGGATCGGGTTTTGGGAAGTCCGGGCGCGTTCTGGATGTAGTCTGGAGTGGCAATGGCGCCGATCTTCTCCCTCACTGCAGGTACAACAGAAACAGATCAGACTGGCTCTGCCCCAGTTCTGCCCCGGTCCTGTCTGGTTCGGCCCGGTTGGGACCCACCTTGCTTCCTGAGCTCGGCCTCCAGCGCCTGGCTGTACGCCACGCCGTCGTTCAGCGTGACGAAGCAGTAGAGGCTTTCTCCCTTCACAGCGTGCGGGCGGCTCACCACGGCGGCTTCGGCGACCGATTTGTGCTCCACCAAGGCTGACTCCACCTCCGCCGTGCTCAGCAGGTGGCCTGGAGGGAGAGCAGCAGGAAATACACAGTCACACCATGGATAAAACAGATACAGCTCCTTCATTAAGTTTACGTTTATTTTGTGTGACCAACGATTAATCGATAAGCTACGATTATCAAGTTAAAATTAACATTATATGCTGAATTTAAAAAAAGAAACATTATATTTGAAGGTTTGTGTGCCCAAATAGCAATAGCTAGTTTAACTAATGCTAGTAAGTTAGCATTAGCATTACCGATGCTAAGACTAGTTAGCATTAACATTAACCTTGGTCCTGATCCCGTACTCAAAGAATTAAATATTTATGTGGCAAACTGTATTAAGTTAGCAGGAAGAGAAAAAATGGCATTAGCCTTAAGTAGCTAGTCCTAGTTATAATAGCATTAGCATAGGTAATGCTAATCATGCAAGTTGTCCTAGCATTAGCATACTATTTTTCATAGCATTAGGATTCAAGCATTAGCTAGTTATCCAATTATTCATGCTAATGATAGTCATGCTAACATAACTAGTTGGGTGTGCAACATTGCTCATGCTAATGTTAGTTAACAAAAGCATTAAATCACTAATTTTCCTAGCGTAATATATAATAACATTAGCTATTCTGCTAACACAATAACAATTATTGTTGCTAATGCTAGTTATGTTAGCATTAGCACCAGAAGCTAATTATTCACACTTAAATTCCACATATTTCAAGAGGGTCTTTCAACTCATTGCAACGGCTCTGATGAGAAGGAGTTTGTTCAGCTAGCGATGCTTACCTGACACATTCAACATGTCGTCTATCCTCCCTGTTATCCAGTAGTATCCGTCCTTGTCTCTTCGGCAACCTTACGGTAGAAACAGGTGATGAGAACAGACCAGGGCGACTCCTGAACGGCTGATGCTGATATAAATGACCGTGCCTCACCGTCCCCCGTGACGTAATATCCCGGAAACTTCTTGAAGTATGTGGCTTCGAATCTCTCGTGGTTCCCGTAAATGCTCCGCATCGCACCCGGCCACGGCTGCTTGAACACCTGCGGAGAAGCGGAGCGCGCTCAACGCAAGGAGCCAGAGGAAACATACGGCAAGACAACAACATATTCTATCCTGACCAGGTATCCTTCACTCGGCCCTTCCAGCTCTTCACCAGACTCGTTCAAGATGGCCGGCACCACGCCGAAGAACGGGAACGTCTGAGGACAGAAAGTCACATATTTAGACATTTTATCAAAAACACCCACACATCAAACGTTCCACCAAACATTTTGTAAACATGAATTAAACTGGTGAATTAAGAGCAACAAATGCTTTTACACACAAAAAAAGTACATTTTATTTTCTCAGCTTTTATGAGTAAAGCCATGAATTTAATGAGTTAATTTTGATTTATTACATATATTCTGATCACATTCAATGTTTCAACAAAATATTTTATTTTTTATATACAAAGGTTCTGAAAGGACATCAAGAAATCAATGACATTAAAAAGGCTGAATTAGAACAAGAGTGGGCCAAGTTTCCTCCACAGCTGGAAGTTATCACTAATATCGCTAAGTTATTAGAAGCAACAGTTATTAATAGGCCTGTCGCAATAAATCACACGACAGATTAAAACATTGTAAAAGTTCCCTTTGGATGTTTTATTAATTTTCTGGATGATAAAACTTCTCAATCTGGTACTTTAGTCTCAACTAAAGCTTTATTTTTTAAGGATAATTTTGTTTACAGAGACTATAATTTATTTTTATTTGTTGTTTTTGTTTTGTTTGTTTATTTTGGATATTTAAAATGTTCTCCAGTTAAATGTTCATTTGAATTTAAAGTTTATTTGAATGTGTGAACATTATATTGCTTGAAAATTGACTCAAAATGACATTATCATAACAGGCCTGGTGTTTAGATCTTTAGGTTTTTAGGTCTTAAATAACTTTTTCCCCTCCCTTAATGAAAAACATTTAAAGCTCAGTAGTTGTTGTTTTTGGCATTTAAATTGTTCTGAAACACTAAAACACGATAAACATAAAAACCAGTAAAACAGGAGAGGAGTGAATACTTTTCACACCAGTGCAAACTGGGAAACCGGACTGTGTCGCAGCTGGACCAGCATCCTGTGGATGTTTTTCTGAACCGGGTCGTTTACTCACAGCGGATCCGGGTTTCATGGGCGTCGCCGCCGGCAGAGGAGTCAGCACGTGTCCGCCCTGAAAGCCAAAGACACAGAGAGCAGTTGCACCGGGTCATCATGGCGACGCAGCCCGCCGGGTCGGGTCGGTACTGACGGTTTCAGTCTGCCAGAAGGTGTCGACGATCGGACATCGTTTGTCTCCCACCACGCCGTGGTACCACTGCCAGGCCTCCGGGTTGATGGGCTCGCCCACCGTTCCCAGAACCTTCAGCGATTTGCGTTTGTACCTTTAAAAAAGCAGAGAAAGTCCATTCAGGACGCGGCCGTGTCTCGGGTGGGAAACGGGTGGGAAACGGATCGGAAACGGGTGGGAAACGGGTGGGAAACGGGTGGGAAACGGATCGGAAACGGGTCGCTCACTTCTGCACCAGCTCGCTGCCGTACTTCATCAGCAGCCTGATGGCGGTCGGCGCCGTGTAGAACTTGGTCACCTGGTATTTGTCCACAACCTGCCACATGCGGCCGACGTCGGGGTACGTAGGCAAACCCTCGAACTGGGAGCAGAGGGCGGAGGTCACGTCACCATGGCAACGGCAGAACAACAAACACAGGAAGAGGAAAACCATTTCTCCAAAATAAAAATAAGTGTTCATATCACAAACTAAACAGAGTTGAGAAAAAACATTAAGAGAAATGTATGATATTGGGAGTAAAGTCAATAATATGAGAAAAAGCCAGAATGTTATGAGAATTTACTGATAATATTGTGAGAAAAATGTAGATTTACGTTGTAATATTACGAGGATAACATCGTAATAATATGAGAATAAACTCCCAATATTAGAAAAATAAAGTTGTAATAAAGTAGCAACTTTATTTTGAAAAATGAGGAATGTTGATCATCTTGTAAAGTTTTACAAACTGTGTCATCTTGATCAAAACTTATTGAGCTGTTCACATCAGATATTGATAACTTCTCAAAACTTCACTTTCATTAAATCAACTTTTATAAACGTAATTTTATGACTTCATTCTGGTAACATTGCAACTTTATTCTAATGCTATTAATGACTTTACTTTTGTAATTTCAAAAAGATACTCTGCTGTAGTAAGCACATGGCTAAAACTGATCAAAACTTAATTATGTTGAAAAAATGAAGTCAAATCTAAATAAAAAGTTAGATAATGTATTAAACTCTTTGTTCTCAGAATGAAATCCGTGGCGTTAGCAGGAATGCCAATAATGAGGTAGAAGTCATTAACGTTGGAGCGACTTCCTTATCAAAGTGATTAGAAATAAGTCCAGCTGCCATGACAGGAAACCGAAGACGTTTCTACTGTTTCTACAAACTACAGGGAGGACAAAGTGAGATCAATTAACGGTTCCTCACCAACACGCTGGTGGCGCCGTTGGCCAGAGGCCCGTACGTGATGTAGGAGTGACCGGTGATCCAGCCGATGTCCGCCGTGCACCAGTAGACGTCGTCGGGCTGATGGTCGAACACCAGTTTGAAGGTGGTGGCGGCGTAGAGCAGGTATCCGCTGACCGTGTGAAGAACGCCCTGCAGAGAGGAAACTATCAGCAAACTGCAGCAGGAAGCTGCGTTACACTGCAAAACACACACACACACTAAATCCAACCAAGTATTTGTGTCTAGTGAACAGTAAAACTAGTTCCACTGGCAGATTTTTTTACATTTACCTTTTTTTTTTTTTTACATATTTGTTGAAATTGTTACCATGTCATAATGGTACCATAGGAGATAAATAAACTGGAAAAATGATCACATCTGCCTTCTCCCCTAACTAGAAACAGCCAATCAGAGCCAGGAGGCGGGTCTTAGTGCTGTCAATCACCTGTTTCCATCTCTCCTTGCTCTCTACTAAGCTGCAGCTAACAAAGGCTGTTATGAATGCTAATGCTAGTTAGCATAGCCACCAATGACTGTGGATAAACAGTTTTTCTGAAACAGTAAGTCGTTTTCCTGCTCATACATTTCGGTGATTGACAGCGCTAAGCCTCGCCTCCTGGTTCTGATTGGTTGCTTTAGATGAATTTCTTCAGCAGTTCAGGGAGGCAAAGAAGGAGATTGATCCTTTCACTGATGATCTGTTACATACTGCAGCTTTACGTGAAGCAATCTCCGTCTGGAACGAGCACTTTAAAAAAAAAAATCAATATTCAATAATCTACTTAAAAGAAGTCAATCTTTCCGAAAAGTTGCTTTTGTCTCATTTAAAGTGTAATAAAATATTTGTGCAAGAAAGTAGATAAAGATCCTAGGTAAGATTTTGTGTTTTTGCAGTGTAGAGATGCACATCATATTGGCAGCAACATCAGTAACTCTGAGCTGTAGGACGCAAGAAGAGATTCAATGAAAATGAATCCCAACTCATTGTTGTTTACTCAGTCATAAATGTCAAATCTAGAGTATTGATTTTGATTCTAAAAATCTAAAATAAAAAAGGAGGGATTGTTTTGTGTCCCTTACTTTGGGTTTGCCGGTGGAGCCGCTGGTGTAGAGAATGAAGAGCGGGTCTTCAGACTCGCACCACTCGGGTTCGCACTCGTCTGCAGCGCCACTCATCAGAGAGTGCCAACACAAGTCGACGTCCGGGTTCCAGGGCACCTGGAGCAGAAAGCAAAACAGAAAACATGAGAAGAAACAACCCAGAGCGGTAAGAAAACAAGTCAAACTTACAAATTAGCAGCAAATATCTGCATCCAATAAGTGGAAATCAGTGACTGAAATTATAAATACCTCATTAGTTAATGTCAGTGGACACCAGAGCTTAGCCACGGAAACAAAATTTAAGAAAATTAATCAGAAATGAGGCAAAATGACATTAAAACAAGCATGACACAGCAGTGATTTAGGCTGCATTTCTCATTACTTTAAGTGGGCCAGTTAGGAGCCTGCAGAGTTTATGGCTTCATCTCATTGATTGGTGAGTTTGTAGCAAAGCCACAAATCAATCAGGAGGACAGAAACGCTGCTCCTTTCAGGAGTAAATCTCTGAAACGTCCGTCTCATGAGGACGACCTCTGCAGCGACCTTCAGTCCTCAGCCGTTACTGGGATTTCTTCAATCTGCTAATGGTGCAGTCTTCCTCCCAGACTGGGTTACATGCTTTAGTGAAATTACTTTAAAGGTCAAATGTCAATGAAAGATGACATTATTGGCTCTGTGGACTCTTTTCATTCCCCTTAGTGGGCCAAACTTAATAACTGGAATAAGAAAAGCTTTTCTGTTCTGAGGTTTTGACTCATAACGGTTTAAAAGTGAAAAGCAGCGGCTTGCAGTGAAAACTGTGGATAAAACAGGAAAGGCTGATCCACAAGTTTGGTTGCATTTCACATATTAAAAAACAAACTGATTTGAAACCCTTGTACTCTGATGCAGTCTCTGGTTTATTGTCCAGTTTTAGCTTTATGGTGCATTTCACATGTGAAATATATCATACTATAGTGACTAGAGCCTAGAACAATATGTCAAGGCTAACGGTCGCAAGTTGCTTCAAAGTTTTCATGTGGCGTTAGCTGTAAACTAAATTAAACTATTTAACCTACTTTTGCTATCAATAAAGTACTTTTTAATTTAATTAAACATGAATTGAATAACAAACATGATCAGCTTGTGAGCGTCTGTTTATTATGCTAGCAGGAGCTAACATCGTTAGCAGGAGCTAACATCGTTAGCAGGAGCTAACACAAAATCAAAACAAGTTGGAAGATAATAAATTAATCTTTAAAGTGGCAATAAAGAATCTTTCAGTCTTTGTAACGCATCATGTTGACATATTTAAGAAAATATTTTGATCCCAATGCTAACCGTAAACAGCTTGAGTTCACAGGTCATTTTTTTAGCATACGCTCATTTTTTAGGTTAGCATTTCCAAGCAGCAGCAGAACAAACATCAGATTTTTCATCCGACAACGCAAACAAAACCCCAAAAGATGACATGGAGGATTTTAGTTGTGGAGATGGAAATACCTTTGGAGCATGATGTGTTTTCTTTATTTTCCTTTTCTCCTGCTGGATGGGAGTGAGGGAGGGAAAGGCAAAACAGGAGGAACGAGAGGTTAATGGGGGAAGGAAACCCTCCAACAAAAAAATAATCAAAACCAGGGACACCAAATCAAATCAAGACAGATGAAGGCTGAGAAGCTTTTAGGACGAATGCAGAACGAAAAAAGACCATAAAGTTAGCATTTTCTGCTGCAGCCCGGCTTCATCCGTCGTTTCCTCACCTCCAGATCTGGACACGTTCGCTTGGCGGGAGGAGACTGTCTTCCGGCCGCCTCCGGCTCCTTCGATAAGTGCTTCAGCACTATGCACTGCTTCAGTGGAAATCCTCTGCAAAAACCCAAAAACCAAATGTTCACTTCATCCTCTCACTGTGAGCACGCAGCGCCTTGCAGCATCAAAAAGCTGCAAAATTAGACTTTTTTCATGGCATAAACTCAAAACATAAATACTTTATGTTAGAACAACACAAAGAAGTATAATGTGTTGGGGTCATAATACGTAGATATAAAAATAGATACAAGAATCTTTCAAAAAAGAAAAAAGAAGCTCCAAATGTCAAAAAATTGCACAAAAGAAAAATCTAAAATGTCCAGATTAATTTGAGGAATTTCTTAGAAAAAAAATAAGAAAATGTTTCAGTTTCAAAGGTTGATAATTTGTGAGAAAAAAAATCTGACATTTTAGCTTAATATTAGAAATTTTGAAAAGAAAACACACACATACACACAAACTCCAAAATTAACAAATTTGCAAGTAAAAAAATCTCAGAAAATTAAATAAAGAAAAATTAATTTCTCAGCTTCAAAGTTGAAAATCTCAGAAAATTTATAGAAAAGATGAGGCAACTTCTGAGCTTCAAAGGCTAAAAATTTTTTTAAATTAATTGTGGAAAAGTTCTAGAAAAACCAAATTTCTGAGCTCCATAATTTGGCAGAAAAAAAATTAAAGATTAATTTTAGAATTTTTGAGAATTTTTTTTCAACTTTTATTAAATCTTTAAGATTTTTCTAGAAAATGTCTGTCTTTAATCTCAGCTGTATTGAAATTTGTATATTTTGCAAAACTACAACTGAAAACGACGAGAATGAAGGTGATGAATGTTTCTTAATGATTCATGTTGTGAACAAACTTATTGTGTGAGATTCTAATTTTGTTTCTTATTTAGTGGAAATTGTGTTTTTTCGGACAAAGTTTTGAACACATTTGTAACGGAAACGCAGTTAGTGACTCTTTCATAAATCCATAATTATAATTTTCAGCCACTGTTTGTTACGTCCTGATTTACGACGCGCGTCTCACATCAACAACGTGAGCAAACTGCCGGGTTTAGTTCCACTTAGAGAAGAGACACGGATGGATCGGGTTTGGTTTTGTCTGGGATCTCGTGATCCTGGTTAATTTGTTCCTGCTGCTGAACAGATCAAATCAAAATGTGCAGAAGTACCAACATATCATTGTTAATATGTCACTTTTACTGTCATTCTGAGCTTAGAAAGTTCCTCTGTACTCTTTGTCAGTTGGTTTTATTGTTTTATATCACCAGATGAGCTCCACACTTTAATGATGTCAAGTCAAATAAAAAGGTTTTATTTAAGTGTTTATTCAGGTTTTCATTTTTAGCTGCAGATGTAACCTTTGCTACAAAAAATCTGTCGTTCTCTAAAGAAATGCATTACAGGGAATAATTCCTATTCTAAAAAAAGGTTTTAATTATATATTTATTCAGTATTTGTATTTCTAAAATTGTATTAAATGAAAAATGAGCAGATTGATCATTTAATTGTCAGAATAATAAAAAAAGCTAAAGACATTTTAATAGTTCAGCAGAGCTGCAGCTTAATCCACCTCAGAGACGGGTGTGTGTGTGTGTGTGCGTGTGTGTGTGTGTGTGTGTGTGTGTGTGTGAGAGTAAGGGGGTGTACAGCTTACTTGTCTCTACATTTCTGCAGAGCTTCATCTGCTAAGAGCTTCAGGTTGATCAGCTTATCTCCTCGGTAGAAACCGTCTGACATGGAAACACAGAAGGTTTAGGCGCCGTTCAAACCAAAAACACAAAACTTTTAACTCCAGCTGAGACTTTTTACAGAAAGACAAACATTTCACATGCAGAGGAGAGCAGAGGAACCCCGACCCTAAGCCCTGAAGATTACAGTCAAGAGTAGCACTAGCTTATTATCTTTACTCAAGACTAAAACAACATTTGGTAAAATATCTCCTCCAGTCGCTGATCAAATTATCAATAATTTAACCTTCAAAATTACATCATGCCTAAAATATAAAGTTAAGTGGAAATGTTCGTATTTTAAAGACCAAAATGAAAACAATTCATATAAATAGCATAATTACACAATAAAATCAGGCAAAAGAAATAATTATAGCATCCAGAAATTTCATTCAAGTCAAAATACAGGAAAGAAGTCTTACTTGAATAATTTATTATTTATTCAAATAAATGTAACTGAGTAAATGTATTTAGTTACAACTATGATTGCAGTTTTACTATCTTTAAAAAGCATGAATGGACTCAGATTTTAGCCGATACCAATTATAGGTCAGCAAAGAGTCGTTATTAGTTTATTCTCCCAGAAAAAGTAGCTGAATCCAAATTTCTGTGTCCTGAGGTCAGTAACTTCTTTATTTCTTTTATAAAACTTGTTAACTGGAGAAAAAAACACAACATTTTTTATGAGTGAAAACATAAGAAGAAATGAGCTTCAGCTGCTGGATTAATCAAAGACTAATCTGGGGGATTAGGCTTTGATTACAGACTCAGGATCAGCCGGTTCTGGTTCTGGCATCAACTGGATTCTTCTGGTTCAAACTGACCTGCAGTGATGAGCAGCAAGCACTGAGAGTCGATGATGCGCTCGCACAAAGACTCGGCGGAGAAACCTGCAAACTGGGAGCAGCGGTGGGTTTACGCACACGATCTACGATCAGACAAAGCCGAAGTTCGCAGGAAGGTTTCGTAAACTCACGACGATGGAGTGGACGGCTCCGATGCGGGCGCACGCCAACATGGCCACCACCAGCTCGACCACCATGGGCATGTAGATGGAGACGCGGTCGCCCTTCTTCACTCCTGCACACAAGAACGCAAAGGTTCAAACGATTAATTGTGATTAATCGATCGTCTAGTGAGACTCAAAAAAAGCCCATTTGCTGAGAAAACAACACTTATGTGGCAGTAATTACACCAAAATAGTCCAAAAATATTTACATTTTTATTAACTGCAAAAAAACTTTTTTGTCTGTAAATCTGTTTTACCCAGAATCAAATTCTGCACAATTCTCATATTAAGTATTTTTCCTATCCAATCATTAATTGGTCAATTGGAGAAACGATCAACAGACTGTATTGAAAAAGAAAGAGCTGATTTAAATACTTAATACTCTTTGCTACGTTATTGCATTTTAGGCAATAAAATGTTTTTTTATGTAAAAAGGAATTTTTGTTTATTTACTTTTTTTTATGTATTTGTAATTTTGTATAAAAAACTTCGGCAGTTAAATGAAAACCTGCAGAGTGTGGCATTTTTATCAGATTAATTTATCAATCATCTAAATAATTGATCAACTGCCTGAGGAATAACAGCGAGCTGCAGCCATGTGTGATTCATCCCATTAATCATCAGTAGAACCGATTAATCGTCTGAATGATTGAATATTTTAATAATCGAGGACTAAAATAACAGACACCAAACAGGCTATTATTCATTATTCTATCAAAACTCATTTAAAACATGTTGGATGGAAGAAAAACGATGGGACAGAATAAAATTCAGCTTTTTATTAGGCAGCCCAGCCTCTGCCTCTTAGAAACCTTGAAAACAGGGTTTTGGTGATTCGAAGCAGAAAGTCAGAGGAAACTTCTCTCAACAGCAACAGTTTATTGCCTACAGCAGCTAAAAAAAACTGTTACTGTGGTGAAACCAGGTGCTTTCATAATCTGTGAGGATTCAGTACATTTCATCATCATGTTCTCTGCAGATGGTGTAGCAACTCCATTGCATGAGCGACAGCCGTTAAGAGCCAGAAAACCATAGAAGTTGGTTCCTGTCAAAATCCCCTGGGACTTTACAGAATGTAACAAGTTCAGAGATTAAATGAATTTAATACTAGTTTACTGGTAAGAAGCTGATTTTGTGTTCAATAATGGAGGTCAGGAAATACAATTCTTATGATACATTTCTGTGATTCAGTGACTGTAAAGCAGTTGGGGTTCCTCAAGGCTGAGGTCTCGGGATAATTTAATTCCATTTCTACACGTGTCCTACTGCTCAGATTAAGGATATTTTTTGCAGACCAACTGTGTAAATTTGCTTAATACTGCAATATTTGGCTTACAAGCGTCTCGTTGCTGCCCTCTTTGGGCTGAATGGTGGCCAAGCAGCTGCATTTTCCCAGTTTGGCTGATGTCACACATGGTTAAAAAGTCTCAACTTGACACTTTTTCAGAGACTTTAGTAGCAATTTTAATAGTTGTTTCTTTGTTTATGTTGGACATATAAGACGTCTTCCTCGTCTCGTGTTTTGTTTGTCAGATATTGAAGTTTACTAATCTTTGAGAAAGTGAACTTCCATTACTATGCCAGTACACTGGAGCTGGAAAGATGATCATATAGTATATGTGGATGCCGAGCAGACCGACGATAAAAGCAGGAAGTGAACTACTGTGCAGGGCATTCTGGTAAATCCAAATATGTTAGCTTAGCTTTAGCAGGAGAACTGCCTGGTGTTTTATTGAAGAAAAATCCTCCAACCATTAAAATCTGATGCCTCTACATTTTCGTTCACATTTGGTAAAGAAGGAAGTTATGCTCAGTGTCTTCTTCAGAAGTCTTTCCTTCTGTTTCTCTTGGTGCAGCGCCCCCACAGGCCAGGAGGGAAACAGGTTCCAAAGGGTTTTTGTTTGTTTGACACAAATTTAACAAATGTTGCAATTTTGGTCCCCAATAAAAGTGTGAAAACTCCCTGAGAGGCTCAGTGGCTGATCAGATGTTTAAAGCAGGTAGATGGGACTTACCCTGGGATTTTAGGACATTAGCGAACCGGCAGACCTTCTGCAGCAGCTCTCTGTAGGTGACGGTCAAGTCGTCTCCGGGTTCATTGCCTTCCCTGGAGTAAGAGACAGTAAAGAAAAATAAACATCTGACCTGTTTCTGTTATTGTTTTTTGCAGAATTAAAGACCAATAATGGGTCATAATAATCATAATGACTATGAATATCAGTCTTGAGGAAGTTTTACTCCGATATGGCTGACAAACAAACCAAACTTGTTGTCTAATAACAAAAGCATCAACAGCTTATCTGATATGGTCTTGATGCTTGATTTTGTGTTATTTAATTCATAATAATTAATAATTAGGGAGCATTAACCTTCTCCCTTCAGCAAAAACTGAAACATCAGTTCATTTCCATTTTCTTCCAGCTCTATTTGGATTCCATACAACAGATGGACAATAAATCAATGATAATATAGATATCAGCAGATCAATATCAATAGATAATCCATCTGACAGAAAATTCAACGTTCCCTGAACATTCTGGGGAATCAGCCAATCAGCAAAGAGCGTGGCATTAACCCACTCATTCTTTGGTTGCCTAGCAACAACCTGCTGAGTAACTTCCAGTTTAAAGTTTCGCCTCATGAAACAGTAAAGGCCAATCCACCAGTTTGTGATCAATAATTATTGATATCAGATGTTAAACTCTCATATCGTGATGCGATTTTCGGCCGTATCGGTTGGCGCTGCGCTCCACTAACCAGAAGAAGGCGATCTTGTCGCCGAGCTTCCTCTCGTGGACGTTGCGGTCCAGCAGGTTGTAGCAGATGTTGGTGGTGGCTCCTTCCATGCACTTGATGAAGATTTCTCCTTTGGTCACGTCGAAGTTGTAGTCCAGGAACCGACCGGCGTGTTTGGTCTTCCAGAAGAAATCTTTAGCAATGGCGCCCCAGAACTCTGCGGCAAAGAAACAAGGACAATTACAGCAAGGCACCGCTGTGTTTTTGAAGAATTTCACATTTGAAACACAGAAAAATGTATCACAGTCATTAACAAACATTATTCTGGTTCAGAACCATAAGCTGACAGGACAAGACAAACGGACTTCCTGCTCTTCATGCACAACGTCCAGGAATTGGGGTAAAAATATCAATATTTGTGTTTTTCAAAAATACAAAGCATGACTGTTGGCTGTATAATTAATTTCTCAGAAAATGCAAATACATAAATGATAGGAATCAGCCTCAGTGTTTCGTGTGGTTTATTGTTTTTCTCTGCCAAAAACTGGATGGTAAAAGTCTTCAGTCTGGTGCTTCATTTATTTGTTTCTAGTGATGTGTTCATTGATTTTGGATATTTAAAACGTCCTCCAGTTCCAGTGCTAAATGTTTATTAGAATTTAAAGTTTATTGATCTTTGAGAATGTTTTCTGAACGTGTAACTCATTTTTAAAGTTGAGTTAATTCAGTAGTTTAAACAGCAATGGGGGAGATCAATGATTCACTGAAGCTGTAAGTTTGTGATAAAGTCCCAAAAGGCTGCATGTCTGTAGTGACGCACTAGAAAATGTCTCACATGTATTCCTTCCTGCAGTTATCTGCCTTGTAAATGTGCACAGGAGTAAAGTGAATATCACTACCACAGAGCGTTTATGTTTATGAGTTAGTGCAATCAAATGGCCTTTTGTGGAGGAAATAAAGACACACTGAGCCTTGAACCAGGAAGTAAAAATAAAAAATACAACTAAAAGCTGGGATAACTGCATACGTGCAATATTTCAAACTTTATCTGAGGCTTTAAAATGGGTTTGCAAGAGGAAGAGTGGATGTATTATGTTCTGCAAAATGATGAAACCAGATTATCTCAACAAGACATCGACATTTCCTTTGGTTTTAATGGAAGACATGAGTCATAATAACCAGCCAAAAAGAATCACATTCACTTTATTGTTTATTATAAAGTAAATCCTAAACCTCCGTGTAACTGAATGACAAATCCTTTTCTCTCTTCCTATCAAAAACTGGATAATAAACATCCACAGTTTAGTGTTTTGGTCTCAACTCAATGTTTTTTGTTTTTTTTAAGGACAATATTGCTTACAAAGATTTCATAATTCATTTATTTGTTGTGTTTATGTTTGTTGATTTTTTTATGTTCTCCAGTTTTAGTGCTAAATATTCAATAGAATTTAACATTTATTAATCTTTGAGAATGTTTTCTTCCAACATAATACCACTATTATTATTATATTACTTCAAAATGGACTCAAAGCAATATAATTGTTTATTACAATGGGACAACATGAACATGTGTCATTGTGACAGGTCCAATTAGTACTAATAACATAAGACAGGTTGGACCAGTTCATTCAAAAGGCCAGGGAATCGCAACATATTATAGTTATTATAAATATTATAACAGTATTGTTTGTATTATTTCTGTTTACCTGTGTGAATATGCATGTTTAATACATTTTGCAGTAAGTCTCCATTTATCACTGCATAACTCCGTGTTTGTAGTGAAATAGGGACTCAATGTCCTGAGAAATCAGTGTTTGTGGGTTTCATTCTCGCCTCAGAGGAAACTGAAATGTTTCAGAGTGAAAACTGGGACATTCCTGCAGAAACTTCGAGCTTTCACTGATCCAGTGCATCAGAGCAATGCGGATGTACGACTGGGTGTGGAGATGCAATCCTGCAGGTTGCGACACCCGTTGTCTTTTCCAGCTTCTCACGAGATTTGTCACTTTTAGCATTCATCTGTTCTGTAGGTTAAAGTGATACTCACCATCTGGATTCTCTATGGAGCGGACGTAGAGCTCCTTGTATTTGTCAAAGCTCGGGATGTGGGACTCCTTCTTCAGGTCCTCGGAGCAGTGGAAGACGTTCTCCTGCGGGGCTTTATCGGGAATCATCTTGGCTCCAATTTATTCTCCACCAACACGAGTCAAAGTGCGGACGGGTCGGCCTGATATTTCCACGGAAAATCCAGTTTCCAGCACCCTGTTCTGGTGTACTTTCATAGAAACAAACTTAACTCATCAGGCGAAGCGTCAAATCTCGCGCGAAGTGCAAAAATTCGAAGAAGCTCAATGCAGATTTCATTCAGACTTCCTCGTTTCGCAGGGTGACTTGTGACGCTTTCTATGCAAAAGTTGTAGCCGTTTACCCCACAAACACACGCTGTTTGATTTAGAAAACAAAACCCAAGTCAGTCGTAGAGCCTACGCAGCTTCAGCGTCTCGACGTTCCCGAGTGAACACGGACGTAAAAAGGTTTGACACCAGCTAAGCTAACCAGCTAAGCTAAGGAGAAAAAGGCAGATTCAGCTCATCCGTTAAAAAGCCCGCTCTGTGTTACATTAAACGAGCCACGTTATGTTTAATCATTACATGAAAACAAGCTTTAATTCAGCATAGCTCTATGTAACAAAAATAAAGTGTTAGCCGTAACGCTAACTCTTTGTGCGTCTCTTCTTCACTGTTAGTTGCAAACGTGTTCTGCTGCTGGACTGTTTGGCTCCGAGTCAGAGCCAATCAGAGCTCAGGGGGGCGTTCACGGCTCATTGCGAAAGCTCCGAATTTACAGTGTTTTCCCCATACAAAACTGAAGTTGGCTTCTGACTAGCTTCCGACTCGAGAAATTTGCTATAAAGCAATTCCATCTGTTCTTGTCCTACTATAATGTTATAGTTTAAAAACTATAATACTTTGCGATTTGGGAAACCAAACCAAATCCCAAAGTATTGCATTCATTAACTGATTTCAACTAAGTTTTAAATATTCTACTACTAGTGTTGAATAATCCAGCCTAGGTTTAAGCAAGGTAAAGATGCTTTAGTGTCGGTTAAAGGGCGAATGAGGTGGATTCGCCCAATCCAATGATAAATTCAAACAAGCTCAATAATTTCAATGTGTATAAAATTATTGATACATAATCAATAATTGTCTAAGCGACAATCGGAAGCTAACTTCAGCTTCGGTTGCCCAAAACACCTGAAACAGATTTCAGATGTTTTGCATTAAACCACATAATGTGTTTTGTGTCCCAATATTAACCAACTTCCCGTTAATATTCTCATCGGCTCCAGTGACAAGCAAGGGCAAATGCTGCGTTCACTTCACCTCGGAAATCAAACCTTTGATCATGCTAAGGCGTCACACCCACTTTCAAATTGCGCAACCGCTGCGAAGTAATGATAAAAATAAATAACTATATATTTAGTGGAAAAACGTTGTGGAATAAATTTACTTTTAGGAGAAAAAATGATTTGGAAAAGTTTTTTTCTGCCTGAACTGAAATGTATTGTTTTTCCTTCATTCAAGACTTCAAAATAGCAGAATTTGGACATAATTTTATGTTTTTGTCTGTCAGATGTTCTGATTGGTTACCAAGTACTGGAGTGTCATTCCTTGTTGACTAATCTTTTGGACGGGTTTCCGGTTTAATACTTTAATATGAGTTCTGCTAGAAGATTGAAACACTGAAGTGCAAAAATCTAAAATCATAAGAAATTATTTAGGAACTGAATATATATATATATATTTTTTTTTTACATCTGTGCAGAATAAAGGCTAAAAACCAGATCCAGAAACGTTGAAAACATATTTTAATCATAACAGAACAAGAATGAGACGCATACCAAAATGGCGCCCGCCAGGGGGCGCTGTGGGAGTTTCACCGAGATGAAGAAATTTACTGTTTTTTATCATTAAATCTTTTGTTTTTAATGATAAAAGCATATTAAATGTTATTTGTCGACTGCTTTGCCATAATGGAAAAGACCAAAGGAACCATCCAGGAGCATTTATGTAATAATTATTGAAAAGTGAACAAATATGAGAGGAAAAATGTCTAAGTCAATGTTTCTTTTGATATTTTGTCGTGTTGTTGTGGATTTGCAGATCAGAAGCTAATGTTATATTTTTAACTCTTCTTTTGAACAGTACAAAAAACAGATAAATAAAATCCCAGACAGCATTTGACAATGAAATACTGTTTTATTGTTATAGTACAAAATGTGATTTAAAAAGATCAACTTCAGCGGAGTATAACAAACACACCAGAGGAAAAGATGGGGGAGAAGTCACAGTGTAACACACTAATCAGCGCTGATTGTTGAAAACGTAAAGGTCTGCGGCTGCTACCAACAAAACCCCTTAAAGCCACTTCTTCATTCTGCTCAGGAATATTTCATTAAACTAAAAACACTCCAATATGCTACAACGGGCATTTGGAAGAACTGTGGAGCAGAAAAATGAAAAGCAGAGAAAAGTCAACATTCTGCTGGTAGGAGGGGAAAATGAATAAAACTGAAAACATTCAGAGATTTTCCAGCAGTAAGAGGAGGAGGAGGTGAAATTAGCACTTGGTTGATTTAGTACGAAAGGCCACAGTGTCAAACGTTTCATCATGAAAAGCACTTCTGAAGAGGAAAGCCTCCTTTCTGTCTGCTGCAGGTTTTCCAGGGTTTGGGGATGTCACAGTGGAAAGACAGGGCTACAAAAAGTAGCCTTTATCTCAAACTCTTGTTTAGAAATGGTCAGATTTAGTTTCCAGCCTGTTGCTTCACCAGTGGCGAAGCACTGACGACGTCTAAACGCCCTCAAAATCTTCAAATAAACATTGACGTCGACTGACTTTTAAAGATATTCTTCCACACTTATTGAGTTAATTTGGCATCAATAAACTTTGCTACGTTTGTGCTGCTTTTGTTTTGAAGAAATTAATGAAGGTTTAAAAGTCAAATAATCTCCTTACATCACAAAACCTGAACCAAACTAAACTTGTGGCAAACATTCATAACTTTTAAAAGACAAATAATAAGTTTCCAGAAGTCCACCTGCTAACAATCAAAATACCTTCAGGGTGTCCAAAGTGTGGTACGAGGGCCATTTGTGGCCTTCAAAATGATATTGGTTGGTCCTCAATCTACAAGTCAAGAATGGTAAAAAACAAAATAGAAAACAGTTCCAATAATTTGGAAATTATCTTTTTCTCTTAAAGCAACAGTATGAACCGTTTTTAATGCTTGGATGCAGATTTATATCATCAAAACAAACGTTGCACAGTTGATTGTAGAAATATATTTTGATACATTTGTTGAAACTGTCATTTAGTTGTGACAGTTTGGTATGAGACAAATAATCTGTGAAAAAAATCACGCTCCTCTGCTGATTGGTTGAGACAACTGGAAACAACCAATCAGAGCCAGGAGGCGGGTCTTAGTTAGCTCTCGGGTAAGTCGCAGCTAGCATAGCATGTTGTGAATGCTAGGCGAGTTAGCATAGCCAATAATGACAGAAGATAAAAGGTTTTCCTGTAACGGTGTGTTGTTTCACTGCCATTAGCACATTTTGCAGCATCTTCCCAAGGTTGATTTACTGCTTTAAAACCCGCCTTCTAGCCCTGATTGGTTGCTTTTCGATTGGCGTGAGAGAATTGATCTTTGCAGATTATCTCTCATAACAAACTGATGACATTTTCAACAAATATCTAAAAACCATTCTGCAGTTCAGAGTGACGTCAGGGTGGCCATCTTGTTGTTGAATTCAGTTCAACTCTACAAAAGTCAAAACTTATTGAGGCCAGGCTAAGATTTTGATTTTTTAAATTGTGACAATAAAGTTGAAATAGTGCGAGAACAGATCATTAATTTTACCAAAGTAAAGTCACAAATTTGGAGAATGAAGAAGTAATCTTATGAAAATTATACTTTGGCTTTACAGATGAAGCAAAACTTAATCTTAACACTTCAGCATAAAATTATCACCAGCAGCAGCAGGACTGATTGTTCAAACGACTGAATCCATATAGAAACAGAACTTCATGACTTTCTTCCGGTAAAATTGTATCTCTGTTCCACTAATGTAATTACATTCTCATAATTAAACATTTTGTGTCCTGGCCCTGATACTGACTGAAATAAAAGTCACTGATTTAATGTTGAGCCCTGAACGTGATGCTGTTTAACGTCTGTTAAATCTATTGAAAGTTGGAACCGTCTCAAAATTTGGGTTGCGCCGAAAAATCAGACCAGATTTTGTTTGAGAAAACATTTTCTACCTTCGCTTTGAAACTTTGTCGCTAAATTTAGTGACTTTTCACAAAATTACATTTTATGAGTCAAAAATTTGCTAGAAATTTTTAGATTAATCTTGGAAATTTTCTAGAATAAACTTACAGATTTCTGAGTTTTGACATTTGAAAATGTTCTATTTTTGGAAATTTGTCTATTTTAAAAAGTTTTCTATTAAGAAAATCCATAATTTATTAATTTCAACAGTTAAAGATTTCCTACTTTTAACACTCTGAAATTCTCATGTTTTGTAGAAAATGTTTTAGATTAATCTCAGAATTTGTTTAGGAAATTTCAAAGATCAATATCAAAATTTTGGATTTTGTCTTAGGAAACTTTTGCATTTCTAAAAGAATTATTATTTTTTGGGTGGAAAATGACTTTTTCCACTCTTCCACCCACCTGCAATTTTCTAATTCTTTGTCATAAAATTATTTTAAAAAAATCGGTACTGACAGGTCCTGATTTTTAGAAAACGGCGCACTCCTACTCAAAGTACGACTACCGCCCTCTAGTGGCCACTCCAGACCTGCCAGCTTAAGACGTCTACAGAAAATTAAACCATTTATCAGAAAAAAAAAGTCTTTGTAAATGATTGAGATTCTTTATTAAGTTTTAATTGCAGCCTGAAATGTTTCTGAGTTTGAAAACTTTTGTTCCTTCAGGCTTCATGTTTGGTCCAACAAAAACGTAACTGCCCAATTTTTTCTCTCCGAAATACAGCTTGAATATCATAACCAGGTAAACAAATTAAAATCGAAGACAAAATTTACTTTGCTTACAAACCGGGTTTAAAAATCACATTTTTGATAGAAAAGAATTTAAAAAACTGTTCTGTAATTTAAAAAGGTTTGCTCTTAGTGAAGGCAAGTAGTAATAAATAGAGAAAGTCAAGGCCTCTGGGCTGCATCCACTCCTCTGGCAGTTTTTGGAGCTTCAACACCACACATTTATTCAGAAAAAAAACTCTAAAAAACTTTTTTTGACAAACATATTTTTATGAATAAGGCCGTTGAAAAGAAAAACGTTCCACTAACAGGACTAAACACCAGTGTTTTGGTTAAATTAGAAAGAAATGTGACAAAGTTACATTAGTCTGAAGTCTCCAACTGAACCCAGAATGCAGATTAAATCTGATTAGAACTGGTTGTTTTGTAGATTAGATTCCCAGATTTTATGGAGGAAGCCATCTTAAAGGCTACAGGTGAATAGGAGCGGTCAGCACTTTCTACCAAGTTCAGCTCCACCGACTCCTTCAACTTCAAACAAAAGATGAAGCCACTTTTTTTCTGGATTTAGGAAGTGCACATTTTTAAAACTGAAATTCTGAGCGTTTTGAGAGAACTGGTGGGTTGTAAAAACAAACACGCAGTAACACATAAAGGGATGAAATGAAGAAAAAAGGGACAACTGGATTTTTGCACCAAATGAAGACAAGCCTGTTGCTTTGTGCCAAACTAAACGTGAAGATTTTCAATCTGAATGTACGCAGAGCGTCTTCTTTTATCTTTACTTCATGGAATCAAATCGGTCAGGGAGGAGAGAGCCTCCTGGACCGATTTGATTCCTCCTGGACCGGCAAATTCAGGTTTGATTCGGGTTACAAGAAGCTGCAATGCCTGGAAAGGACACCAGAGGGCGCTTTGGTCAAAACCATGGAGGAATGGCAGTAAAGCAGCCAGATGGCGCCACCACCGCTGCCCCCTGGTGGCCGCTTTAGTACTGCAGGTTCAGGGAAACCAAAACCATCAAAGCTTCCAAATCTATGATGGCAAGCAAAAGGAGTTTACAGGTAAAAAAGTACATTCACGACAAAAAACTGACATTTTTTGTGAGCAATTTTATAGTTCCAAAAGTATCCAAAATATTCTAGAAAAAAAAAAACTAATTTCAGACTAATGTCATAAATCTCCTAAAAAACAACCAATTCTGAGTTTCAATAGCTGAAAATGTTGAAACTCAGACGTTTCCATGTATTATTTTCCTTTTCTCTTTTTTTTTTTTTGACAAAATTTCATTTTTTTTTCTAGCAAATGCTAAATTTTTTAAACTAAGATTAATCTCAAAATTTCCAGATGGGTGGAAATTTTCTGTTCCTTTTTCTTTTAATTTACAGCCGTCCAAACGTGTCGACCGTTTGTTTTGGTTTGAAACTAACATAAAACAATGAAAAATAAAAACCACTTAGGAAATAAAATACAACATGAAACTCAGAGTTTTATGGTCAGAAACGAAACATTCAGGGTTAGTTTGGAGAAAAGCGCCGGCGGGTCGACCGGGTCAGGACGAGATTCTTCATTTGCATCCAACAGGCTTTTAAACACACACACACATACACACACACACACAACATCGCTTATGCTTTTTACACTCGAGTCCGGAGCGAAAACCAGGTGTTTCCCGACGGGGGTCTGGTTCTGGGAAGGACTGGATTACAGGGCAGCGCTGGGGGTCGGGTTCTGGTTCTGGAGACAGAGGCTTCATTGATTATAGAGAGGGCTTGGCGAAACCAAACCGCCGTGGCTTGATAAGGTGGAGGAGACGCTCGGTCTAAAACTCCTCCTGCTCTTCGGCATCCGGTATTACGAAACCCTCCTGCAGGAAAGAGGCGAACGGTTAGATACCGAACGACCCCGGACATTTCGCCTCACAATCAGCAATAAATCACACGATCAATTAACATCAGATCAATAATTACCACATCGCTACTTCCTTTAACGCTGTTAAAAACGGTTTGCACTACCTGCCTTGTTTCCCTATCAATGACTTCGGATCCATTTTAAGTCTTGATGTTTTGTTCATTTTGGATAGTTAAATCCAGTTGCAGTGTAAAATGTTATTTATAAAGTAAAAGGTTTTTGATATTTGATAATATGTACTTGCATTATTATTCTTTTTCTTACTTTTATTTACTATTGAACAATTATTGCACTTATTTAGCATAAATGCTGCTTCTTCTGATCTTAATTGGCAACAAGTGGAAAATGTTTTAGCAGGTACATTTTCCACTACAATCCTCTCCTTATTGAGGGAAATGTGATCACATTTCAGCCAGTTTTCCACTTATTCTACTGGTCAATAACCAGTTTAACTGGTCAGGATGGATTTATAGCTGTTATGGACGTAAACAGCTGTGAAACAGATTTGTTTTGTTTTAGTTTGGATTTGTGTTCAATAATTTATGTGAAGAGTTTTGAGTTAAAACATGAATTGGTAGAAAAGCTGGACTCACGTCTGTGGCGTAGAGGATGTCGACGATCCGCTGCAGCGTCGGGTCGCCTTCGCCTTCTTTCTCCTGGCAAATCAGCTCAATATTCCTCAACTTACCAAAATAAAAGTCTCTTTCCTTCTCCATGTCCTGAATGGTAGATTTCAGAATCTCTATCTGCGGGTACAAGATGAGAAAAAGGTAAAAGAACATTGTCATGATAAACGATTTGACGAATGCCCACCTGTAACAAGCCAATCAAATCAGACCTCATTAATAAGCTCCGCCCTCTCTTCATCGCCGCCTCCCATCCCCGGTTTTCGGGTCCCAGCAGGAGCCAACTTGGGAGCAACTTTTGCAACTGGAGGCTTTTGGGTAGCTGCTGAGAAAATCAGGGAGACAGATATGGTCACATAGATCGATCTGACATCCGAGGCCAACTGATCAGACGGATCACCGATTGATCAGACTAGCGACACGGATCGATCAGACGGATCGATCAGACCAGTGGACGGGCTCCCACCTTGGTTGAGGGTCTTCTTGGGGAGCTTGTTGAGTGCGGACGTGGTGGGACTGTTCATGGACAGGGTCTCCTGGCCCTGCCTCATCGCCACCGGGTCGTACTCCTTCCCGTCGTAGTTGGCGTCGAAGAATTTCTTAAACCACTGGACGAACTCAAAGTTGTCCTGGAACTTCCCCTTCACCAGTTTGTCAACTGGGATTATCTGAAACGAGACGGACGGCCCAATCAGAGCGACCGATGGCAAACGGATCCGTCTGCCGTGGCTAGCCCAGCGGCTAACCGCTCAGGTTTGAGTGAACTTACTTTATCCACGCCCATCTTCTTGAAACCAACTTGCAGAAGCTTGAAGTTGTGGATGTATTCGTGCTCCAACTTGGCGCCGAATTTGACTTTCTTCAGAGGCACGGATCCGGGAAACAGCATGTCTATAAACTGGCAGTAGACGGCGCCTGACCAGGAGCAACACAACATTAGAAACTCCTGGAACATTTTAAATTGCAAACATGAACCAAATGGACGCCCTACTGCCAGAGTCCTGACCGACTCCAGGACCTCGGATTGATTCCAGGCAGCGCTTCTTAACAATTACCATTACTTTTATTATTGCTTTTATTGCTAAGACTGGTCTGGTGCAGACCGCCTACAACCCTCAGGTGAGCACACACCTGTTTATTCAACGCTCCCACAACCAGAACTGAACACAGTAGAAGCTCTGAAACAGTAGAAATAAACCTGCCTGGTCTTGCCTTATTGCCCATAATGCAACACGGGATGCTTTCTCTAAAAGCTGCTGGACAGCTGCCGGCTCCTGAAAGGACCCAGTTTATGTTCTGGTGCAGAGCCGAGGAAGGAGGCGCAGCCACAAGATTCGCCTTAAAAAAAAACTAAACATGACTAAAAGAATCTGTGTTTTATGACATAAAAGTGATTTAAAAATGCTGCCAATTTAAATACACGCAAATATTTTAAGGAATATTTTTATGTAAAGCAACTTCTTTGAAAATTACATTTTAAAAAATGACTTTTTGTAAATAAAAAAAAAAGTTGCTAGATTTGTTGCTTTTTTTGAAAAAGTTGCTCAAAGGATCTGAAAAGTCGCAGTATTATGCATTTTTCAGACAATGTGCAATTTTTTAGAATAGTTATGTAACTATTCTACTTTCACTTTAAAAATGTTGTATAGATCAAATATGACTTTATGAAATTAGGTCTGTCTCTTTAAGAAGCTGCTGCTCTTTCAGAAACTCCACCTTCAGGAAGTCATCCCAACATGGCTCCTTTTTTAACCCATCAATGCTTCCAGCAGAAGTAAAAACTGAGACTCCATCGGTGCTCAAACTGGCTTAACGGTTTTCCGCTAAACTTCACAAAGCAGCTTTGAAGAATTTATTTCACATAAACTCATTTTCTGTCCTACCTGTGCACAACATTTCTATCTTGGTGAGGTTCATCTGGAGAGACTCATTGATCCACACCAGCATGTCATGCCGACTCAGGTTGTCGCTGGTCACCGACGTTGCGTAAACATTCACCGCCATCCTGGCTCACCTGCAAAACAAGATGGCGGATTACTGCTTCAGATCCGAAACAAGCAGCCCGGTTTAAACCATGAGTCCACAGAGAACCGGAGATTACACTTGGAGAAAAAAGACAAAAAGAGTTCTTTTGGTTGAATTGTTGATTTTTTTATTATTATGGAAGCTGAACGTATTTTGCTCTTATATTTTGGTTATTTTTAGACAACTATGATGCATAACTGAGTCAAAAATGGTCCCATTTCACAGCTGATTAGCATCTGGAAAATTCAAATAACGCCTGAACTTTGACCCAAAGGAGAGGAAAATGAGGCGTCATGGATGCAGAGAAGAAGAAAGAAGTTGAAACCATTTTTAACGTCTGTCTGCCTGGATTTCAAACCAAACAGTCAGAGAGATTGAAAGAGGAGTGGCAAATGCAAATGAAGTGGATTAGCAGAGCAAGTTAACAACTGATGGCCACTTAGGACATGTTACAGTAACATATTGTCTCTGCACTGTTAGCATGTCAGTACAGTAATGAGACGACAGTCTTCTGTCAGAGGTTCCTTCAGTCGTGCTGCAAGACTGACTGCTACCTGCAAACAGCATCACAAATGGGCCTGTTGCAAAAGCAAATCTAAAAATAAATGTTCCCAAAGGTTATCGCGATAAACAACAAGATCATCCATTTGAGACCATTTTTAAGTAACATAACGGTAATGGCATAACAATCTCCAAAATCAAAACTGGACAAAATAAATAAGTAGAACAACAGAAACAACAAATTATTAAGTTCATAAGCAAAATTCTCCTTCAAAATAAAAGCTAGTTGAGACCAAAGACTTTATCATCCAGTTCTGTGTAGGAGAAAAAAATAGAAATAATTTCAATATATTTAATTTTTTATGCAATTAATTGATTTGTTGCAACAGGTCTAATCACAATCTCAGATATTTGTCACAACTATGGTCATTAAATTCCCTTTGGGTTGAATGAAGCATGTTTGTGCTGAACTGAACATTTAAATATTGTCAAATAAAATTGTTGCCCAACGTGCTGTATTAAACTGATCAATCCTGATCGGTTCCTTCATCAGATGAGGTCATTTCCTGCAGTGCATCGCCTCCATCCATTTTTTGCAAGTCAGACTGAGACTCTCATGATACAACAGCCAACATAAAGCGCATGCAGACGGCACTGCACGTCTGTAAAGCTGCACTGGATGTTTAGATGATGTTCCATTTTAAACGTACGGAACCGCTCTAATGTCTTATCACAAAGAAAAACAAAATACTATAAACCTAACAATTTATTTACCTTAATGTGTTGATTCATATCTTGTGAATTTGTCTTTGATTAATTAAACCGCTGATTGGTTCACAGATAAAAGCTGTTGTTCTGACTCAGGTACAGATCCCAACAGTGTGACGTTAGATCCCGCTGATCTCCTGATGGAGGCAAAAGGCTGATAGCTGATGACTAGCATTGGTTTTAGCAACAAGCTGTCAACGCAGCGCACTAAATCTAAATGTAGGGCTGCTATGGAAGAAATGGGACGCAGTGCTTTAAATAAAAGGTCAGGAAAGTTTTAAGAAGAAAAAAATAGCGAGGGAGAGAGTGGCAGGTCAGTTATGCTAACTTGACTATGAGAATGTTGACATGTAGATGTGATGTGGAATTTGGTGTGTTTCAATTCAGTTAATAATAAAGGTCACACACACACCAAGTGACAGATCATCAGAAGAGCAGGGGTTTAAATTAGCTAAAAACCATGCAGTGTTAGCTTTGCTAATAGCAGCGGTAGCTAATCTGCCCGAAGTAGCTGATCTATCACATCACTAAATAACATCGACTCTAAAATCATAACACTAACAAACTAAATGTTTCTGTTCTTTGTGTAAAAAATCTTGTGGGTCCTGAAACACGTAGCGGCGCGTTGTCAGTTGCTATGGCAATGAATCTAGCCAATTAAAGGTGGTTCTGAGTTGATCTTCAATGGCTTTTCTGTTATTCTTCCCTTTGCTGCAGCGCACTGCGTCTAAACTGATCAGCCTCCATCTCCAGGTTTCGTTTAGTTAACCGAGCTGCTCTCTCTCTGCATGGCATGTAAACAATCGTGTTTTTCTCCAATCTTCACTGCTCATAGCCCTTTGTTTGATGTCGCTATCAGTGTATTGCATGGAGAGCGGCTAACAGATCTGATCATTAAGGTCAATTTAATGCCAGGTGTAAATAAGAGTCAGTCTGATGGTATCAGAGGATCAGGGCTGCCATGATGGATCCAATCAGTGGGTTTCTGATTACACAAGTTAACGTAATAACCTTAAATTTGTTTATTAGCGTTTGCTAGTTATTTCATAAAACCTTTTTGACCTTCAGGAGCAGTCTTTCATATTTTTGATCTATAATGTGAATCTATAGTCTGTCAGTGACAGTAAGTGGTATTTCTATTCTATTCCATATAATATAAAGAAAATACACCCAGATCTTAAAGCAACATCACTAGTAGACATTAGTAGAAAAATTACTATGTGTCATGAAGGCCAGTAGACAATACCAACTCTTTTAGTTATAAATTATTCTGACAGTTAATTTAGAAATCACATTAAAAAATTAAAAAAACACCACAAAAGAAACTAAGATAGTAAACATTTACTGAAAGAACATTTCCAATTGCTTTATTAGAAAAATAAATATCAAAAAATCAAAATGTTTGATTCTCAAAGGAAAATTAAGTAAATTGACTCAGAACAGCAGTCAGTAATCTTTAATCCTCGGAGCCTTTTTTTCTCTTCTTCACGTGTAACAAATCCAAATGAGTAATGAATAACTTTTGTTTTAAAAAGCCAGGCCAGTTATGGAAGCAGAGAGTCCAGCTGTATCTGAGTCAGCAGGGCGCATGTTAACCAGATCTGAGCCGGACCTGCGTCTCAAACAGGCCCAGCTGCTCTTCCTGTCTCCCAGCACCAACAAACATGTCTTAGAGAGAAAGTCCAGCTAAAACTGCTCGCTTTGGGTTCAGACTGGTGTTTCTCAGGGCGCATTTCGGAAGCCTTTAGCCTGTGTCGCATCAGAAACTTGAAGCTAACGTTAGCAGCAGTAGCCGTTATGAATGTGCTCATCAGATCATAAGCCGATTTATTAACTCGCTACAACCTCACGCAGTGAGGCTGTGGGTTTCCTGGTGGGCTGTGGAAGCTGCGGCTAGGTCCTGGACCCGTTTCCAGCGCCGGGCTGTGATCTGGAGCCCGGTTCTGCCAGCATGCAGGCTGTTTCCCCGCCCTGAACCAGAGCCTCCCAGACGGAGCACCGCCTTGTTAGGTTCCGTTACCCTGGAGCCACCACCGAGTCCCGGTCGACCCAATCATATCAAATGGGATTTTATTAAAGAACACGACAACTGAAGAGAAGAAACCTGGTCCAGTTTGACCAACTGGTTCCGCTCTAACCAGTACCAGCCATGCTCTGGGCAGCAAACCAGCAGTTAGCATTTTAGCTGCTCGGCTCCTCAACCAGCGGCCCGCTTCAAATCACCCCGGTTTTGTTTAAAAGGAAAAACGGTTAACTCACCTACAGCTGGTCAGAATTCAGACTTCTGCGGACTCGATAGTAATTAATTGTCTCTGCTGTGGTTCCGAATACCAACAAAACACAAATCTTGTTTACTGAGACCAGAGGTGCCACTTCTGCTTTTCTTTAGCTGTTTCACGTTCAATCTACCGGCAGCGGAAGAAACACGCGGAACAGCGCAGCAGATGACGTAAACACGTAAGAGTACGTCCCCACCCCCCGAGCGTATGGAGCAAAAACAGTCCATAATTCACGAACGCACAGCTCAAGAGCCACAAACACAGAACAAGATTCACACTTTTATTTTTAATGCAAACAAATATATCTTGAATTACAAGCTGTTTCTGGCCTGTGGGTGGCGCTACACACCTCACAATCTGCAAATGTCTTTGAACGATCAGCAGCCAATCAGATGGCTTCCTTGTTTCAGCCAATCACATTAACCTATTCCACCAACAGACAGTTTAGACCTCAGAATAACCAGATTTTAGAAATCTTAAAAAGTTTTTATTATACTCCTAACATTGATTTAAATTTTCTGACACAATAGCCTATCTTAGAATAAATATTATTAGACAGTATTATAATATTATATCACATTTGTTTGTTTAAAACCGGTGGAAAGTACCATTATTCATATGTATTCTTTCACTCTAGTAAAAAGTATGGTACCTCCCAAATCTCCGGTGTTGTTTTGTTTGTTGTTTGTTTGTTTTTCAAAGGTTTCTCAAAGAAACAATGTGAGACGAAGAGGGAATGAAAAAAACCACTGCTGATTAATCAGAAGAATATGAAGAATCATTTGTAAGAGGTTATTATTTGAAAGTGACAGAAATAACTAAATTTCTGGTTGAACAAAAATTATTTAAAAAAAATTTCAGTTTACTATCTGAAATGTTCAACTTTTCCCTGGGATTTTATTTGGGATTTTAAAAATCTTCATTGTTTGTCTGAATCATGATTTTATTTATTAGTTTTTTTCATGTCGAGCTTTTAAAAAAACTCTTATTCTGAAATAAATTTTTATTAACGACATGAACTGAAGAGAAGAAAATTATCAGCTCAGATTAAAAACGGAAACCAAATAATTTTTGCATATTTATGAACCACAAGTTCTTAATTTCTTACACAAAATAATCCTAATTGTTCAGCATTCGTCATTCCTGCGGTAAACACGGCATCATGGACGCATATTAAGACCCGGTTCGGCGGGGTTCTGATCAGACCAGAACCGGGACGGTTCAGCTGTTTAGAGCCTGTTTAAAATTATCTTTTTAGATTTTAAAACTTCTATTGTTAAATTTCAGCCGGTTCCATGAAGCGACTCTAAACGTGTTTTTCTCTCTTTCTTGATGACGTGTTTATCGGTTACATGTGTGACGTCACGGCGTCCCTCCCGCCCACATTACTTTATCAAAATGTTTTAAAATATAAGCATAAGTCTTGAAAATGTGACTCATTACGGGAGAGCAAAAAACTTGTGATGCGGCCGGGTTTGATGCCTATGACGTGCAACGACGTCATACTTCAGGGTCTTTATTTGCTCGTTCTTTCTCTCTAACCGTCACTTTGCATAGTTTGTCGCAGAGCTTGGATCAGTTGGTGTTTTTTCCAGTAATTTCAGCAGAAAACTCTCAGCAATTACCCCAAGTGTAATGAGTTCCCGATAGCAGAGACCTGGATCCATCACCGTCCAAACCCTGACGCCGGTGTGACCGGTTTCTTCGAGGTCCTGACCCAAAGGAGGGTAAAGTTCTGGCAGATGGAAACCCAATGGCATCACCACCGCTTTCTGTTCAAGACGATGGGAGACGTCTTGGAGCTGTTTGCATCCAACGCTCTAGATAATCTCCAGAGCGTTGATGTTTAGAGCGTTTTAGATGTAAAGGCGATGTGGGGAACAAAGTTCCCGACACGTTCGCGAAAATCCTGAATGTGGAAGGAGACTACAGTACCGAACACACCAAGAATATAAATCAGCTAATTGTGAAACATGTGATGAATAAAGTCGCTTCCGGCTTAGACTTTGACGACCCAGAAGAAATGACATCAAGAAAATACCTTACATGTACATAATGAAAAATTTAGTGTCTGAAACCAGATTATGATAGGGACCTTGTTATATTCCAGAAATCAAACAAACTGGCTCTTGTCAACACAGTTGAGTCAAAATCTGAGCTCACAGGTCTTAAAGAAAAGATCAAGAACTTTTTCTGGAATATCATTGGAAAACTTGTGTGGAAACTGTTCTTAGCTGAGCGTTTTTCAGAGGCCGGGTAAACCCTATGCAATCCCTTAAAAGACACAAGATCTGAGACGTGAATCCAACATGAGCAGAGTCCAGTCAGCCAAGGCAAGCCTTGGGATGGGTTCCTGGGATGAAACCGAAAGTTGAGTGATTGAGGAAGCCTGCATTGGAGATCATGCAGGAGATGATGAAGCACCATCAGGTCTTATTTAACGTCTCCAACAGACGTCCCTGAGGATCAAGTCTGAAGATGTTCTCAAGTACTGCACATGAGGATGAGGGTTCAACTCCCTCTGAGTGTCTGAACATGTTGGATGGTCGTCTCTGGGCATGCAAGACTTTTCTCCAGTTTCCCCAAAAAATTAACCTCCCTTTGGGATCATTTAAATACATCTGAATTGGACCAGTGAGTTTTCGTAGATGTCTGCTGAGCATTTCTTCTGAGTTTTTCTGTGAGGTTCGCTTTGATTGTGGAGACCAGACTCAGTGGACGTCCATCAGAACCAAAATGATTCTGTTGAGGGCGTCAGTGTCAAACTAAAATGACCATAGAATCGAAGTAAGTGCCTAAAACCTTAAAACATTTACAATTATTGTGTTTAAGTTTTGCTTTGTTATATTTACAACTGGCACTGATTGTGTTTATTTCACAACATTTGCATAGTTTGTTTAATAGTTAAATCGTTTTAATCTTCTTTAGTAGTAAATAAATTTAAAGCTTGGATGTGCAGTAGTAAAGTCATTTTAAGATTGTTAAATAGTAAAGTCATTATAAGATTGTCTGTTTAATAGTAAAGTCATTTTAAGATTGTTAAAAAGTAAAGTCATTATAAGATTGTCTGTTTAATAGTAAAGTCATTTTAAGATTGTTAAATAGTAAAGTCATTATAAGATTGTCTGTTTAATAGTAAAGTCATTTTAAGATTGTCTGTTTAATAGTAAAGTCATTTTAAGATTGTCTGTTTAATATTAAAGTCATTTTAAGATTGTCTGTTTAATATTAAAGTCATTTTAGATTGTCTGTTTAATAGTAAAGTCATTTAGATTGTTAAATAGTAAGTCATTATAAGATTGTCTGTTTATATGTAAAGTCATTTTAAGATTGTTAAATAGTAAAGTCATTTTAGATTGTCCTGTTTAATAGTAAAGTCATTTTAAGATTGTCTGTTTAATAGTAAAGTCATTTTAAGATTGTCTGTTTAATATTAAAGTCATTTAAGATTGTCTGTTTAATAGTAAAGTCATTTTAAGATTGTCTGTTTAATATTAAAGTCATTTTAAGATTGTCTGTTTAATATAAAGTCATTTTAAGATTGTCTGTTTAATAGTAAAGTCATTTTAAGATTGTCTGTTTAATATTAAAGTCATTTTAGATTGTCTGTTTAATAGTAAAGTCATTTTAAGATTGTCTGTTTAATATTAAAGTCATTTTAAGATTGTCTGTTTAATATTAAAGTCATTTTAAGATTGTCTGTTTAATAGTAAAGTCATTTTAAGATTGTTGTTAATAGTAAAGTCATTTTAAGATTGTCTGCTTAATAGTAAAGTCATTATAAGATTGTCTGTTTAATATTAAAGTCATTATAAGATTGTCTGTTTAATAGTAAAGTCATTATAAGATTGTCTGTTTAATAGTAAAGTCATTATAAGATTGTCTGATTAATAGTAAAGTCATTATAAGATTGTCTGTTTAATGTTAGTCATTTTAAGATTATTTGTTTAATAATAAAGTCATTATAAGATTGTCTGTTTAATAGTAAAGTCATTTTAGATTGTCTGCTTAATAGTAAAGTCATTATAAGATTGTCTGTTTAATAGTAAAGTCATTATAAGATTGTCTGTTTAATAGTAAAGTCATTATAAGATTGTCTGATTAATAGTAAAGTCATTATAAGATTGTCTGTTTAATGTTAGTCATTTTAAGATTATCTGTTTAATAGTAAAGTCATTATAAGATTGTCTGTTTAATAGTAAAGTCATTATAAGATCATCTGTTAATAGTAAGTATTATAAGATTGTCTGTTAATAGTAAAGTCATTTTAAGATTGTCTGTTGAATAGTAAAGTCATTTTAAGATTGTCTGTTTAATATTAAAGTCATTTTAAGATTGTCTGCTTAATAGTAAAGTTATTATAAGATTATCTGTTTAATAGTAAAGTCATTTTAAGATTGTCTGTTTAATAGTAAAGTCATTTTAAGATTGTTAATAGTAAAGTCATTTTAAGATTGTCTGTTTAATAGTAAAGTCATTTTAAGATTGTTAAATAGTAAAGTCATTATAAGATTGTCGTTTAATAGTAAAGTCATTTAAGATTGTCTGTTTATAGTAAAGTCATTTTAAGATTGTCTGTTTAATAGTAAAGTCATTATAAGATTGTCTGATTAATAGTAAAGTCATTTTAAGATTGTCTGTTTAATAGTAAAGTCATTTTAAGATTGTCTGTTTAATATTAAAGTCATTTTAAGATTGTCTGTTTAATAGTAAAGTCATTTTAAGATTGTCTGTTTAATATAAAGTCATTTTAAGATTGTCTGTTTAATAGTAAAGTCATTTTAAGGTTGTCTGTTTAATATTAAAGTCATTATAAGATTGTCTGTTAATGGTAAAGTCATTTAAAGATTGTCTGTTTAATAGTAAAGTCATTTTAAGATTGTCTGTTGAATAGTAAAGTCATTTTAAGATTGTCTGTTTAATAGTAAAGTCATTTATAAGATTGTCTGTAATAGTAAAGTCATTTTAAGATTGTCTGTTTAATAGTAAAGTCATTTTAAGATTGTCTGTTTAATATTAAAGTCATTTTAAGATTGTCTGTTTAATAGTAAGTCATTTTTAAGATTGTTTGTTTAATAGTAAGTCAT